GTCAGTCAAGGATGTTGACAGTTTCGGCTGCAGGATAAAATCTAACCACGCAGCTAATCACACCCTGCATCTACTTAAAAATATTTTTTTTTCATCATCCCGCCTCACCGACAACTCCCCAGACCTTTTACTTTTGATATATACGTGTTATGTTAAATATTTTTTTAAAATACTGGACACATAAGCTAGGTACTCCGAAACGACGGCTGAGGATTTTAATCAAACTCATACAACTAACACTGGCAAATACAACGAATTAAAAAAGCAACCCAGGCGAGTTTTATAATTTCTTTTTCTGGTTAATTAACTATGTTGGCTGTACTTCTTATATATTTATATATATTTTTCACGTAGACTGGCTATACATATATACCATATGAACTACTTCTAAAAGTTTTCGGTTGAGGATATGTTTAGTAGCTTGATACGATTAATACTACTATTAATAAGTAGTTTTCTAGACAAAACATTTTGGATTAAACCATGGTCAAGTACTTATTAAAGTTCTCATCATTTTTTTTCATGTTTAGGAAACTTACGTAGTGACTTAACCAGTTTCCCTGCAGCATGCTTTTTAGTGTGATCATATAACCCATCTTTATTGGCAATATTCAGATTTTTTTTAATTTCTGACATTTAAGAATCAATAACCGTGAAGATGTAGTACAGTGCGTTACTGTAAGGTTACTATGTCAGCCGCATTGATTCCACATACCTAATTTTAAACACAACTTATAAGGGAACTGTTTAGTAATCATAACATTGAACTGACAATGTGAATATCACGACTATGCTAACGTCAAACCAATTATTATTAGTGGCCCATACAAAGTCCTGGAACTTAACATTAGCGTTATAAAAAAAAACATTTTATGTCAATAACTGATATATATATATATTCGTTGGTTTAAATATAACGTAAAATGGAAATTTACTAAACTTGTAGTTTTTTTTTCTATAGTAATAATATTCATGTAAAAAAAGAACTTATACTTTTCCAATATGGCACTTTGATATATCAATCTGTCCTCTTGTCATTTTTTCTCTCATATGTGCGCGACTTACGGGCAACAAACATCGTATTGAAGGTGGGTCTAGTGAACAAAAACGCAGGCCCCACATTCACTCGAACCTCTGCCCTCCTGAATGCTAGATCGCGTGCTTAGCCGTTAAGCCACATCAGACCACGGAGGAAGTGACTTCAATATTTCCTTACACCAATTAATCACTTATAATACTAATGAGTAATAGGACTTACACACTTCTGAGGTGCAAACCAATTCGTTACTTGGATGAATTGACGATATATTGCTTCAATATATCATGCATACCTAAATCAAACAAGAAAAGGGTATTTGACACAACTGTACTTGATCCGCATACTCTACACAATTTTTTTTTGCTTCTTAACCGTATATTCTTTTCCGTTTTGTGGAGTACAATTATGCACCCTTGGTTACGCACCTAGTTGTGAAACGCGGTCATCACAAGCTCAAGGTCACGGGTTTGATCGATTTTTTTAAAGAGTCCAACTTCTAGCAAGTTCACCCTTTTATATATATGCATTACAAAAGAGTATTTTTTTTGTTTTCATGGTTTTTCGTGCACAAGATATCTACACTATGTCTATTCTCTTCCAGAATACCAATCCGTTCTGGAGACCAAGCACTTACATGGAACCGAACAATTATCAATTACATTTATGTATTTCCATTTTGTATCTTATTATTTTATGCAGGCAGTGGAGCAGTTCTTCAGGTTTGCTTGATTTTCACCATTACCTTTGAAGTAGATTCTTCTTTACTTTTTACTTGAGGGCGACTCAAGAGGCAGGTGAGTAAACACCTGATAGCCGGTCTGAGCACGGAAAAATCGTACCTCACCAACATGGTGTTGGGTAGCCCGCTCGCGGCACTTCCTCAGATATTCTTATTCCACATTCTCATACTTTCTCTTGAATGCACGCAGCAAACCGTCGGCGATAGTTGTAGAAGAAATCACATGCTACAAAATAAGATGACAAGCTAGTAAATAAGAGACATCCATGGACTATCGTTGACAGCGTTAGTCGTCACTGATTGTAAGTCAAACAGTGAGCGAGTTGATAATTTTCCCTGGGGATGAGAAATAGAACCAAGGTGTTTTCGATAGTTAGGTTAATCGAACCGACGTTCCTACGGAAGTCGATTCTAGGGGGAAGCTAATGTAACAGCCTAGGTTGGTTGGTTAAGAGTTGACCCCAAACAACCAAGCATATGCCAAAACAGTACTGTTCAAGTATTCATTCACTTCCTTGTTTTGTATAAGCGTTATATTCCCTATTATCTTATATTGAATGTTGAGAGCCTTTGTTTGTCTGAACAGGTAATCGGACGCTCCACTGTCACCGCGCTAAGATCGAAATAAAGACCTATTCACTACTTCTCTGGTTTCTTCTATCAATAGCACGAGGGCTACTTTAAGGCACGAAAAATTCTAGGCCTTCGATATAGTGTTGAAAATGCCGTGCAGAACAGTGCATAGCTATAAGTTCCCTAACGAATGTGCTGTACCTCGATTCAGTGTCAAGCAACCGTCTAGAGAAAAATGCCAAAGGTTGCCAAGAGTTGTTGACCCTTTGTTGTAAGACTCCTCCGATCTCTGAGTCGCATGCGTCTACTACGATACTAATGGGTGCTTCAGTGTCCTGACGAGCAAGCATTGTTGCATTAGCAATAAGTTCCTCAACTGTGGAGAATGCTTTTCGCGCGTTGTCGCCCAGATTGATGGATTTCGCATTTCCACGAAGTTGGTCGGTGCGGGATTTCATGAGTAACGCGCATTTCGGTATGAATCGTGTATAGAAACTTACAAGGCCGTTAAACGTGCGTAATCACTTGATGGTGGTCGGTTCTGGGTAATCTAGAATGGCCGCCACTTTGGTTCTAAGAGGTCGCATGCCTTGCGCATCTATAGTGTCCTAGGAAGTCTAAGGAGTCAGTTCCGATTTGGCATTTCTGAATGTTTACAGTAACGCCATGTTTTAGTAGTCGATCAAAAACAAGATCCAGATGCTGGGGGGTGCGATCCTCTTTCATGAATTGCTATTAGACAGTCATCAACATACGCATGTACGAAGTTGAGACCTCGAAAAACGTCATCTATGAACCATTGGAAGGTTCTCTGGGGGAACGCTAACTTATGCCCCAGTATCGACGAGGTAGCGAACTATCGTTGTCACATCTGTGACGTATAACAGACAGCTATATTCGCCGGCGACGGTTACCGTTAACGCGTGCCGGCTGGGAAGTTTCCCGAGTTGTTTTTCGTGTCGGTTGGTTTTGAGTAGGGAAAATTTCAGGGTTTTCTGCAATTTCTGGAAGGCTTTCCTTACTGGTTATGATACCAGCACCAGTCTGGGTTATCCGTCTCTCGTGGTCTAGAGACATATCGCTTACTTGAGGTGCTTCTACGTGGGGTGTGTGATCGCTTACGGTGGTTACGAAATTTAAGATAACGCGTAAGTGTATGACATAACTCTGTTATGTCATTCTGAGTCGTTTGGGGCTTTTCTTTGACTGAAAAACCTCAGCGAGATTTGGTGATTTCTAAGATGCGGTCGGCAGATGCAGCCATCTCGTCTCAGGCGCTTTTTTAAAGTGAGACCAGCACAGCTTGCACCTGTTGAGGAAGTTTGGATAAGAAAATTTAATTAAATAAGCCATCATCGAAGGTTCTTTGACCAACCACCTCTCTTATTCTTTGCAGCATGTCCGTCACAGAATCGTGTTGCAGGTCGGTGTTATTGAGGAGTTGGTCTAAACTTTGTCTATCGGTTAGGTCTCCGCGTTTAGAGATAGAATGTTTCAGTGGTTCTTGAGGTTCGGAAACATCACTAGTAAACATACAAGGTGTTACGTACCTGTTGAATTTGCACGGTGGTGCCTTGACTACTGTGAGGAATTGTGCACGTGTGTAGATCATGCCGTGCTCGGAGAAGTCGGCTTTTGCGTAGCAAATCCAGGCTTCGATGTTGTCTGGACAGAAGGCCATCAGTTGAAACGAAGGTGGGGACATAGTCTTAAGCTTAAGTACTTTAAGTGTCTGTTCAGTCATGATGAAATATGAAGCACGATAATGAACGAGGGAAAAATATATATATATTCAAAAACACGAGAAAAAATATCACAATGTATAAAAAATTAAGATAAGGCAATGATATATAGAATCCCAATTAGGAACAGACTCACAGTTCGCGATTTGGTGTATCAGATCACGTCGGGCTCACCAATGAAGATGCCACAGGTATTCGGAGTTTGACAAAGCTTTAATTAGTAACACATATATGAAGCGTACCCACCAAGTGAAATCAAAAGACAGAAGCGAGGAGGTTCGAAGATATATTTGATAAGCTACCAATATATCGAGGATCGTCTAATCTAATCTGGCTTACGATTGCAGGGGTTGTTGAGCACGGCGTTTCCACCCGTGATCTGGTGCGGATGCATGACCGAGCGCCTTCAGCTAGGTGAGTCCATTAAAACATGTGGTCAGCATTCAATGTCGAAAACTTACAGAGCTATTTATTTTGGGGATTTATTTACCGCTACAACACCAATGAAGTCAGCATTGATATTAAAGACTGACAGAACTACTTATTCTGGAGACTTATATACAACTCCAAACTAATCATTCTTGAGGATATACAAAAGATGCTTGGAATCCGCGATTGAACAAACTGGGAACAGGACTCTGCTTTCTCATCTAGTGCTCAGTTATTGGAACTCATTATCCAAATAAGCGATACCAGCATATTGACGGACGTTTTTTAAGGGAAACTGGATCCTCACTGCAACTAACTTGAAGGATTTAAAGCGGCCGATCACCGTCCTATCCACTCAACTAAGACTGTGGGCGGAAATCCTGAGACCTCTCAAGGCGCTGGATTCAAGTTTAAGGTCACAGGCATGTCATCGCTTTGGCCTTGGTCTTCCTGTTATTTCCCTCCCTTAGGAGTTACGATGTTAGCTAGTTCCGACGGGAAAGTGCGAGTTTATAATGGCCAGACTGGTTTTCTTGATAAACAGGCAGATTTAGTCACTAGCTCGGTTGATAATTGTATGTGTGGATATGAATTATGCTTATTTTTAGGTTCACGTATATTCCTTGGTTATTTTCCTTCAAATGAACGTTTAGTAATTACGAGAGAAACTGAAATTAACGCGAGAACCCACTCAAATGGATCTGTCCTGCTTCATGGCTTTCTTGATAAACGCATTCAAAATAAAACGGACAAGATCAGTCTTGAATTTTACTCAAATCAGGGCTCCGTTATTGAACTATTTCTTTCCACTGTTGAGAGTTTTTACACTGATTATGAAAGTTTGGTTATAGACACTCATGACTGTCCTAATCCTAAGGTACTTCAGTTTAATGACTATATGTTTTAGTGGAAAACGTTTACCATTTATGGTAGTTATGAAATGTTGTATAGTTTATTCGATAAGCTACAGCACAGTAATGCGAACAAAGGTGTGCTTCAGACTACCCCACTGTTTAAGTCAATTCTGCATAGATTAACACGAGCTGTAACGGATAGTGACAGTATTTTGATTTTTACGGCTATGCGAGAACCGTTCACCATGCAAAGTGAAGCCCATAGACGCCTTACATTTACTCACTGGCCTCACATGGATTATCAGTAAGTTGGGTCTTTTATTTATTAATACAGTTAATGCACACTGAAGTGATGTTATATCTAAAAATCTCGATCTTGGTATTATAGTTGTGAATGCAGTAATCAAACCATATTAGCACGTGCATTCTCTTGTTTTTGTCCGTCTTAATTTGCTGTATATTGTGTCTTGATCATTCTAAAACTACGTAAATGCAACCTGAACTGAAATCTGAGCACAATGAAAGCTTTGTTGAGTATGATGTATGTATTGTAAAACAGTGTAATTGACTCGCCGGCGTAAGTATAGCACTGAGTCCTAGAGCAGAACTATCTCTCTTAGACTAGATCCCAGTAGACAGTCATTTGTGCGCTGTCCGACTAAACGGAACAGTAAGGACTCGGAAAGATAGGGACACTCGTCGTTGCCTCTTCGTCGTCTCTGCCTATTCTCCCACTGACTGCAGCGCAGATGATGTGAAAGATGAGTTTTACAGAAAGCTCTCCGACTTCCTCCGAAAAGCTAGGCGCTCGGATGTAGTAATAGTGGCTGGTGACCTTAATGCTTAAGTAGGTAAACTAAGCGAAAGGGAAAGAGACGTAGGTGGATCTTATAGCATCATGGCTCAAAGAACAGATAATGGCGACCGTCTGTTGCAGCTATGCTCAGATAACCGCCTGTTCCTTGCAAATACTAACTTTAAGCATAAGGAAAAACATCTTTTAACATGGAGACCCCCTAATTCGTCCTAACGTTGGACCCAAATAGATCACATCGCTATCAGCCACCGATAGAGGGGCTCGATAGAAGACTGTCGCTCATTCTGGAGTACATGCTTAGATTCAGATCATGCTCTAGTGCGAGCGCGTATTTGCTTGCGTCTTACTGGACGTAGGAAAGACGCTGTAAGGAAACCTCTTAGGGTCCTGTTTAATGATAATCAAACTAAGAGTATATTTCAGGAACAACTAAGAAAACAGTTAGGCAGCCATGTATGTGATGCCCACCCCGAGGCAGCATGAAATGATATCCGAAAAGCTGTGGAAACAGCAGTGATATCTGCTAGTACGGTAACCCGTAGGGTTAGGGAGCAACACAGGATCTCAGCAGCATCTATCGCAATGATAGGTGCTCGGAAACTCATTCCACCTGGCTCTGAACATAATGAAGAGCGGAGTCAGCTTAGGCGCAAGCTGACAAGAAGTCTAAGCAATGATCGCGAACAGTGGTGGGTAGCGAAAGCAAGAGATGGAAAAGGCAGTGGCAATAGGTGATAGCAGACAATTTCCAGGGGTTGAACTTTTACCGGGAGGTTCGCTTGTTGACTTAGAATATGCAGATGACATAGTTTTATTTGGTGAAGACGCTGACAAAATGCACAGTCTTCTGACCACTCTAAGCAACAATGCAAGCATGTTCGGGATGCGATTCTCTCCCTCGAAATGCAAAATGTTGCTTCAGGATTGGGTTACATCGACACCCGAACTAGTGATAGGGAGTGAAGTAGTTGAGTGTGTCGACCGCTTCACTTATCTTGGAAGTCTCATCAGTCCTTGTGGTTTAGTGTGTGACGAAATCTCAGCACGGATACAGAAGGCTCGACTAGCTTTCGCCAACTTGCGTCATTTATGGCGTAGGCGAGATATCCGTCTATCAACCAAAGGACGGGTTTACTGCGCAGCAGTTCGTTCCGTCCTACTTTATGGCAGTGAAACATGGCCGGCAAGAGTAGAAGATATCCGTAGGCTACTAGTATTTGATCATAGGTGTCTTCGAAACATTGCTCGTATATCATGGGACCATCGAGTAAGTAACACAGTTGTTAGGAAACAGGTACTAGGTAAGGATGGCAAATCAATTGATGAAGTAGTGAAACTTCATCAGTTGAGATGGCTGGGACACGTGTTACGTATGCCCAACGACCGACTGCCTCGACGTGCGATGTTCAGTGGCATAGGAGTAGGTTGGAAGAAAGCTAGGGGCGGCCAGACCAAAACATGGCACAAGTCCATGAAGTCACTGACAGGTGGACTGAGTCATATTGGTAGGTATAGACTACCTGGTTGGGGACCGCGAGATGGTGGCAACCGATGGTTAGAGACCCTGAATCGTTTGCAATGGCGCAGGTGCATACACTTTGTGTTCTCCCAAATTTTGATCACCTTATCCCTCCTTGTCTTTTTTTTCTCTTCCCAAATTTATTTCACTGCATTATACTCTTTAAGTAACATCTCCAAAGACTAATCTTCCCGATTACTGCTTATACTCTTATTACCTCTACCACTACGGGATTTGAATCCACTACTGCATTTCTGTGCTAATGTGGTATGGCAACTCGAACTGATGTACGTACGTACGAAGTTCTACGTTGTTACTGACTGACTGACTGACTTACTAAGTACCAGTTCGTGTAGTCGGTCCTAATGTTAAGAGGTAGTAATGCTACGTTAATACATAAACGAAAATATACAGGTCATTCTAACCTGCCTCCTGTTGTTGAATAACTGATTTCCTTAATCACTGGGCCTCTACAATGTATTATCAGAAGTCGAATACTAGAGTTATGGTTCCGATTTTCTGTTATCCTGAAGTCTGTAGAAAGCCGCTTAAACTTGACGTTAAGCCTGCCGTGGTGGTTCAGAATAACTCCCTGTAGGTATTTTCTTATCAGCTCATGTAGAATAAGTTTACTAGTAGTATTTGCTTCTAAGGGTTTAGGATAATTCTACTTAAGTGACTGTATATTAACTTAAAAGGACTTCACTCCTGTTTTATGTAATGTCAGTAGGAGAATGGTTTCTGTAGCTAAAGATCCATTTATTAATAGTGCATTAAATGTACAATAGTAATTCGAATTGTGTTGGACTTTATTTTCAGATGGGCAACGCCTTCCACTTTGTCTGAAGCTGGATTTTACTTCCCATTTAAGTTCCCACTTGACATTGTATTTTGTCTTGAATGTTTAGTTAGATTGTCATCTTGGGAACCAACTGATGAGCCATGGAGTGAACATATCAGACATTCACCTCAATGCAGCTTTGTGTCATCTCCAAATTCGAAAAGCATACCTAGTACATGTAAGTATTTAATTTTGAATAGCGGGGTTTAGTCAATACTTGGTTTTTTTTCAGCGTTATATAAATATACTATTACATACAGTCTGAACATAAACGTTGGAATCCTTAGGGAATTAGTTTATTGAATTGATGAAGGCCGTTCAGTAACCAAGTGCAGGTTAGTGTCACATTTTGTATAGGTGTCTGTAATACTATCTGGTTGAACAAATTGTAGTGTGGCCCCAAGTACAAACCAATGAAACGAATGTACCAGTTCTGATAAGCTAACTGTCTATTAGACTTCCACATGTATTATCCACTCTTCATCTATATCTTCAAGTGTTGTTTTTATTTTATCAATCCACTTTCTTGTTCGTTTTAATATCGTCATTTTTGCTGACTCTCTTTCTATGGTATTTTAATGTGTGAAAAACCAAACCAATACTTTTTGTGACGTTCTAGAACCTACTATTTGCGAGATGAGGAGTTATCCCCCGTAGGTGTTTTAAACCTAGTAGTTCTAATCTTATGCTCAGAAACAGGCTTCAATATCCTTTAATTGTCTAAGGGTAGGGAATAGCTACTCTCGTTGAGAAATTATCATACTCCTGTGCTTTCACAGCTTCCAAGGATATCCTACTCTCCTATCGCGAAAATCAGAGGATGAACCAAACGTTCTAGTGTTTAAACAGTGTCTTTGTCTGCGAAAGACTCATATGAAAAGCCAAACTAATAGTAAACATGAGTCCTACTATCTTGAGGGGAATAGTAGAATATGAACTTAATTTGTTCTCCTACTATCATTAATAAGCAAGTTCGGTAATTTTTTCGTAATTTTGTTGACTGTATGTAAACTGATAAATAGCCGCATGTATGCACTCCATCTGGCGGTTACTTGTACATCCCGTATGACACGGGAATTCAGTTTCGTCATTGTTCATGTTTGCTCTTGTTATAGTCTCTCTTTCTTCTTACGGTTATGACCCAGCTATTCCTATTGCTTAGTATTCTTGGACACCGACTCACTCGACAAGACCCCAAATCAGAACACGGTTGAACAGGAAAGAGATTATATTCCAAACAACAAGGTTAGATGGAAGCAAGATGCAAGCCAGAAGCACAATAGGGGAAAACGTCGGTATATTTATAGTTTTTACATAAGAAGATTCCAGAGTATTCTCCGACTATCGACTAGTGCTGATTGGATAAGAATCAGCCAATCAGCGTGCACCAAAACAATCATGCATTGAGCATGCTTTAATCTAGTCTATGTCCCACTAACAGCTCTCTCCAACGTGAGGATATTTGACAACTTTCTGTTAAATCATCACTTTTCAAAAGATTGAATTTTTCAGCAGCAACATAGTATACGGTCTGGCAGCATATCTACATGTAATAGAATGTTACTGATTACATGGCACTGTTATGTGAGCCATAGCGATTCTTCACATGTCCTAGAAAAAATGTACAGATTATCATCAGTTCGAATAATTGTTTTATCACGTATATTCTGTTGTTACTGTTGTTTATTCCTACAAATTGTATTGCATACGTTACCTAAGTAAGTTGGGTTTGTTTTTCAGTTTCATGGTCAACAGAAACAGCACAAACTCATTCAATATCTGATGATCCTGTAAGTTTAAGTTTTCAAAGAATTTCATTAGTCTTTACCTGTTTTCTAACCATCATCATCTTGAAATTTTTGTGGAAATTCCCTTACTATTTCAAGACGAATATTACGGAGCTTTTAATAATATTTCACATATGGATATTAGAAAAGCTATGAAAGCATCGAAAATAACGTAAGCATAGGAGCTTTGAAACATTTCAGCTATTGACTAAAGGTAGTGGTATAGTGTACGCTACTTATATACACATGAGTAGTATATAACAATAGTCAGGAATAGAATGTATTTCAGCAAAATATCGAGAAGGAAAGAACGGTAACAGAAAACAATTGGTATGAAAATGCAGGAACAATGAAATCTGAGACAATCGATTGATGTTTTAGAAGTTAAGTATTTACTGTACTGTTCTCAAATTTTAATGAGATACTCTATAATTTCGTGTTCAAATACATTCGATTGTCCCTACTCGTGTTCTTGTTCACTACAGTAGTTGTCAACCAGTTGACCAAACAATAATTCTGTCTACATATTAGGCAGTTTTAGCTTTAATCTTTTTATTTATAGGATTGTTTACCTTTACTTTTAAATTAGTTAGTCAGTTGTAAGAAACTTTCAGGTGTTCCATTCATAGCATCATATATTATTTTAAAATATAATTACTGTCTTCAAAAATAGTTATTCCATCGATGTTAACTGTAAATTGTGAATTATTTGTCGATTTTATGACTGGAAATCACTTTGTATTTTACTTATTGTTTTAATGTACATAAATTCTAGTACAGTTGGGCAACGAAAATGCATATATCATAAATGAAACGATAAAATTGTGCAAAAATAAAGGATAGGAAAGTGACACAGTCACTAAAATAATGAATGGAAATAGTATTTACTAAGAGATACAGTTTATTTAAAAACACTAAAATGATATTATTACTGTTTTGATGTATTATTGAAGACTCCGACAAGATCACCATTGGCTTCTATTTTGATTCGTATCTGATAACGTCTCAAGTCACTGAGTTCCATTATCTATGGAGCCTTATCCAACGAGTCCTGATGAACCAGTAGAAACCAGTCCTATGGAGCTTTGTTTTGCACTGCGATGCGATTTCGTAAACTAACTACCTTTGCATTTTTCACCCACTGTCAGCGTTGGGAATTGAATCGCAGTGCGAAAGTTTTTGGGATGATATTTGTAAAATATCACTACATTACCGAAGTCAGCTTTTCAAAATGGTGACTGGTTGAATTGTTGTCACTGCCTCTATATATACACATCACCAAACCTCAGTATTACTAGTGCAGGGTTTTCTTGGTTGAACACAAAGTCGCCACACATTGTTACCATGGATAGGCCAGGTTTCACAAACATATAGTGGAACTGTTTTCACGAATGTGTTGTGCAGCAGACCTTTTACAGCTAAACTAACATCAGAGCAACACCAAAGATGGTCCAAAATGACATATGCCGCTAATATAACTTTGAACGGTTTGTAATATGGTGATGATATAACAACATCGTAGTTATGACTATTTTATTTGAAGTAATTAAAGACAGTTTGAATCTGTTAACTGAGGCTTCGTGCTAGTTAGTACTCGTCAGCAAGGTTACAGCTTGTAACTTTCATGTGCGATTCTTGTTTTGGTTTTGGTTCATTTTTGTAGGGATGAAGTTATTTTTAAGTTTATATAAAGAGAATTTTTCAAATAAATTTTTATTTTTGTCAGTTGTATGTTTTCTTTATTACGTTCTAAATAATTCAGATCATGGTGCTTACAGCTTCTACATCAAAAGATTTTGTCGCAACTTCAACAGTCGATGGTGGGATTACTGTTTGGGATCTGTCGTACTTCAACAGAGTAAGCTATTTCATCTCCTAAACCATCAAGTGCGTTCGCGAAATGGGACAATAAAAAATCACCTCTTATTAAAGTTTGGTTGTGTCGGACTCATTAGTAAATTAAGTGAACATATAGAGGCTGAATTAATGTCACTGTCAATTTGGGGTGTTCTATAAGCGCTGGTTTGATGTTCTTTCGAATGCATGTATTGGATTCTATTATTTACAACGTAGCAGTAGTTTATTCGTTGAAACATTCAACTTTTAATTATTATGTTGCATAGATTCGAACTCTACTCCTCCTACTTCAGTTTTAGGAAGTCGTTTAGTATGACTGACTCTCACATGCGAAAGAAGCGACTTAAAATTTTAAGTGGTTGAAGGTAGTCTTCAAGAAACCTATGTTTCTTGCTAGTCATGGCTCTTTAGCGAGGCGTATCTGGAGTCTCAATGAAAGTAATTCTCTCTGTGGGTTTCACACTCGTGCCACTAAACTTCACAATCTGAGACAACATAGTGCACTCCATGTCTAGCCGCTTAAGTGTCTATAGAACAACATCAGCACTAAAGGATTGGACAAATATCAGAAGGGGTTTTGTGGATATTATTGACTCATGATCTCAACTATTAAGATTGGACAAATATCACACTGGTCACTACTTAGTAGTAAATTCAATGTACGTGTAACTTGAAAAACCCATTAAGTACACGAATTTGTTCAATCGGTTACTGAATTTCATCAAACTACTCAAATTAAACCATTGCCAATAATAATAATACCTAATGGTAAATCAAATGAAATGTTTCGTCAGTCATCTATATTTCTCTGATAATTTATTATCATGTCTATATTCTTATTATCACTGTTATGTCATAAATTTTCAATGCCTCTGTTCTGAAAATCTCCCAGCGTTCATTAGAATTCAATCTTGTGGATGTATTGAATGCTTCGATAGTTACTACTACTACTACTACCAGTGAAAGTAAGTTAGGTGTATTGCGTTTTTTTTCATATTTGCAAAATGTAAGAAAAACAAGTGTTCAATGCATTTATATTGTAACGTTTAGTCTAAGTTAGGTCTATATCTAGTTTGATGGCATGTTAATTGTCGAGGGAGTGTGAAGAGTATTGTGTTCAGAAGGGCTTGGAAGAGGTAAGAATAAAGAAAAGTAAACTGATGGCTCAGCACGTAAAATGTATTTATGTTGAATATTGAAAGCTAGCGATAATGTTTAGTTATAACACAAGTGTATGATAATTACAGTCAGATAATCGAAAGTAGGTGATGGTGTGAGATTTTAAATATGTTACAAAATATTAAGCAGAAATGGATGATGGCTAGCAGTGAAATCCAGGACGCCCGTTTCGTTGGGACTTGTCAGCTGAATGTATCTGCATCCCAGAGTTGTGTTCACTCCGAGAGTCAAACCTAGTACCATTCACTCCAGTCCCAAACATCAACGAGAATATCCAAACAAAATATATTTTAGGTCATACTAGTCCTGTTTATTATAACTTACCTTCTATATTAAACATACGTTAGTATCAGACTGTATTTGTCACATGCTATAAAGCGATAGATCGTAAACTTTTCATATACGCGCTTTCATAGGTTATGTGATTGATAGAAATCATAATGTGTTAAGACAAAATAAATAAAAAAAGATACCGTTAAGCTATTCGGGCTGCCATGCAGAAGGCTGTACATGCTTGTGGAGGTAACCTGCCATTGACAGAGCCATTTTAGTGCACCGCCCATCTGTCAACCCTTGGAGAAACAGTTTTAGCACCAGGGTTGGATTTATGGGCAGGAGCTGGTCTGTTCAATGCAGGAGGAAGGCGGTACAACTCCAGGTAGACCTGAAAACTAATGGCTATTGATTAAGGGAGTTGTTAAGGTACCTGTACCCCTTAATACAACATTCGAGAAAGAATGTCAACCTTATTTTTGGATACCAACTTAACTTAATTTCTTCTCACCCAAATCAACACATTTTCGTGAACTCTATTCATTAACTTTCAGCGTATTTCAGTTGTATTTTGCTATTTAATTCTTGGTAAATTATCTTCTTAGCGGTTATTTTACTATGGTTTTGTATTTTGTGGGTTCGTAAAACTGTAATTAGTAGTCACAACTGATATATAACTGAATTAACCTGGATTTAAATTCAGTCTTCTTTGGTCTTGTCCAATAATTGTTCCTAACAAGATTGGTTATTTGGAGTAACTGGGGTGTTAGGAGGGAATCGAACTGTCATATATAGTGTCACAGTTGTCGTTCGAGTTATTACTGCATATCTTTCATCTCTAACTAATTACTTAACCGTTGAGTAGTGACCAATCAATTGCAAATTTAAATCTGTTGTAAAGATTTCATTGATCAGTGGATGTTGTACATTGATACGATATGTCCCATTGATAGATATTCACAATATCCACTTATTGACTAAAATCCTGAATGAACTAATGACGAAAGGCTGTACAACTAACATATAAAATAAGTTTTTTCTCTATGGAAATAACATGCTTAAATACAGAGTATTGTTTATCAAAGTAAACATCACTAGATATTATTTAGCAAACAAGCAACCAGAGGGTATAAGTTCTATAGGTCACTCGCGTACCTATAAAGTTTACTGTTAGGTTTAAATTTTTTTCATCTTCGTAAATGAAGTGATGTTTATTTATTTTATTATTTATTTATTTTAACACATAGATATTGGTACAAAGAAGCTCTAAATACATATGCGCCACATAGATCTCATTTGATATGTGTGAGGGCTGTGATACTGTCCGGGTGCCCAAACCGAAGCAAGTGATTTTCTTAGGTGGCCACTCCCCGAGCCTTCGACCTGAAGGTTTAACACACAAGGCAGTGGAGCATCGTAAGGAGATGCAGTTCCATGGTAGCCGGTGACCAACAATTGGTTCATACGCCATTTGTTCCTTCAGGATCCTGGAGCCCATGTGCACCATTGGTTTGGAATCCGGTTAAAGCGCCAGGCATTCGCTTTTCGTCCTCTGAATTTCGTAAAAAACAGTAATGCCACAAGAAAGCGGTAAGACTTCCCTGGCAGAGGCTGTATACGTGTGGCCGTGTGAGAGCATTTCGAGAGGGAGGGAAGGCCCACCTCACTCTCGGCCAGACCAGGGCATTTGGGGGCAAAGTGATGTTTATGAACAAAAAAATATGTATAGGAGAAATAAACAGTATTTTTTTGTATTTGATTATCATATCATTGTTTATATCATGTAAATACAATTTCTTCTTTCTATACCTAAATTAGTGATTACTAAATCTCAACTACATGTACATAGTGGATGTCTACTAGTTTCTAATTCTTCTACCATGAAATTTATCAATCTTCCACAACTTCCTAAAATACATCATTTAATTCTTGGTTGTTGTTTACCATATTCAGTATATAATAAATTACACTCTTGTATGCATACCATGTCAACAACTAATAAATTTGAGAATGTTAAAAATAACAATTTTAAAAAATATCAACTATGCCTTATCATTATTGAATTAACTCCATTGAACAGTGAACAAGTTATGTGGATAGCTGATTCTACTTTCTCTTTAACAACAACAACAACAACGCCATTATCACCATTTTCTCCTAAATCGATATTTCCTAATCAATTCAATATACATTCAATACCGATAGATCTTGTCAAGTTTCTTCCATCAATTGGTTATGATCATAATAATAATGATGACGATACAATAGAATATGAAGAATTAGGAGATATTGATGATAATGAGAATGAAACTGATAATGATGATTATGAAGATGACTTTGATGAGGAGAGTTCTGACAAGTTAAGTAGCGTACATATAAATAATATCATAACTGATTCAGCACCAAAACATAATATTCCAACATCATCAGTCAGTTCAAAGGTAGTCAACTTTTCAATAAAATATATTTATTGTTTTATGAAAAAAATTTAAATTTATGGTCGAAATTTCGGTTGTTATCTGAAACACTTTCAGTGTTCAGTGAATATGTTTGTGTCCAGCATTTCTGACCATTTTTCTTTGATTTAACTGATGAGCGATGCATGTAAGACTGTACTATTCATCATTCTAGATTCAATTTCAAACTCTAACTTGCATGGTATTTTTTGTTTTCCATCCAGCTTATTTTAGTACGTTACACTGACATGTTCATAGCAGATAGTCGGGGATAACTCTATCCATTTGAAATAAATTTTTTGGTAAACATAACACACCAATATGCAGTCCTCGCCCAAAAATCTGTACCGGATGTAACACATTTATTAAACATTGCGAACACAACAGACAACCTTATGAATTTGGTTAAAATAGTGCGTCTTTCAAAGTTATTTAATGAAGTTTAACTAAACTAAAACTCAAAATACATTTGAAGAAATTCTGTTGTAACAAAAGATAAACAAACAAATGTTTTAAAAAGTGCAAGAACGAAGATTGGTGCAGTATTGTCACCAGGCGATTCAATGGCTTGAGTGGCTGTACCAATCTTCGTTCTTGCTCTCTTTAAGATGATAAAGGGAACTATGTATATGAAACAAATGTTTGTGTAATCTAGGTTAATGATGTTCAAATACGTCTCGTCTTATCTTAGGATTCTAAATAAGTCAAGAGATCCTTTAAAAATATGTGTAAAAATAGCGAAAGGTGAGATGATTTGAAGTTATTTTGAAAAACATGACACTATATATCAAATTTAAGGAAAAGTGGCCTTCGAAATCGTAATCGATTTATTATTTAAGCACTTTGAGAAACTTAACTAGATTCATTTTTAGATAATAAGTAGATAAACCATCTTATAGGAATCTGATTTTAAGATTTCACTGAACATACGCAACTTAGTGGTTAAAAGTCAAGTATTTTAATCGTTATTCAATTACCATTCCACATTCTCAATCTAGCCATTTTATGGTTTGTTGTAAGTGCTGGCTTCATATATCTTGTAAATCTTTACTCCTCTTTTTTCGTATACATAATTAGTAAACATATCACATAACCCTTGTAGTTATTTCATGAAATGATTAGTATATCTTATATTTTCAATATTGTTTGTTTTCTTTACTTTGATTACAATAGCTTATCGAGAATGATTTTTATACGTATATTGGTTTGTCTAGCGTTGTTGAAGAGTTTGTAAATTTAAAAGCTACGACGGACTGTTATCACACATCTTCAAGCAATGAATTACAACTAAAGAAAATATCTGCTTCAAGTTCATCCAATTTGTCGTCATCAATAAAACACATTGAAAATAAACGATCTAATATGAATGAAACAACCAGTTCATTTCTATGTTCTGACTATTCTGAAAATAAAAATGGTAAGAGTGGATGTGTTGAGAACTTACCGAAACTTGTTGGTGTCATACCTTTGTCAGTTACTGCTGATAGTACTAATAATGACCTTGAGAATCCTAATTTTCGTATTTTACAAATATCACCACTACCATTGCAAACAATATCCTTCAATAATGGTAATTCCGGTTATTCTCAAGGTATACTTGTTTGTTGTGGCTTGTCAAGATCATTATCTCATGTAGAGCTTCATCATAAAACAACTACTGATAATCAATCGATTGAGGATGGTGATTTATTTTTATTCGGGTAAGTTCTAGTTATTCTGTCATTTATTTTTATCGAATCCATCTAATAAATACGTGAAACTGATTTATAAAGACTTCATATAAACTACAGTGCATAAATAAGTCTTGTTTTATTTACAGTACTCTGCATTTGGGACAATAAACTCATTCTATTTCCGTGTCATCTTTTTTGCAAGACATACACCCCTGAAAGTTATCACAATTCAAGTACTAGTTTGGACGTGTGTTATGTACACTCCCTGACCCACCATCCTTAACGCTCAACAAGTGATTTTAACCGGTGTACGAGTAGGTTGGAAGAAGGTTATAGGTGACCAACTTTTATTATCTATGCTCCCATATTCGATTTCTTCACTGTTAATGTTTTTAAGCTCATCTCCTTGTACCAATGTAATATGAGTACGTGAACAAACGCTTACTCATGCCCAGGCTATACGTTGATTATGCCTGACTGATTAAATTTAGATCCCCGATTGCTTCTCAGTTATTTAAAATCATGTCCACAAAGAAAGCTATTATATTGTAAATGCTAGTTAACACTCATTATTTTTAATCCTGATTAATAATACAGTTTCGTCATTTAGGTATTCGGTAAAAAGATTATGCCCCTAAATGCCCTGGTTCGACCGAACGTGGGGATAATCCGCTCTCTCTCTCTCTCCTCCGAAGTGCTCTCGCATAGCCACATACGTACAACCACTTCCAGGAAAGTCCTGCTCACTGCCTCCTCTCGGGGGGGGGTATTGTTTACGAAATCCAAAGGACAAAAAGCAAATGTCTGGCGCTTTAACCGGGTTGGTGGATATGGAGGATCCACCAAGGGGGATTGGAAAACCCTGATTCCAAATCAATGGTGCACATGGGCTCCAGGATGATGAAGGAACAAATGGCGTATGAACCTATTGTTCGTCTCTGGCTACCATGGGACTGCATCTCCTGACGTTGCTCCATTGCCTTATAGATCAGACCTTTAGGTTAAAGGCTCCCGGAGTTGCCCTCTGAGAAACCCATCTGCTTCAGTTTGGGCGTCTGGTCAGTATTCCAGGCGTCACATAAATCAGATGGCGAAGTGTGGTGCACATATATTTGGTGCCTCCTTGTACCAATGTTTATGTGTTTAAGTAAATAAATGAAATTATATCGTTTTTCTTTTAAAATTTTTAGATATAATGAAAATGACTGTATTCTACCTAATTCAGTTGGTTATCACTTAGTTATTGATGAAACTCCACTTTTGCACATTAAATTGCCTGATCACTATTGTCCTGTTCAAATGGATGTGGTATCCAGCACTAATGATCTACATGTTTGTTCTTTAAACACTTTATACCCTTCAGTTAAATTGCAATATGAATGTTGTCAATCATGTGTAGCTGTCAACAATACTACTTCTTCTACTACTACCACTAATAATAATTTAAAGTTTACCATAGACTCACCTTTAATTACCATAGGAACATATGACTTATCATTTTGTTGTTTCATATTAACAGTATACAATTCATTGTTACAAATAAATGTTTATAAAAATCTATTATGTTATGCTCAAATAATAATATCTAATCCAATCTTATCAGTTAATGAAGATAACAATAATAATGAAATAAATAACAACAATATGTATTGTAATATACAATTTGATACATTCACATATTGTACTGGTTTAGAAAATATCTGTTTAGGCACTGTAAATGGTGAAATGTACATCTATCAATTACATAATCATGAATTATTTAAATATGATATGAATAAACAAAAACGTATTCATTTATATAATTCAATATTACCAATTCATAAACAAAATGATGGATCTTCTGATGAGAAAATTGAATTATTCTTTCCTATTCATAATCATAATAGTAGTCATAGTAATAATAGTTATTCATTAAGTAATCTATATGCCTATTATAATTGTCCATTAGACCAATGTTTTATTTTATATCAACTTATTAAAACTATTCCATTAGATTCATTAATTCAAGTGAATTTTCCAAATCATATTGGTTGGTATGAAGTGGAACTTTTTCCATTATTATCTTCTTCTACAATAAAACCTACTACATATAATTCTTTTAATGAAGAAACATTCATTCATAATGATAATAATACAATTCAAATACTTTCTAAATTAGTTACACGTTATATACAATTAGAAAAAGAATCATTTAAGAAATCAAAATTAACTAATGATATATTATATAATATTTCAGTAATGTTAAAATGTGCTACATTAGCTGTTCAACTTAGTTTATCATCTAATATATCTACTCATTTATGGGAATTTAATACTAAAAATTGGTATGATTATCAAAATTTAATGAAACAAAATGTTGATAAATTGAATATGAATTCAATTAATAAAAATATCATACATAATGATTATGTAAAGTTAAATTCTCAGAATATATTATCTGAATATCTATTAGAGATTAGTTTACCACGAGTATATTTAATTTCACATTTTATATTTCATTCAACATTAAAACAGTATGATGTAAGTGATTATTATTATTATTATTATTATTATTATTATTATTATTATCGGGCTCAATATTGAAGTGTGAATCTCTTCAAATGTTGGTTTTTTTGTAAATATGCATGTGGTAACCAACTACTTGATAAGTTATGAACAGATAAACTATCCGAACACAAATTTTATTTATTTATTTGAACACATGCCCCCGAATACCCTGGTACGGCTGAGAGTGGGGTAAGCCCGCCCTCCCTCTGGAAATGCTCTCACACGGCCACGCGTATACAGCCTCTGCCAGAGAAGCCCTACTCACTGCCTTCTCGTGGCGGGGGTGTTGTTTACGAAAATGAGAGGACGAAAAGCGAATGTCCGGCGCTTTAACCGGATTCCAAACCAATGGTGCACATGGGCTCCAGGATCCTGAAGGGACAAATGGCGTATGAACCAATTGTTGGTGACCGGCTTCCATGGGACTGCATCTCCTTACGATGTTCCACTACCTTGTGGGTTAAACCTTCAGGTCAAAGGCTCGGGGAGTGGCCACCTAAGAAAATCACTTGCTTCGGTTTGGGCACCCGGACAGTATCACAGCCCTCACACATATCAAATGAGATCTATGTGGCGTATATGTATTTGGTGCTTCCTTGTACCAATGTCTACGTGTTAAAATAAATAATTTTAAACGCATAGATATTGGTACAAGAAGTCACCAGATACATATGATTTGTGTGAGGGCTGGGATACTGCCCGGGTTCCCAGACCGAAGCAGATGGTTTCTTTAGGGCGCTACACCCGGAGCCTTCGACCTAAAGGTCTGATCCACAAGGCAATAGAGCATCGTGAGGAGATGTGGTCCCATAGTAGCCGATGACCAACGATTGGTTCATACGCCATTTGTTTCCTTAGGATATTGCAGCCCATGTGAACCATTGGTTTGGAATCCGGGTTTTCCAACTCCCCTAGGTGGACTCTCCGTGTCCATCAACTCGGTTCAAGCGCCAGACATTCGCTTTTCGTCCTCCCAATTTCATAAACAACACCCTCGCCACGAGAAGGTAATGAGTAGGACTTCCCTGGCAGAGGATACATACGCGTGGCCATGTGAGAGCATTTGGAGAGGGAGAGCGGACTCTCCCCACTCTCGGTCGTACCAGGGCATTTGTGGGCACGAACATAAGTAACATCTTATGTGCTCATATACCAATTCATAGTTAAACGATTGATGGGAAATAATAAATGTAGTTTGTTATTGGAGAAAGCCGATTATGTATCCATTCAAATTCTCAGTGTACATGTTATCATCATAGAAATATGATTTTGATACATTATAACCCAGTCTAGTATTTAAACATTATTCTCTGTAGTCTTTCCATCCTCATAAGGGATTTGGTAAATCTTAGAAATTTGACAGCAGCACATAATGCTGAGTATTTGATTTAACGGTTTTTACCGTATTTAAGAGTGGCAAAGGTAACGGTGTGGTACACTGATAGCTGGTAGTGAATTTTGACTGACACAGATAATGCCATACAGGATTGTTTTAAAAACTACTTTTGACTTTACAAAGTTTTCGAAGTTAAGATGAACTGATGTCATATAGATGAGCTTTTGTATCGGACATTGTATGACTCAAGCATTGAAGAACCCACCTAACCCCTGGGTAAATACATTGGCAATGTAAAAAAGTGTGCATTCCAATGTTCCGTGTTTTTTTTAAATAATAAATTAAACATTCGTATCGATTGCATCCTGTTTGCCTGGAAACGAGCTTTATTTTCTCAGGGTCATTCAAGTGTCACTATGGGTCACCTCTGTGATACATTTTTACCGCTCAAACTCCATGAAGCTTCAGAATATTAGGAATACTCCATACGCAATTAACAGGTTGCTCTGTCGAAATCGATTCCAGCTGGTTCTTCCTAATAATTTCTATTTCTGTTATTTAATCCTTGGTTCGAACAACCGGGTGGTATCATTATCTCTCAAATATAAAGTCTGACTTATGTCCAAGTACTCAGTGAATGAGTTAAAGTATAAAGGTAACGGGAAACAGACATCTGAGACGAAGCTCTTTAGCGCTACTCGGTTCTATACCTTTTATTTTATTTCACTGTGAACGTTCTTTGAAAGATTGCTTTTTTTCTTCTAGTTTTATTGACGGACTTACCTATAGATTCGTAAATTCACTACAGTACGCATAAAAAATGTTTGTTAGACACATTGAACGAGTGTGTCTCTGTCTTCTGTGTTGCTTTAGGACAATGAGTTGCATATACGCTTCCTCTTCAAGCTGAATATAAAGTGATATAGTTGAACATACTAATTATATATCTCGTAGATACGATGTTCAACGATTGGACCATAACAATCACGTGCTAGTTAACTAGATAATGAATCACCAACAGCTAGTTTCCTCCAAATGCCTACGACATTTTATCATTATTTTGTATTCATGTTCAGCTTATAAGCACATTATTTTATTACATAAAAAACCTATTCATCTGACTAATGGTCGTGTCTTTGATGCTAAATCATTCAGAGGCTTGAGTCGATATGGTCTAGTGAGTGTCCATCACTCGACTGCATCATATCACCTAGTCCATTCATTGATTAGCATTCTATTCACTGATTTCATCAATCGATCTCATCAATCAATAAACTCTTTCTCCATAAAACTCGTTTACCAGCATTATCATTATTTTGAAACCCACTTTTTATACTTTAGAAAGTGCAAAATCAATCCGATGTATATATAACTCTTCTAAGAAAAAATATTCCATCTAACAATCCTGTCAGTTTTATTCATAATCCTTCAAAAACCTCAATAAATGCCGATTGTAATGAATTTCATCATGTATTGTCAGTTCTTGATCATAGTTTGGTGGTACACGATTTAAACGCTCCATTTATCGATGATGAATACGACTGTACACATTCGGCAGAATACAAATCACAAACTTCGGATGACAATATCGACTTCAATAATGCATTACTATCAAATTATTTAAAAAGTATGTTATTTTTGATAATATAAGTTGATTCAATACTTTTTAGTACAATTGTTTTCTTCTTTGTAAGCATTGTATTAATCAGGTTTAGCATTAGGTTAAAAGGGAGTTTCTGTTTTCAGTTAATCATATGGTTTGTATAAACAACTAATTGAAAAGTAGGTTAAATGTTAAAATTTTGTTAGTATGATAATGTTAAAAAAACATAGGCAATGTTTATCCTTTGTCATCTTAAATCATATATATATATATATATATATATATATATATATATATATATATATATATATATATATATAATTGTGTTTCTAGTTAACTATTATAGCTTGTGGCCTATTAAGATATAACATAATGATAACGACAATCAGAGAACATTGGCTTATCGACCGGACCAATGACGCATAAACCCGTACGAGCAGTCTAGAGTCCTTATCGGTCCTTCTTCCTATCTAGTTCTGCCTGTTAAGTGCAGAACGCCGATGTCGGCTTCCGCAACACAAATTATGTATTTCAGACATACTTGGTTTATATACAAACCAAACAGACTACATCACACCATAAATTAGAAAATAACACTTGTACAACATCTAGCCATAAGTGGCTGTGATTGTGGAAGACTGTAATTAAAAATCTGGGAATATCTCAAGTATGGCGAATCGTATAATAATAGTTCATAGGTCAAAATAAAGCTTATAATAAGAGTAATATGATTATACATAGTTTAGTTACTCAACAATTACACAATAAAGATATATGTATAATATTAGTCCATAAAGAGATCCCAACAATTACCATTTATTATTCTCGTCGGGATATATCCTTAACAAATAAAATTTACTAAAAATAGGATGACGATCATATCATATCGTATGTCAAAGAAAATTGCTTAATAGTCGAGAATTGATTAAAGATAATAAGATGAAATCAAATGTGAGAAGGGTGGATAATAGATCAAAAACTTGCAAGTGATAACGAATAATTAGAATTAAGAAAACTAAAACATAAAATCAAGTCACCATTTTTGAAACTTTAGGTGTTAGGGCCATCGAAGAATGATGACTTGCATGTATCTCTTTTGCAATCAGAGCTTAAGCATAAAAAGTAGGATTGAAAGCGCTTCTGCAATGCATAAGTTATTAATTTGTGCTCTTCTCAAACTAAATCATCTGATTATATTGATGATTTCGAAGTATTTATTATTATTATTACTATTATTATTATTATTATTATTATTATTATTATTATTATTATTATTATTATTATTATTATTATTATTATTATTATTATTATTATTATTATTATTATTATATGGTGTTGTGTGATCAGAATTCACAAGGTGTTTTAATATTGGGCTATTGGTTATTTTACATTCGCCTTTTGAGAGCCTCATAGGATTATACTCGGAGATGCATTTGGGAAGAGCTCACTTTGTGTAATAAATGTAACCTGCTCCACAAGAGCAAGTAAGCTCATAAATACATTATAATGTGGCTCGACACAGTAGTATATCTTTGGCATATCCATTAATGATAGTGTGGCTGATAAAGGCAATGCGAAAATTAGCAGCATAAAAAGATTTACTTGAGGATTCCGTTAGATGGTTTTTCAGTGAATTATAGGTTTTCACTAGTGGTTTAGCTTAAATCGATTCGCGAAATCAACTGCGAAAATACTACAATTTCCACAAATCCTTATACTGATAATAATCATGTGTTCACTAGTGACTAACTTGAACATGGATTTCCTGGAGTTCTAGTGAGAAGCTATGACCAGTGGAATTGAATCCGTGTTGGGTGTGAGATAGTTATCCGCCTCAGTTAGTGGATGAAGGGAAGCGCAAGATCATGGATCGATTGAAGTTAAACATTAACACCGTTGGATTCCGGATTGACTCGTGAATTCAACTGTGGAAATACTACAATTTCCACAAATTCCCATACTGATAATTAGTTTATTTGTTAATTAACTATGAATACGATTGTGCACCATAAGTAATTGACATCATCGAAAAGAAAATTTTCTTCGCTAAATTGTCCTTAATTCTTTTTCAATGAAAACCATATGTTGCTTTCGTTATATATATTTGTGCATTTTATTCCGGGAATCTATTCTCTTTTCTAGAGTCGTCTCTGTTTGATTACTTACTAACAATAATACGTTTACAGTTTTTTATTAGTCCTAAACAAGACTGAAACCAAATAAAATCAACCTGAGTTAGGTACTTAGATTTTTTTGTAGTACTAAGTTATAATCTGGAAACTTACAGCTTTTTCGTTACTGATGAATTTCACTTATATTAAACACATAGTTTAGATTCATGTATATCAACCGTCTAGTAGTAGAATTAGTATTATTCATAGTTATCAGTTTCATGTTTGTTTAGTACTGGTTGCATTTTATCAATCATGCCTGAAATATAAACAATAGACAATGTCTTGACATCGCAACGAAAAATGATGTAAGATATTTTGGAGGCAGTTGACGTGAATCCGTTAATCTAGATGTCATACTAGGTGGTACTCATCTTATTTTTATTATCAGCCTGGTGTATCTAAAATCAAGAACTTTCTGTGCATTGATTTCAGTCACCTATATATATTCAACCAAAGTATCATTGCTGAAATGATCTGTTTGTTTAAACCCGAACATTGGTACAAAGGGGCACCAAAATATATATGCGCCACAAAAATTCTTGAATTTTTGTATAGTCTGGGATGCTGTTCAAATGTCCAAACCCAAACAGATGATTTTTGTGGTGGGGCTACTTCCTGAGCCTTTGACTTAGAAATTCAATCCTTAAAGTACTGGAACAACGTTAAGAGATAAGGTCTCATGATAGCCAGCGACCGAGAATGGGTTCATATCCCATTTGTTCCCTCAGGATCCTGGAGCTAATGAACACTATTGATTTGGAATGAGACTTTTCCAACTCTCGTGCTCACAAATCAGGTTTAAGTGACGGGCATTCGCTTTTAGTTATATCAATTTTGTGAACAACACCCTCTTTGTAATAATGCAGTGAGCAGAATCTCCCTGGCAGTAGCTATATGTGCGTAGCCATAGGAGAGCCCTTCGAAGAGGGAGAGCGAACTGTCCCCACTGTTATATCCGAGCGAAGATTAAATCACGAGTAACTTCTGAGACATATTAGTTGACTAATATTATCTATACGTCCTTATGGTGTAACTATTCAATAATTAGATTATGTATATTTATATTCCTCTTATTATAAGCTTTATTTTGACCTATAATTTATTATTGTACGATTTACTGTTCTTAAGTTGTGTTCCGTTTATTAATTACAGTCTCCCACGTTCACAGTCACTTTTTGGCTTTATTGTGTACAAATGTTATTTCTTATTTTATGGTGCGTTGCTACCTGTTTGATTGATATATAAACCCAGTATGTCTGAAATAAATGATTCGGCTCGATTCGCATAGTGGAAGCTGGTATTGGTGTTCTGGACTCAAGTGGACGGGCTAGGCGGCCATAGGACCAATAAGGAAGCTAGGTTGCCCATACCGGTCGAACGTCATTGGTTTTGGCACAGTGCTAAGATTGTATAAGTCGTATTTTGATTGGTGGATAAATCATGTGATAAAGAGCCAGACATAAAGTCACAACACCCACCTTCGGCCGTACCAGGGGATTTGGGGATCATGATAATTAATGCTAATAGGTGATCAAAAACCATTACGGTTCCGTATCTGATTGTCACATCAATAACGTTGTTGTTTCGACTATTATTACAGTAGATTTTGTTGTTTTAAAATCATACTAAAATAGTTTTTAATACATAATAGAGCCTTCTAAAGAAAGTCCATGTACCAAAACAGAATTTTTGTGTTAGTTTTTTTAATGTGCACTTGTCACTTCTGACCAATAATGCTTGTGTTTTTAATCAACTCGTTTCAATTTTCCCATTTGGATGTTATATATATACTTTGTTTGTACTTTTCAGTTCCTGGACGTGTATATCATATGCCTACTGAAAGCATCATCTCATCAGAACGTCTTCGTGAATTAAATGCAAATATAATTGCTGGTCCATATTTATTAAGTGATTTTCTTAGTATGAATGATCGTTGTAGTAATATTCCAATGACCAGTTCAGAATTAATTAAATCACGTTCACGTTTATTTTCTGTGCATATCAAAATAATTGATGCCAAAAATGAAGTTAGTGCTTTTCCCCTTTGTTAAATTGTATTTTTATGGAGTACTTTGATTACAGTCCCATTTTTCAGAGTGTGAGGTTGTAAACCTGTGATTCAGGGCAGGAATAAGTTACTAGTGAGCAGCATATTTACAACTGAGGAACATCTTGAACTCAAAGCAACTGTCAACCAACACCAAGGTCAGGATTTTCAACACAAATGTCAAGACAGTTCTACTGTATGGAGCGGAAACCTGGAGAACTACGAAAGCCATCATCCAGAAAATACAGGTGTTTATTAACAATTGTCTACGCAAAATACTTCAGATCCATTGGCCGGACACTATTAGCAACAACGTACTGTGGGAGAGAACAAACCAGATCCCAGCGGAGGAAGAAATCAGGAAGAAGCGCCGGGAGTGGATAGGACACACATTGAGGAAGGCACCCAACTGCGTCACAAGACAAGCCCTCACATGGAATCCTCAAGGCGAAAGGAAAAGAGAAAGACCAAAGAACACATTACACCGAGAAATGGAGATAGACATGAGAAAAATGAACAAGGATTGGATGGAATTAGAAAGGAAGGCCCAGGACACAGTGTGTTGGAGAAAGCTGGTCGCCGGCCTATGCTCCATTAGGAGTAACAGGGGGAAGTAAGTAAGTAAGAAGAGCCGAGACAGATATATTCCTGTAGTTAGTCACATAATCGATTATTTTTTATATTGTGACTCTAAGCTTTACTCAGATTCAATTGTGGTCATTGGTAAAATTATAACACATCGGCAACCTTGAATGATTTCAGGGATGACCTTGAGATTGACCAACCGCAATTAGACAATCAGGATATAAACCTTTCGTATAAGAGCCCTGAAATATAGGAAAATGATAAAATTACATAGGATTTGAAGCTTTTACATCATCATTAAGCCTTTTATTGCTGAATATCAATAATTTAAGCTTTAAGTTATTGTTCTGTAATCAAGACGGATCCTAGTCCAACATATTTTAAAACCTAACTCCCAACCCCAAAACACTTGACTTCTAACATTAAAACCTCTGAACGCTAGGTCCTAATTCCTAAACATAATTCCCAACCTTAGTACTCTTAAATGCCTGTTCCTTAGCCTAAAACTCCCAAACCCTGACTTCGAACCTTAATACTGCTTACATTAACACCTAAACTAAACATATTGACCTTAACAGTTCATTCCACAAGAAAATCATCATTCAATCTTTCCGAAGTACAAAATATTTTGGAAATCATGGGTTTTAGCAACAACCTATCGGCAACAGCGTTTCGGATTTACCCATCGGCTAGCTTAATTTCTATTGGTCGCTCAGGGCTGTTGGTACAATATAATTTTCCTTGGTTGATTGCTTATACTTTAAGTAGTTTATTGTTTCTTTAGTCTGGTTCTCTGTATTTGGTCGGTAATTGTTTATCTGCGTATCACGTAATGTATACGATATTAGCATTATCTAGTGCACCAACAGAGTGCCTGGCAAGAATGTATCAATTATCCTATTATTATCACATATTGAGTATCAGTCGCTGAAACAGCAGTTTTTTCAAGGTTACTATCATAAAACACGAATTATATGCCACTTACCTGTATGAATGGAAACGTTCACTATTTAGCTGGCTGTTTTTTAAAAGAGAGAAAATGATGTAAACCACATATTCACCTGCTAATGTTAAATTTATATAGTCCTTCTAAGTGTTGATCGGATCTTTTCAATCATGTTGTAATATGGTCACTAGTCATTGTGCCTGAACATCACTTATATTCTGTTAATATGTGTGTTGATTCGTTGAATGTAGTCAACAAGAGATCTTGTGTCTAGGTTTATCATTATATAACGCGTTTATTTATCTATTTATACAAGTAGGAAAAGAATATTATTGTTGGGGATGTTAGCTCCTCAGAACTCACTTGGTAAATGTCTTGTTTTTGCAATTTTATTTTGGAAATTTGAAGTTCTTGTTTTCGCGCCAAAAGCGCCCATTTTCATCTTCATGTCCTATTTACCACTTGGGAAGACCTTAAATGTCATTGATTCGTTGTCTCTTTTAATATGCTATTTTGTAACGCTTCCCAACGACATTTTTATACTGTATATATACGCTTGAATTATGCTAGTGGTTGTTGTTCGTGCTTCTGGCTGCTTGTGGAATACTTTTACCTCTTCTTAACCTGGACTTTTCTCGCTGATTAACGGGGCTAGGATGCATCGGAATAGTTCGATTATTTGGTCATTGTGTCACTGAGTCTACGTTCCGTTCTCAGATCACGGGAACTCATAATCTCTTCAAACATACCAATCATGTTATCCTATTTTGTTTCCATTTTTTTAGACTTCTTCAAATCTTGATTGTCAATCGGCTACTACAGTTGAAATTCAACAACCACCTTTATTACTATCTGATATATTTGCACAAATTGGTCTGAGTGTTCATCAGTTTAACACCACCTGTTATCGTTATGACCATCCTGCTCCCCCTAATGATTTTGTTAATGAAACACCATCGTTATCAACTGATCAGCTTACAATTGTGAATGATATTGATAATGATGGTAATGGACATACATCCTTAAAGTCGTGTAAAATGCATACAATTTTACATGAAAGGGCTCAACTTTTAGCTATTCTACGCTCTATGAAACTTCATGAAGATTGTTTTAATTTTCTTAGCTCAACTGATGGTACTTGTAAACATAATAGTAATAATAATCATAATAAATGGAGAGACTTTCTTACTCAAAACTCCTACCATCATAATAGCAATTTTTCGTCAGTTATTCTAGATATTTTGAATTGGGTTGTGTTGATGTATCTTCATGAGTTAGAATTATCATGGTAAGTTTCCACTTTCCTAATAATAATATTATTTATGATGATGGTATTCTCATTAAAGTTAGATAATAGCTACCAGTGGATTCCAGAACACCCGTCTTGTCCTATTTGAGACTGGTCAACTGGATGTATTTGATATTTATTCCACCATTCAAATTCGCTTAAAATGCTTGTAATTTAATGGCAATATCAAGTTAATCCACATACGTTTGGTGGCTAACTGTTTTACAGTGGACATGGTTTAGCTCCACTGGTTATGATTTCTGTGAAAAACATCTTGGGAAGTTTCCTCTAGAATGTAGTCACCAGTGAACATATGATAATTGTTAGTGTGGGATTGTGGCAGTTGTTGAATTTCATTAGAATCATTATCTAACCTAGAGGAAGTGTTCGCACGCGATACCGAAAGTTTTGGGTTCGAGTTTAACGTGCGCTATCGTGGATCATCATTGTTGAAAAGCCCCATACTAGAACAAAATGACCCTTCCTTACGTCCAGGTTTGCAATGTTATTTTAATTTTGATCGGTTCATAATTTCAATGACATTGAACAATTGTCACAACTCCATACTGACTTTGGTATTTATCTTAATAATTACATTTTATTGTGTTGATATGGTATGGTAACCTTCACTGCTGCGTATATATGTCAGGTTGTTTGTTGTTTATCACTGACTGACCGATTTGTTGTCTTTAATAAATAAATATAACTTGCAACTATCTTCACCAACTTGTTATTCACTGATTTGGTTAGGTTAATATTCAACTTACAGTTTATACTGTATAATTAATATTATTTTCATTTGTTAATTTTAACCTTATTTAGCGATATCGTAGCGAATTTATTAAATTTGGCTGCAAATAATTATGAGATGTTAATTGAAAATGTAATTGTACACGGTGATCGTGAATGTGTTCAACTTGGAACAAAATTATTGTTTAGTTTACTCAAGTAAATTCTTGGTTATTTTCATTAGTTTCCTAATATTCGTATACTGTTGTGGAAAATTGTGCTATTCATATAATTTCTATCTCACACATATTAATTAAATTAGTGAGTTATAAATCTATTTGTTTAAATACATCTCAGTGGTGGTATCTGTGACTGTGAGTCAAGTTTAATTACATTGAGAGGAAAGTTGTTCGAGCATTAATTCTCTCCTAGATGACGAATATGATTTGATGACAATTACTAACACCGAAGTTTAGATTCATGACCGACTGGTTTCAACTGTCTAACACTAAAATATGGTCCACATGTTTTCGAAGCTAATGATCACATTGTAAATTGGTCGACATAACACAATCAACACTAAGAGTTAAATAAACGTGACATTAGTTACTGCTTAGTGACCAGTCAATCTACATTTATTCTGTTTGTTTAATCACATGATCTTTATGGTGTTCGCCTTTGTAAAGCATTCAAATAATATACTACAGTCTACTAGTACTTTATACATTCCCTCATTTCTCAAACACTATAGCTTTCAAATGTATTTCCGATATTTTTTATAAGCAGTATTACTTAATTGTAGTTTTAAAAAATAACCCAGTTTGAATATATCTTTTTATCAGTCATGACTGATGGACATAGTTCATTATCGTTCAGTATTTCTTATTCTCTCATTGAGCATGCTATTACCCGTTGGTTAAGGAGTTTAACTTCCAGTTGCTGGCTCGAAACCTACCCCACGTACTTGTATTTGGGTAACCACATAGTATTACTAGCTCTCACAATTGGAGTTTGGGTCAAAACTAAATGCCTAAGTCTATGCCTAGTAATAAATGAGATGTCATTAAATCAAATTACCAAGAATTCGACATTTTTAAGTAGGGTTCACAGATTACATGATATAATGTCAGTCAGTATATTCACTTCAAGTCATTGATACACTATCCGTTACTAGAGGTTTTAACCTGCCTACTTTCGCATGTATTTTATACGAATAACCTAGAAAATGTTCAACAAAAAAATAACCATTAGGTGAGTGTTTCCGTATTGATCGGTTGGTCATGTTGTTAAGGTACTGTGTTTGAGTATTTATTGGACAGACTCTGGATACATCTAGTTTGTACTATGCCAATTTTTATTTCTATAATTTTGTTTTTCATAGATTAGAATTTGTCTTCCTAAAATATTGCTCTTCAAATAATTCATCATATAAAAAGCCAATGGTTTTCCATGTATTACGCAATTGTCTGTCTACCGATAGTAAAACTACTACTGATAATAATAATAATAGTAGTAATAGTAAATTCATTCGTTGGTTATTAATTTGTCAAACATCAGCTGGATGTGAAACATTATTCAGTTTATTGGATTTCATCATTTTTTATTCTTTTGATGAATATCGTAATAATTTAAATGATTTAAAGGTAAAATTGTTATTACAAAATAATTTAATGACTTTACTCAATACAGTTTCATTGTTTCATGAGGATTTCAATCGTCTACACCCGTAAGTATTTATTTTGATATTGTTCTTAGTATTTATATTCAATCGCTTTTTTTCTTCAGGGGATTGTAAACATTGTATATGAAAGTTATGTTTGAGATAATCTCAGTAGTTGAAATTAAATTATTCAATTCTAACGTTTTATCCAAAACAACGTGTCTGGATCTCTTCACGGCGATCATGAAAACCAATTTCTGTCAAACTATTCGTTTAAATGTTGAAGAATATTCGTACAAATAAATAGTAGTTTTCATTCTTGTTTAATGACTGTGAGGGTGACGGAGGACCCTTAAGAATTGTTCACCTGTCTTTGTTTTTGAATTTCAAATAATCACCCAATCATTGCACAGACAATGTTGATCATTACTCGTGTAAACTTTGTGTAACATAGTCTTTTAGGGCTCTGTTATGTGGGAGGTTTCATGTGTTACACTCAAAATTACCTTCAATGTTCCAGATTGATTATAGAAGGAACAAAGTTTTGATAGATGATATTATTTGCAAGCAAGCGAGATAATTAAATTATGAAACAAACTGTTTCATTGTGATTTACATTGCACACTGGCTTCAACTAGATAATTATTAAGAGCCAATAATAACTAGACAATCGTCACTAACCTCTTATAATACTAATAGAAAAGTTGTTTTTTATTGTTAAAAGAGATATGAATCCCATTGTGGCAAAAAACAAACAAATATTGGATAACAGGACTACAGAACCATTCATTTTTTACTATCGATTCTTGTTATCTCGGTATGATCTGTTCGTTATTATCTATATCGTACTAGTTACATAGAATAAATGCTAGCAGTTAAGTGTTGGAGTGCGTTCCAATCTACTTGAGACTTTTCAGTTGGATTTACCTACCTCCCCCCATTGTTTATTTTCACATTAAGACGCGTTATCTACGGAGCTACTGAAACTAGATAGTAATCCACTTGTCTCAGGGATATGTTATGTTATTATTGGCAATTTTATATCGAGGCAATCCACACAAGATACACATATGCTAACTTAAGGTGATCAACATAGTAAAGTTTTTCAACAACAGGATAATTCAAATCCATCATAACAATAATATATATATACCACTGTAAGTTATTTCATCTAGTGGATCGGATTGGATCAGTGGTTTAGTGAGTTCAATATTTAGCCGCTGAGTTTTGGGGTCAAACTACGCTCCATTTTTTTTGTCAATTCAAAGCCATTGATTACAATCATTGTCTATCATTCTTAACATGTATGTACCTGATAAATAAGTTGAACTTACTTACTTACACCTGTTACTCCTAATGGAGCATAGGCCGGCGACCAGCTTTCTCCAACACACTGTGTCCTGGGCCTTCCTTTCTAATTCCATCCAATCCTTGTTCATTTTTCTCATGTCTATCTCCATTTCTCGGTGTAATGTGTTCTTTGGTCTTCCTCTTTTCCTTTCGCTTTGAGGATTCCATGTGAGGGCTTGTCTTGTGACGCAGTTGGGTGCTTTCCTCAATGTGTGTCCTATCCACTCCCGGCGCTTCTTCCTGATTTCTTCCTCCGCTGGGATCTGGTTTGTTCTCTCCCACAGTACGTTGTTGCTAATAGTGTCCGGCCAATGGATCTGAAGTATTTTGCGTAGACAATTGTTAATAAACACCTGTATTTTCTGGATGATGGCTTTCGTAGTTCTCCAGGTTTCCGCTCCATACAGTAGAACTGTCTTGACATTTGTGTTGAAAATCCTGACCTTGGTGTTGGTTGACAGTTGTTTTGATTTCTAGATGTTCTTCAGTTGTAAATATGCTGCTCTTGCTTTACCGATCCGCATCAGATCCATCCTGTTCATCAATGATGCTGCCCAAAAATGTAAAGGTTTTTACGTCTTGCAAATCTTCTCGGTCAATTGTAACTGGATTGGTGCATTTTGTGTAATAAGTTGAATGTATATTAAAAACTATTGCACATATTCATTTCTTATTCTAAATTTATGTGTTTTATTTATTTATTAATTACAGTTCATATCGTTTACCTACATGTCTTGGTCCACCTATGCTATTCAATCTACCAATATGTAATTGGACTTTCTTAGGTTCTGAATGCTTACAATCAACCAATAATAGTAATAACAATAATAAATATCAGAAATCATTTCATTCAACAATTCCAAGTACTAGTAATAATAATAATAATAATTCTAATAATATGAATTTAAATTATGAAAATATTAAAAATTGTTATTCTATTAATAAAGATGTAATGAATTTTAATGGTATATTTACACCGAAAAATTATATAACATTTATATCTGATTCAAAATTCAATGATACTATTGATTTAGCGCAAAATACAAAATTAATAGAAACATCAAATGATTTACAAAACAATGATAAAATTGATGATAATAATAATAATAAGGATTCATTATATCTACTCTCATCTAATTATTCATCTGATGTATCATATATTAATTTCTCTGATATTTTCACATTAATGCGAAGTAATTACATTATGAATATTGATAATTCAAATAATATACATCATATTATATTATCAGATTTACAAGATTGGCCATTCAATGGTATATTAGATGTGGAACCATTAAAATTTCCTTTAGATAAATTATCAATTCAATTAAATGATGATTGTGATATTGAACGTGTGGATTTTTGTATGTTCGTTTTTTTTGTGGGTTGTTTTCTTTGCATTTTCTTGAATTTAAGTAGTATAATCTATATGAATAGTTTGTCAATAGTAAAACGAATAGTTTGATTACAGTTTAGCTCCGAATATAGAGAAGCTATAATTATTTTAAATAATCACAACGATTGAAATTTGAATGATTCCAACATTTCGTCTAATAAACGTGTTTAGATTTCGGGTTGTCTAATTGAGCCCTCGTATTTGAAGTGTAACTCAATATTAAGTAAATGAATTTGTGCCATGTAATGAGTTAATAATTATAATCGTTACGTCTTTGATTCTCCGGCCCATTAATTTGTGCTTTATATAAAGAAAGTTGTTTCGATCTAGTTTATGGCTTTAACATGCCTAGTACAATCTCTGGTATTACTACTCATGTGTTCGATCGTAACTCAACGGCCTTGAGGGCAAAGGGAGGAAAATTATCCGGCACGTGCAACATATATGAACAAACCAGTCAAGTTTCTGCACGAAATTTAATCATGCATTGTTGCTAATGTCAGTTCGTGATGAAAACCTTAATAATTCTATATTTAAATATTCATTGTTTATGTTACATTTGTTAATATCTGTTTTCACCATAAATCGTTTCGTAACTAAACATTGTTTTCTCATTGAATAAAATGTAGTTCAAGGTCGTTCACATACTTCTACTATCATGCCAATGGCCTATGACCTGAATGGTTGGCAAGTAGAGCGAAAACAATTCAGCTGTCCAATTTATTCCTAATTCACATTAACTGGAAAAGGCGCGTAAATAAGGTTCCGACTAACTGGACCACAACGCGCAAGTAATGAGAAGATTACAACCATATTCAAACTAGGACAATAGAGTAAAAAGATGAAATATAAATGTCACTTCTCAATTCATTACAGTCGATGAAACTCTTGGAAAATGTAAACTGCTACCTAAATTAACAACTTCACTCATTGCAATCAAAATGGATGTACATCTTTCAGTTTCTAATGTTAATCTCCATAAATTTTTTGGTTGAACAGTATACTGGGCATAGGGAATATCTCGTTTGTAATTAAAATTTATGGGTTCAATTTCAATGTCATTAGGTTAGTGGTTCGAAACTCATATCACCTACATCAGTTTGGGTGATTGGATAAAATCACTAACCTTTAGTCATTAAATATTTCTCAGAATTGAGTATACAAACATGCGAATGTTTAGTTGTTGAATTATATAAAAAATAAAATAAAATTACCGTTATGTATGTATAATGACCCTAATTGAGAAGTAATTCTTTTTACTATTTGTTTCTCGTTAATATTTAACTGTAAATTCCGCTTATTTATTTTACATAAGAAGTATAATACTTTTATATTATTGAGTATATACATTCAGATTAGTGAGGCGAATAATCTGGTGGTTACGATACAGGGATATCAATCAATAGGTCACAAGTTAGAACCTAACTTCATTTAATTCAGTTTGAACAAGCATCACATATACTGTGTACTTCCAAGTCAAATATTTTAATATTTAACTGATAATTGGTGATAATAACGATGGTACAACACATTAGTCATAAGTAACGTAACACCTGAAATCTATGTTCATCAGTTCAAATTGCTACATTATATCACTACAGTTGGATGAAATTACGAAGACAAATGCGATAGTAATACAACTATTAACAATATCAATAGTATTAGAAAAGGTTAGGGATAGGCAATATAAATTGAGAAAGAAGAATGAATTTTCGAAATATAAAAATATGAGAGTGAATTTGTCTTCAACGTATTCTAAGCTTATACATTCAATGTCTCCAATTTTTGGTTACGATAATCGCACAGTTTACACAATTAATAAATACAGATTCGTGTACTTGATTTTAAATCATATTTTTTTGTGGGAGAAGTAATGATTATTGTGTAACTCATCAAAACCAAAATCGGCGACATGGAACTCGAAACTTCAACCGTCATTTTTGAATGCCTTAACCACTACACTCGTCCTATTTGATAAATGAGCTTCACTCGTCTATTTTCTGTCTAAATCATATTTCCTTTTTGTGTATTTATTAAATAGTTTTCTGTAATTTAATACATTTTTTTCCTTTTACATTTTACAGTTACTGGTGAACAATTACCAATAAATGATAAAAATTCTTATGTAATAAAATTCAATCAATCACAAGTTGAAACTAATAATGAAAATCATCAGATAACATCTATTATATCTCATCTCATTAATTCCATTGAAGCTTATCATTTAGTAATATCTCGTATGCATCCAGGTGCTCATCGTTCTGTTACATTTAGTACTTATTCATCATCAATAAATTATTTAACTGATCTAATTATTCCAATGAATCCTTGTTTACAATGTATTACATTAGAAGCTATATTCATAGATAAATCATTCAAGAAACCAATAAGTTCGACAAAATTAATAGCTGTATCTACTGATATAAGTCATTCTGCTTTAATATTACGTGATATTTATCCACCAATTAAATTTACTCATTTACGTATTTCTATAGTTGGTCGATTAGATTGTCCATTCACTAAAGCACGTATTCATTTAGGTTCATATTTTGGACAAAATGGTATATGGGAACAATTTATACATCCTTTCATGAAAACAAATTCTAATAGTATTGATTTAATACAATATTTAGAAAGTATTGTATTAAATAAAACAATGAACTACATTTCAATTCAACAATGTTTAATGAATACATTAGACCAATTTAATAAGAATAAAAAAATGTAAGTTTTTTTTTACAATTCAATTACTTCATTGATAAATAAAGATAATAAATGGAATTAGATATTATGAAATAAAACTAAATATACATTGTATACTATTCAGAGAAGGAGAAAAAAAATCTGATGCGAGTCATCATTTGTTATTTCTAGTCGATAATCTATGGTGAAGTGAATGAACCTTGATCGATAGCATTCGATCTGCACTAAGAAGGACTTGACACACATGACATTGATCACCACCAAGTGGTTAATCAATTGTGAATACATCTCAGTAGTCTTACAGGAGGTCGGTCGCGGCCCGGGTAGCTGGGTGATACGGGATCGAAACCGTCAGGGAGCACCAGTTCTCTCAAGATTACAGGTACACCTTGCTGACGAGTGCCAAGTAGCAAAAACCACGGGTCCATGGTTTCCTGTTGACTACCTCCAACCACCATTCTATCTGAACCTTGTTTCTGATGTATTTGTAAATATTTTTGTATTGGAGTTAGTCATATGAACAAACTAGAAAAATAGTAGGTTTTTACAGATTGTGTAACAAATGAAATTCAGAACTCACATTTCATCTTATTTTGTACTCATCAGCTGGGTGTACTTTCTACATTCTAGTGTTAATGTTCACACTGAGACTTGAAATTTTGGAACTTGCAGTTCAAAAACCAAATGAGTTATCTGTGCAATAAGCTATTAAGCCAAGAAATCCACTAAAATGTCCCATATATATGATCTTATTATTACAAATAGTGATAGTAGTAGTATTGAAAAATAAAATGTTTATGTTACGTAATAATCTTAGTCCTGTTTTACGTGATTGTTAAAAATTGTTGATTTACATCTGTTTCTTGCCATTTTCAAACATTTTTTGAAACTTCATTGTACGTTTTAGTTCCGTAATTTGAATTTATCAAATATATTAGTTCATCATAAATTGTATTCAACCACGTCTTTATAAAGTAGTCACTCACTAATGACATTGGAGGATGGTTGGACGGATTAGACGAAGTTGGACATATAAACCATTGGATTTATTTAATGGTTAAGTGCTCACATTGATACCTGAAAGTTCTAGGTTCGATCGCTGGTTGGGTCGTGACTGTGCACTGCCGAGGAGTCCCGTAGTGGGACGAAATAGTTGTCCAGTGCTTCTTAATTTAACTACGTGTAGTATGTTTTTAAACTGGAAATCTTACCTTTGGAGGAGCGTGTAAAAAGCTATACTTGCTCCATTTGCATTGTAATCTGACTGAACTTCGTATAAATCGTACATTTAAAAAAAGTTAAGTAAAAATCTATTCCTCAAATGAATAAAGCATTTAATTTTGAACCAGGAGGTTCCGATTTTCAACATAGATACACGTAGATTTAGGTTGAAACTGTTGGAGATTACTAATAAACCTTCAATAATGAAAGTATATTCAAAAAGCGGTATATGAACCCATACTTTATTCTGCGTTTCATCTATAATAATAATGTAGTTGTCAGTGTTTGTTTTTTCAAATTCGTAATATTTGGGACTGCTATTGATCAGTTTCCATTAAAACATGCACATTTTGAGTACATATTGTCATTTTGTCTTAATTAAGATAAATTGTACGATAAGTCGCAAGCTCATAACATAACAACTAGTCAATACTCTCGGCTTGTTTTCAATCAATTCTCCGGGTAATGTGGGGCAGTTCGTGATGTGACTTCTCTCATTCTCCTTTCAAATTGAATTAATATCTGTATGCAACCCAACCTGGATACAACGTTTATTCTAGTCTTTCTGATGGGACTGGGTTCTCCCTTTGTTATATTAAGCAAGTTCGGGATTTAACCACCACTACTACTACTGGTACAATATCGTAATCTCCTGTTCATCTTCTTTATGACTCTGTTAAGTATGTTTATCTTCCTTTTTTCATTTATTTTTGCGTGTATAGATCCAGTATATCATTAGATAGTGATAATATCCAAATATCATCACTATATAAACAATGCTATAGTTTACAATATCAATTGAATTGGATAGATCGTACATTGAATCGTTTAAGAAAAATATATCAACCTGAAAAACTGCGTGAATATAAGAGTCGAATTCATCAAATGGTTTGTCAATTATTAACCCTTATTATTATGTAATTGTTGCTATTCGTCTTGTTAACTTTTTTTCTGTCTTACAGAAAATAATTGATCAACTTAGTCTCTTGGACAGATGATGATTATGGTTATCAGATTGATAAATGAACTCATATCAAGACTGTTTTCCTGTTCAGAACTGAATACATCACAGATAGTAGAGCCACTGTTCAGTTAATTTAATAGATATTGTAATGAATTAGTTTTGTCATTGAATTATTGAATAATTAATCAGGATCATGTTTGAAGCATTCAACTATTCCTCCAGAAGGTTCTTTAAAGCTCAGAAAATACTGTTCATTTAGCGTTCACTGGAAACTGTAGATAAATCTGGAAAATCAATGAATTGTGTATCAACTCCTCACGGGATAAGTACCGATTTTTGTTTACTAAACTTAACATATTTCCAGAAGCTTCAAAGATATCAAAGTTACCCATAGACCTACGAATATTCTTGTTCTTGTATCTAAAGTAACCTTGGAAGTAAATCTTCTTTATACATTCCCCACTTTTTGTTTTTCGTTCGAAGTTCAAGTGTAAGAGATTTCTTGGGAACCAAGGAGCAGTTAAAATGTCAGTATTAGGCGTTCAAGTTTGAAATTGCTGGTGCGTTACAGTTTAGACCTATCCAATAGGATTAATTTTCCAACAACAAAAAAACTCAACCATAAAAACTTTGCAATTAATTACTTTCTATTCAATATCACACGGCAATCTGTTGTACGCGCTCACATCGATTTATTCCAGATAGTGGTGGCGGAGTAGTTAAGGCGTCTAACTTTTAACTGCCAATTCCCGGCTTCCAACCGCTCTCCACTCACTTTGATTTGACAGCTGGATCGTACGATTAACCTTTACACTTAAAATGTGACTCAGACCTTAGTACCTAATGAATAAGTTAATTGAATTTAAACTGATATTACAGATTCTTCGGAGTCGTATTCCATATAAATTAGGTTTTAAAAGGCCTTATTAAAACAACTTCAGCTCTTAGTCCAAAATGCTTACTTCGACGTCTCATTCTGGTTGGTTCGAAGGTAGGTTGGAAAAAGGTTACATTGACTGAACCATGACGTGGCATAGATCGAGACCGATTACATTGTTACAGATGTGTATTTTGTTTACCTTCCCTTATATATTGATTTTCGTACTTTTCTTTCCCTGAGTACACTGCTTTTTGATCCCCATCTTCTATGTTCAGTCTTCCTCATCATCATTTACACTACTGTTTTTGATCAGTCTCTTTTCGTCATATATGAATCCTGTGCAGATTACCTCGGTATAGGCGTTAGTTGAAAAACTTTATAAGCAGAGTTTGATAATGTCTAGCAGTGAAGTCCAGCTGATGAGTGCAAAATTGAACGAAACGCGCACTGTAGATCCCATTACTAGCCACCATCCATCTCTGTCTTTAGGTTTTTTTTCTTTAACGATATCTTTTTTTCTATACATATATTTCTCCATTTTGTTTAATTTTAGTCTAATGAACAGATAAGAATGAATTTGTATCCAGATAAAGTGAAGTATGTTTTGGAACATTGTTTACTGTGTTTGTTAAGTCATGCAAATGAAATCTGGTCAGTGATAGAACCTCTTTCATTATTAACCCAATCAACAGGAGTTTCACCATTAGACGATGATGATTACACCTTTTTAAATTATGTTGATAAGTGTTGTACAACATTTTTAAATGATATGATTATTCATGGTAGTCGTTCAATGCAAGTAAGTTATGTTTCTTTTTTGTTTGTTTTTTCTTAATAAAAAAGAATGTTTATTTTTGTAAGTCTCTCTCTTGATAACATATATTTTAATTTAGATTTTCATAGATGGTTATCATTTTTTATTGTTGTTTATCTCTAATCTATAAGTGTTCCTGTGTGATAACTTCAGATTAATGATTAGCCAGACTACTTTGATTTTCATGATGTCCTAGTTTTCGTAGCCGTGTAACTGACGAAAAATATTTCAGTACAACGATTATAATAATCTTAACAGATTTTACCAATTCTAGGCACTTTATGACCAGAAAATGTTGTCTATCTTCCACAATTTACAACATGGATTAATCATAGTTAGACTCTCGATAGCTGTTTATTCTTTGTCAGTATTTCGTCATTTACGCTCTGGTGATTAGGACATGTGTCACTGATTCTCATCGATTGCCAACTTCCACGTAAAATTACTGTTAGGATAGGAAAAGAAAAAGGCTAGAGGTGGCTAAATCAAAACTAGGGATTAATTCATGAAGTTATTGATTATTAGTTTGAGCTGTTTCAGTAGGTGGAATATATCTGATTAATGTCTACAAACTAATTGTTATTTACGGTGAAAGACATCAATTAACATAATTCTAAATCTATTGGAATCGAGTACATGGATTCATTGCTTTATCTTCTATTGAATCTTGAATCTTAATTAAATCTGTTTTATCGGAACTAAAAGTAAAATTCATAATGGGCACTTTTTCCTATTTGAAAATTATCAACTAAATTTCATACTGTTGAGTCTCAGCGTTGGTGTTCATTTTAAAACTCTCTTCAAACGTCAACCTGTTGCACACAACTAAACTATTGGATCCAGTTTTTAGTGTGAATGATATTTCTTCTTCATTGACGTTTTTATTTTTCCTATATGTTAATACTTAAGATTAAATATTATAGATTACAACCAGTACTTGAGTTGAAATATGTTACTCTATACCTTTTATTCAAGAATTATGATGATTCAGCGAAGAAATTTTTTCTTTCCAACTATATCATTTACTCAAGCTGTACAATCCTATTTATAGTTGATTTACAAATAAAATAGTCTATTGAAGAATAGGAGGACAACTACTTCATATCATGTGTTAAAGACAATTGTTTAATAATCGAGAATTGATGAAATCAAATGTGATAATAAGAAGGATGGAGAATAAGTCAAAAACTTAAAAGTGATAATAACGAATAATTAGAATTAAGAAGACTAAAGCATATTAAGTGGATATAATAAAATTATGTTACCATTTATGAAAATTTAGGTGTTAGGGCCATAGAAGAATGATGGCTTGCACGTATCTCTTTTGCACCTAGAGCTTAAGCCTAAAAAGTAGGATTACTAGCCTACCTCTAGTGCATAAGTTGTCGATTTATGCTTTTTTTTTGGATCAAATCGTCTGACTGGCTATTTATTCTTTAGTTTCATTTAATTTCTTTAAAATTGCAAATTCTATTATTATTTTAAATTCTCTGTTGATTTCATTTCCTTATGTGGATGGAATTTTTGGAGGACTTCTGTTGTGTTCGGTCGTCGCAATTGTTGTGCCGGTAAAATCGCTGAACACCTATACTAGGAACAAGAAACCCTTGCAATTTCCACAATGCGAAGTAAGAACACAAGACTGGTATAAGTGATGATTTATTAGCCCCAAAACACGACGACGACGGCGATGATCAAAATATTGATTTTACACCCATTTTGATTAATAATTAGGATTAAATCACATACTCAGTTATAACAAATCACAGACTGAGTATAGTTCATGTCAATGGAATACAAGGTTATCGTATATTATACAGAATAAAATATCATGCGACAAAAGAAAACAAATACTACTGTGCATGATCATCACATTGAATTAGAATGAATGTAATGTTGAATAAAACTGACAATGAGTAAATCAATCAAAAATTGATTTTTCTTTCCATCATATCAACTTCACTCTATGCACATTTACCTCACCTTTAACATTGTTCATAGCTGTTAGATAGGTGTTCATCAACAAAAACATTGGGTTCCACAGGTTCAAATCTCACACGAGAACGTTGTTTCCCCAAAAAATTCCAGGTATGCTTAGGTGACAAGTACCGATTAACACTGTCTGTAACCACATAACATGTTAGCCTAGTGCACTCAATAACAAGTCATTTGAATTAGTGACATGACATTACATAACATGATATTACTCACTAATTTAGTGACCCCTAAATTGTAAATTATTCATGACTAGCTGACTGATTAGATGTTTTTTGTTAATGTGAAACATGCTACTGATATATAGATATATATATCTTAGGTTATTTTGCCTTGGTTAATTTTATTGCAAGTTTCTATATTGAAATTGATTATTTTGTGTGTTTTTTTAAATCTGTGAACAGATTCTTACAGTTGGATTAATGCCGGTGTTTATGAAAATCAACTCAATTATTTTGCCAATTCATCATACTGATCATAATTATCTTTATAGATTCATTAATGAATTTTCTACATTGAAAAATAATTTCTCACTAATAAAATCGAATGATTTACAAATTGTATTTACTAATGAATCTAGACAACAACTATTATTTTGGGCTATATTACAACGTTTAATCCATTCTGGAATGTCTAATGATCTATTTGATACTTCTGTATACATTCTTCATGATATATGGGATTCCATAGATAAGAATAATAAAGAGGATTCTTTCAACTTGGAGACGTTTCATAATATTCTATTAATTATTGATACAATCATAGAAAATAGTTGTTCATCTCTACTTACTGTTCATAAATCTTTACATGATTTTTTAACAGTATTAAATATGCGTCAATTATCATATAATGGTCAAATAGATATAAATGGTTTATTAAAATGGCATTATTTTCATCAATTATATAATAATGATCGATGTAATGCTATATATCCTTATTGTCAAACAATAAATACTAAAATAACTGATGGTATTTATAAATATAATTTATTATCACAATATCAATTGTGTATTGTTTCATTTTATCGATGGCATTTAGAACATTTAGCTAATTTATCAACTCAATATGCAGGTACATTTTGTTGATTTTTTTTTCTCTTGTTTTATATCAAATCATTAATATTTCTCAATTTAATTGTTTATTATTAGAAGGGGTTTTGTGGAGATTGTAGTAATTTCAATAGTTAAGATCATGAGTCAATTGAAGCTAGACTACCATGGAAAACCTGGAAGTAATGGACGGCCGTTTCCATAGTGATCTAGCTTCAATTGACTCATGATCTCAACTATTGCAATTATTACAATCTCCACAAAACCCGTTCTGATACTAATCAACATATGCTCACTAGTGACTGGCTTCAAGAGGTATATCCTGGAGTTCTAGTGAGAAGCAGTGCCCAGTTGAGTTCAACGGCGTCGGTTGTGAGATAGTAACTCACTGAAGACAATGGTGGATATGTCGCTCAATTTCGTGGATTAGTTGAAGTTAGACATTAAAACCGTCGGATCTCGGCCGTCTCAGTGGTCTAGTGGTTAAGTGCTCAAACGCGAGACTGATAGGTCCTGGGTTCGAGTCTCGCGGGGTGCGGGGTCGTGGATGCGCAGTGTTGAGGAGTCCCACAATGGGACGAAACGGCCGTCCAGTGCTTATACGTTTTCCATGGTTATCTAGCTTCAATTGACTCATGATCTCAACTATTGAAATTAATTGTTTATTTTAATCAATCTGTTTACCAAATACAATTAGATTTTTGTACTTTGCTTTATACTACATATTTATTAGTGATATTATTATTCTGTTGTTTAAATTGTTATAACAAGAACAGGATTCAAACTTGAGAATAAGTGGTTATATAGATGATGACAATTGGCAGAAGGAATGTTTATTTATCAATTATCCATTAGAATCTTTCAATGTGTTCTACAATCTGAAAAATTTTCTCGTCTTATCTTTAAACGTTCTATCTACTTCGTACTTTCAGTTGACTGATCTCTCCGTCTGATGACTGTTTCAGTTTCGATGCCACATTGGGCTTTATACTACGTATAAACAATTTTTATGTGTAGGGTCCACTAAAGTTGAAAGTTGAGCCACCATTCTGTTTTCTTCAATAACAACGAGTAAATTTCTTTTCAATGTGTTTGAATATTTTCTCAATATACATATATTTCTTTGCAAGTTTAATAGGTATAATCAAAGTTATTTAATAATTTCTATCCTTATTCAAATTAATCAATTATTTTTTATTCTGTATGGTGGAAAATGTATTCACATTGAATTTCATGCATAAACAAGGTATAACAATGTTGTTACAATTCACCTTAAATAGTACGTTTTAACATTTTTAGTTAATTGAAACATTTAGTCGTACTAATTTAATGTTTAGTAACTGTTCACACGGTTTATAATATAAGGTAGTTTGGTGTTTCTAAATAGTCGACGGCTTAGACTTTTAATCAGTTAGTTACAGCTGTATATCTCTATTCATTGATTTAGAGAAAACTTATTGGTACCACTAGTTGTGATGCACAATAAACGTATCGGACAGCCAAGTTGAACTACCTGAGTGCATTTGTATAAGATAATGAATATAGGAGCTTTGCAAAATTCTCTGCCCTGGTCTGGCCGAGAGCGGGATGGGCCTGCCCTCCCTCTCAAAATGCTCTCACACGGCCACACGTATACAGCCTCTGCCAGGGAAGTCTTACTCACTGCCTTCTCGTGGCGGGGGTGTTGTTTACGAAATTGGGAGGACGAAAAAGGAATGTCCGTAGCTTTAACCAGATTCCAAACCAATGATGTACATGGGCTCCAGTATCCTGCGGTAACAAATGGCGTATGAACCAACTGTTGGTCACCGGCTTCCATGGGACTGCATCTCCTTACGATGCTCCACTGTCTTGTGAGTTATACCTTTAGGTCAAAGGCTCGGGGTGTGGTCCCTCGAGAAAACCACCTGCTTCGGTCTGGGCACCCGGACAATATCACAGCCCTCACACAAATCGAATGATTTATGTGCCACATATCTACTTGGTGCCTCCTTGTACCAATGTTTATGTGTTTAAATAAATAAATAATAATAAAACTAGGTTTCTGCAAGCTCCATACAAATACTTGAGGGATACAGGTTACTCTGGTAAACTACGAGTGTGATGACAATTGTATTTTCTTTAGTAAGTAAGCTTTATAAAATTGTTGTAACAACTGAGAAACCTGTTATTCGAAATACGTTATCTAATTAGAAGCAGCAGTAGTATCTGCTCACTATCGGAAGATATTTAAGTTCGTCTGAACCACTGGCAGATGAAATCTGATGTCACTGTTACAAACTATGAAGTTTATAGGACGCGAATCAATAAGATTCGACGGCGTCTCGAATAGTGGATTGGGTTCTTGGAGGAACAGGTCGGCTGATCTGCTGTTTCAGTAACATAAATCAGACTGTCTCGTCCTCCATGGTTAGTAAGGATTTATCCACCTTACTAGACTCGTGAAGCGCTTTAATTCGCAGGGGTAATTGACTTATTCCTGATTCTTCTTAAGGATGGTAATGAACTCCCAGCCAGAGAGATTGAGTGGGTTGTTTAGAAAAGCTTTTGGGAACGGTGTTTCAACTTTTTAACCACGGAGTGAATAACAAATACATATCCGTTGTCCATTGTTTGTAAGTAAAAAGATCAAGATTTTGCCTCGGAAAGTATCACTAAACAGACTGTAATCATGAATGAATCTCATAAATTTAAAATCAAATGAAAAAATACAAAGTGAATAGACTTTTTCTCCTGCGACCATCTGTAAACTATGTTAACTAACATCATGATCTGTTCCTCGGAGTTATTGATTACGAACGCTTTTTAAATATTTCATATTTTATAATTTCAGCTAATCGTGATTATCATCGCCAAATTATTCAGAAAGATTTATTCCCATTGGGAGCATTGTTTGTTCGACGAAATATTGATTCACAGACATCAGTATTAATGCGACGGGTGAGTTTTCTATTTTTAAAGAAAAATGTCAGTAAATTATTCCTATGAATGTTATCGAAGTAGAGCTATCAAGCTCAATAAATGATAACACATTTTAATGTTGTCTGTCTCTTCCTCTCTAAAACATGTCCAACATAAAAAGACAACATTATGAAAAGTAATAGTTGATAAACATAGAGACAATGAATGTTGCGAACTTTCTGTTATTTTAGCATTTTTGTTCAACATTTAAGCTTAATATTCTTTTTTTTAAACACAGAGGTAATGCGTCGCAATTTGTTATTTTTTTTACCATTGTTCTTACACTTATTGAAGGTTTCCAGAATTAATATTAAGAGGTTTGGTGGATATTATAGTAATTTTAATAGTTGAGATCATGAGTCAATTGAAGCTAGACCACCATGGAGTTCTAGTGAGAAGCAGTGACCAGTGGAGTTCGACCGTGTTAGTTGTGAGATAGTAACTCACTGAAGACAATGGTGAATGTGTTGCTCACTTTCGTGAATTAGTTGAAGTTAGACATTAACACCATTGGATGCCGACTCAGTGGTCTCGTTGGTTAAGCGCTCGCGCGCGAGACTGATAGGTCGTGTGTTCGAATATAGCGAGGCAGAATCGTGGGTGGGCACTGTTGAGGAGTCCCATACCATGACGAAACGGCCGTTCACTAGTTCCAGGTTTTCTATGGTTGACCCATGATCCTAGGATTCCTAGGATTGTTAATTGATTTATATGGCGTACTAGGAAACAAATATTACACGCAACTGTCAAATGTTTATTAAGTATAGAAAATTGTAATAATTAAACCGTTGCTAAGTCCTGATACTAGTTGTGATTTTTTCGGATTTTTTTTCATTTAAATAAATTATTAATAATAGTTCGGTGACCCTATCGAAGACCTAAGTCAGAACCTTCAGCTCGCAGTGAGCATTTAGCTGGTACACGAAAGCGTACATCTTCAACTTTGATCAATTCATGATATTGCGCAGTTATGTTCTATTGAATGTAATGGTAACTGCTTCTTTAATGACATGGTTCAGTGGTCTGGAGGTTAAACGGTCATCGCGAGATCAAATGTCCTGCGTCTAATCCACGATGAAGCCATGTATGCATATTACTGATGAGTCCTATACTAGAACAAAACAACTGTCCAACACTTCTTGCTTTTCAGTAGTTGTCTAACTAAATTACTCCGTGATTGGAAACGTGAAAGGCTCAATAATCCCTTCAAACTTTCTACACTATTATTAGATAATTTGTTGAATAAATTTTAAAAAATTCCGAATAATTCATAATTAGTATCAGTACTTAGCCAACAGTTTAATTAATACAAATTTCTATAATTGATACATATTTGATAGTCTTGTGAAATATTTTTTGATGTTTATTGTAATGTGACTATGGTTATTTGTAAATCTTAAATGCTAACTGGTTCAACTTGTTGTATTAGTTCGTTTTTCTAAAAGAACTTTCTAAGTTAAAGTACACGAAATATAGTGCATAATCTGTAGAGTTCAGTATTTATTATCTCCGTTCATTGATCTAGCTAAAACTGATTCGAATATCACGTGAAGCCCTAGTTGCTACAAGATTTTAAGTGAACCTTGTTAACGAATGCCAGTTAGCTCAATATCTATATTGAACAGCAGCATTCAAACAATTATAAGAGGGGTCCTATCGAGATAACCTACAAACACCTAATACGTAAAAAGAGTGATGTAATTCTCGTCAAATTTACTTACTAAGAAGGATGCTGAATATAATTAAAATATCAGAAGATTCCTTTCAGAAAAGTTCTTTGATCTCCCTGTATTGTTTACTGCAAAAAATGAAAGCTCTGTTGAAATAGTCTTTTCATGTACTTTGTGTAATGATTTGGAAAATATATAAATCTTAAGTTATATCTTGTACACGGATCTGTGGATCAGGAATCTATGTGAGTAATTTTATGACATGTTCAATTTCGCATCCTGTGATGTCCTATGACCAGTCAAATATCACGTGACAGATTCGCTAATCAGAATACTGAATCCTATTGACCATGTCCCTATGCCAAAACAATGACGTCTTAAAACAGCACTAGCAGCTTTGATTCAAGTCTGAGTCCTTATTGGTCCTCTGTATAGTAACTTGTCGCCTAACCCATTCCGTTCAGTCCAGAACACAAATATTAACCTCCGCCATATGAGTCGTATGTTTCAGGTATACGTTGTTTAGATATACGTAGATCATGCCACATCACACCATAAAATGAGAAATAACAATTATATAAGTTCAAGCCAAAAGTGTATGTGAGTGTGGCATACTGTAACTGATAAATTGGGAATAAATAAAGAATAGTTAATCGTATACTGGTAGCTGATTGGTCAAATGAAAGTTTATGATTAAAAAAATATGAATATGATCTAGTTACTTAATAATTATCCAATAAGAATATGTGTAATAATAGTTCATAAGTAATTCCTAGCAATTACCATTTATTTATTCTTCGTTCGAGTATAACTCATCGTCTATGTATAGATTATTTGTTCATCGTGATAAGTAACATATTGCTTTCTCATCCGTAGTTTCACGTATAATCCCAGATTCCATCTTCCAAATAAGTGTAAATGTTCTTTTCTTTTTAGAAGAAAACTGGATTTTCAAGAAATTCTCAGTTATTTGCACATATTAGTACTTCTTTTTCTTTATATCTTCCTGTTATTTTCTAGTGTATCCCAGAAGGTATTCAACAAACCAATACCTATCCTAGCAAATCTTTTATTCCTCTGGAAACCTATCAAATTCCTCAACAACGATTTCTCTGTATGTTTGGTGATGATGAGTCTTCCGCTGAAAATTCTTTAATCCAACTATTACAGATTTTAACCGATGTTACATTAAAATTTTTAAATAATCTATTAAATTTATCATCTGTGGATAATAGCTCTACAATGTCAAGAGAGTCAATTTTATTTCAGAATTGTTTTGTTGTCTGTCGTCTACTTGGTCGTATCTGTTGGCATATTTCAGGTGATCGAATTCGTCAATGTTTCATTCCCGATGGAAATATTTACGAATCTGCACTTTTTAAATTCCTAACTAACTTTTGTCAACGTCTTGGTGATCAATCGTCTCTTTTGAATGATATGATTATTGAATGTTTATGCCTTACTCTTAATAGTGAATGCATTCCTGATTGTCCACAGACCATAAAGACAGATAACTATGGAAATATTGAAAGGTATAAAATGTTAACATTGCGATTTTCAATTCCTTAGTTTTGCTATTTGTAATTGTAGTATTTATGCAAAGAGAACTGGATTGAAATAATCATATACGAAACTTGAAACTGCTTAGGAATTAAATGTCATGATCCAAATTGATTTTTCATAGAATATATTGACTAGAGTTTTTATGAGCTCATTTTGTCTAATTATCGGACAGACTATCAGTTCACACCATTTACATTTACAATATTTCTTTTCAATGTTATACCTTTAATATTCTTCTTACTTTATTTCTTTTTTGCTTCTTTTTAGTATTGATCTTCATAAATCTCAAAATAAATCGTGGCCTTATCCAAACAATTCTGTGGTAAATTATCACCTACAACAAACTACAGATTTATTATGGCACTTATTACCTAGCCAATTATTGAACAGAGCACAGTCTATTTTACTGAAACCATTTGATCAACATCCCATTGATCATAATCATGCACAAAGAAACAGACTTAATACATGTTTAGCAACATCAAACAACAATGGTCATTTTGTATTATGTGAAATATTTTCTGAATGTATCAATCTCATGTTGAAAGATGCTAAATCTATTGGTCAACTGAATAATAATAATAATAAGCTACAATCGGTTCATGATCATTTGTCTGGTCAACATCCATATCTTACAAATGTTTTGTACCTATTCTGTGGAATTGTTGGTGAACCAAATTTCAAGTAAGTTGAATTTTATGTAGAAATAAGTTGTGAAAAAGTTTGATGTGAGCGAACCTTGGACATAATATAAATTTATAAAGTCGTTGATTGTTGGTATGATCCATATTAGTAAGTGTATACTTAACTGATTGTTAGGTTCGCGAAATGATCATAACTAATGAATCAGTGCCATTGTTCATAAGTGCTTGAAATAGTTCACATACGTTTACTTATTTTCCTGCTTTCTCACATTTAAAAAAATTATTTTGCTGTCTTTATTCTCCCGACTTATTCTCTGTTCTCAAAAAATCTCTATCTAGTGTTTTTACTACCACTACTTTTTATAGTCACTTTGATAATCTTTATATCGATCTTGATGTGATGCCGATGCATATATATCCCGGTTCCTACGTTGCTAATGACTAACTGGTTGACATATATCTTTAATTCTTAACATATTTTCTTATTGACAGGCCTTCAATTTAATTCGATTCAATAAAGCATTGAATTATTAGTTAAAACATATCAGTAATTCGCAGGTTTTCTAGTTGAACCCACCTAAGAGTGCTGTCAGTAATCTTCATATAAACTATTTGGTTCAAATTCGAGCATATAAAACCTTATGCCATTATAAACTAATTCGCTCCTCTCTTGTTCTTTTTTTTACTTATAGACCCTGGAAACTTACTTCAAATGATGAAACTTTTAAAAAATGCCAATGTTATGTAAAGGCTAATCTTCAAATAAATATTCATTTTGAAAGTTTACAAAACGTCTTAAAATTATTGGAAAACTTTGTTCAATCAATGAAAAAGACACAAACAAGTGATCAACATTACCTATCTTCAAAATCTGTTGAATTTTTGCGTAATTTTTATACATTTTCTATTCATTTTTTGGCAATATCAGCTGAATCATCAGATCTACGACTGTACATATTAGAATCTTCAAGTTTTTCAATATTTCTAAATACTATACTTACAGATTATTCACTAAGAAATGGTGTAAATCGTTCATGTACATTAGCTTTAGAAGTACTATTCACATGGTTTGCATATTCATCAGTGAAACTAATAAATTCTGATTGTCATCCATTTGATAAATTTTGTCTCGACCAATTAATTGGTTTGTTTCCAAAGGCAAATACTTCAGCTCAGTAAGTTTTTAAAAATGGCTTTGTTTGTTTGTTTGTTTTAGGTTAACAAAATTGTTCTAAAATATTCTTTTCAATACTTTAAGTAATTTTTACTTGTATACTAAAGAAATGGATTATTCAATATGTTGATTAGTTTGTCCATCTGTTGGAAAAATGTTTACTTCCTTTCTTCCAAAGAACTAACTTTATGGCTGAATGTTATTTAATATCAGGAGAAAAATCGTTTTTCACACTCCAGGTTATAATTTCTTCTCTCATTCTGTACTACTACGTCTATGATTTAGCATCTTAAGCTTTGGCCAATAATATGCATAAGACCAAAGTAATCTTGACTTCTATTAGTCTGCCGATAAATATGTACGTATTATTTTATAAAATAATTTCGAAAGTCTCTAGTTCTTCAGTATTCCCTACGTCACAGTTCAATAAATTGAGTTTTAAAAGAAAAACATTTTCCTGTTCCGTTAGACAGCTAGACTACATATGATAGTATAGAACTTTTTTAACCACTTGTAACTAATTTGAACAAGACAATTGCGAATTTACAAAATATACCACATATGTATGAAATAAGTTCATTTTTCTTATCTAACAAGGAAACAACATGAAGATCTGAACACTCTCCTTCAGTTATTATCAATTAATAAATATTAGTTTTTTCTTATCAGTAATAAATGACCAATCATATTGTAGAAGGGATTGTTAACCACAATTTTTCTGCGATGTTAGTGTAATCCCAAAGTAAAGCTTTTCTCGAGAATATTAATGATTGTCATTAAAGTGTTTGGGGGTGTACTCATTTATTTATTAAACACATAAACATTGGTACAATGAAGCACTAAATATATATGCGCCACACTTTGTCATCCTATTTCTGTGAGGGTTGAAATACTGACCGGGTGCCAAAACCAAACCAGTTTGTTTTTTAGCGGGGGCCACTCCACGAGCCTTTGACCTAAGGGTCTGGTCCACAAGTCAGTAGAGCAACGTTAGGAAATGCATTCCCATGGTAGCTGGTAACCAACAATAGGTTCATATGCCATTTATTCCCTCAGGATCCTGGAGCCAATGTGCACCAATGATTTAGATTCAGGGTTTTCCAATTACAACCCGTTTAAAGCACTAGACATTAGCTTTTCATCCTCTCAAGCAACACCCCCCTCCACTAGAAGGCAGTAAGTAGAACTTTCCTGGTAGTGATTGTGTACACCTGGCCATGTGAGATCATTTCGTGAGAGAGGGCAGACTCTCCTCACCTTCAACCGTACTAGAGCATTTGGGTGTGTAAGAGTTGTTTGAATTCAGTCATCATTACGTATAACTACAGATTAATTTATTGAAATTTAATATCTTCCCCATTTATAGCCTTATATTATTATGTTTTTCCTTTGTTATATTCATTTTATCCTTAAAAATAGGATTATTGAAGGTCCATGTGATTTACAAGCCGTTCTTTTAACAGCCATATGTTCACGTATTAAATCATTCAATCAAGCAAACACTGTTGACAGTGATAATAATGATTCTGATTCACTCCAACAAGAAATTCAAACAACCATCACCACATGTTCCATGCATACAATATCAAATTTACCAATGGATTATCTACTTCAACTTGTACAAATTTTATTAAATTATCTATGTGGTCAGCTTGTTGAGTTGAATCAACAATCATCAATGAATAATAATAATAATAATAATAATAATAATAATAATAATAATAATAATAATAATAATAATAATAATAAGGCTTATTTGTCATGTTTTTCATGTTATACTACTGTTGTCGATGAAGAATATGAATCATGTCATAAAAATTTCACCTTATGGTCCACACTAACTAGTAATCATATACGACGAAGATTAATTAGTGATCCTTCTAAAAATACTGTACAAAATCCGAATGATCAATCTTCAACTACTAATACTACTACTAGTACTACTACACCATTGTCAAATTGTTCCTCATCATTTATTCGACAATTAACCTGTTGTTATTTATATGGTTTATGCTCTACAAGTGGAATGTATTCACAAATTCTATCTAATAAAACATACAATGATAAATGTTTAGCATTGATTCTTGGAAATCTTTGTAGAATTCTAACAGAAACTTTCAATAATATACATGATAAATATAAAATAAAAGTATTTTTTATCAAAAATATTAAATTATTTTTATCCTCATTAAATTTTGCTCATATCAGTTCACCTATGAGTACAATGATTACATTATCTTGTATGATTAATGGTTGGAAAACATTGAAACATTTTACTCAGTTAATTATTAATCATTTTAAACCATTTAGTATATGTGATTGGTTATTTTATTGTGTAATTATTGTTATGCAATCTTTGGATTCTATGGATTCTTCGTCGTCGTCATCATCATCAATGGTAATGTCAAAATCTACAGTTACATTCAAAACATACTTGTTACAATCGCTTATATCTCCAATTCCTTTAAATTCATGCCCATTATTTCTATTATTAGCTTTATGTATTGAATCTAATTTAGAATTACACAATAATGATAATAATGATCATGCAAATATTATTTTCAATACTTTTATAAATGATACTAATAATCGCAAATCTATTAGATCATCTTCATCTTCCATTATTTCTACATTATCTTCTTTTGATAATACAAAATTATATACAATCAATGCAATTGAATTAGGTCAAGCTTTATTACAACAATCATTTCATTATAATATTCCATATTATCAACAATCATCTGTATATAATTTTCATTATTTAACTAATTCATTACCTATTGGTTTATTTGGTCCAATTCATTTATTCAAACAATCTTCATTAGAATTTCATCAAAATATTGCCAATTTCAATTATCCTTATCAACATCGTTTACAACCAAAACAATCAACTCATATTAATACTAATTGTCAATGTATGAATTTACTTCAATCGAATCAACATAAACCTATGAAAATCAATTCTTCTTCTTTTCAAGATGATATTCTTGATGATAACAATGAAGAAATGTATTGTGCTTCAATGACAAATTATCATAAATCATTCATTGATTTTGCGCCTATATCTTTTATTTATTCAGATATATTAGATGAACAAATGACATCATTATGTCAAACATTATCTATTATGAATAGTCATAATGATAATTGTGAAAATATTATATTTCCATTATATTTAGGTTTTTCATCATATTCATTTGCACCGAAAATAATGTCTACATCAAATCTTCTAAATGATGTAAACGATTGTAATAATAATACCAATAATAATGATAATAACCATTCGTCAAATCAAATTCCGGAAAACTTCAATTTGTCAGATTTTATTAAAACTAATTTTGTTTTTCATAGTAATAAAGAATCATTACAGATTATTGTAAGATTTCCATTTTTAGTACAATTAGAATGTGTACAGTTGTCAGTGATGAATCCATTTCAATCAGGTAAAATCATTATTTTAATAGTTGAGATCATGAGTCAATTGAAGCTAGACCACTATAAAAAACCTGGAAACACTGGACAGCCGTCTTGCGAGATTCGAACCGAGGATTGATCGGTCTGGCGCGTGAGCGTTTAACCATTAGATCACTGAGCTGGCATCCAACGGTGTTAATGACTAACTTTAAGTAATCCACGAAATTGAGCGACATCCATCTTTGTCTTCAGCTGAAGAGTCCTACAGTAGAACGAAACGGCCGTCCAGTGCTCTCAGGTTTTCCGTGGTGGTCTAGCTTCAATTGACTCACGATCTAAACTGTTAAAATTACTATATTATGCACAAAACGCCTTCTGATAAAAATCATTATTGTATAGTTATCTGAATATTATTATGATTGAAAGGTGGTTGTGTATTATAACGAATTTCTTGAGGTTAGACATGGAAACTACTGGATTTCGGCTTGGTGGTTTGGAGATTAAAAATTTACGAGCATATCCAAAGGCCTGGGGTTCAATTTTAGGTCGTGGATTGCCACTACAGAGGAGTCCCATACTAGGACGAAGGGGTTTTCTATTATTTCCCGGTTTGAAAACCGGGTGATTTTAATAAGATTAGTCTATAATATGAATTATGAAATTTTAATAGTATTCGCGAAAAAATCCCACATACTGAATTCAAACTTATTCCTCTAGTTTTTCATATTTTTTTTATTGTATGGGCTCATGTTTTTAACTGATTGGATTGAAATGTATGTATATCGTGAATTAATTTTATTACAAACAATCTTACAGAAAACTTCTTTTCTTAACGATTTTTCTCCTATAGCCAGTCATGTGACAATTGAGGTGGAACTATATCGCGATTTACCTGGTGGTTCTCGACGAACATTTATCAGTGCACATAAAAGTAACGAGTCATCATTGTCAAAACTTCATACGATCAATTTTCCACCACGGTTGATATCACATGTTTTAATAAGACTGTATCATGCTCAGAATTACAATAAAACTCTTCGTGTGAACACTTTACGCTTATTAGGAAGACACGCAAATGATAATAGACTGTTGTTCACAGAAACTTGTGAAAATAACTGCACAAATGCAAATAATTTAGCTGTTGAGAATTCGTTAAATAAAATCAGGTGAGTTGTTTACACGTTTGTTTGTTTCCTGCGATTATCAACCTCGTTTTTATAACTAAATAGTTTTTTTTTAATAAATAAATTTGCAAATAATTTGCACCATAAACATGCTTCGGTTGAGAAATAATTGAACATCGGGTAGCATCGCTCAGCTGTTACTATCAGTTAAAAAGAAGCCTATCCAAGTCCCTATCAGTATTAAGTCCAGAACTTGTTTACCCAGCTACAAGTACACAATACCCTCAGAACACTGGTACTTAGTGATCCATATTTCAATAGTTAATCACTTTGGATTGTAATTGTTAAATGCTTTGGGACAATCGACAGAAAACTGTACTCGAACTTGGTTTCTTACCTGTATAGATTAATTAGTAAGGTGTACATACAGTCTTTAAGAAACTGGTTTGCTGAGTGTGGAATTTAAACCAGGGTCACCTAAGTTCACAGTCACAGTTGTTATCACTAAGCTATTTAATACATTAAGACTAGTGGCTACATCAAAACTTGACAGATTGAATTCGTTCAGCACTACTATTTTATTTATTTATTTTAACACATAGATATTGGTACAAGGAGGCACCAAATAGATATGCGCCACATAAATCTCATTCGATATGTGTGAGGGCTGTGATACTGCCTAGGTGCCCAGACCGAAGCAGGTAGTTTTCTTAGGGGACCACACCCGAAGCCTTTGACCTGAAGGTCTGACCCACAAAGCAGTGAAGCATCGTGAGGAGATGCAGTCCCATGATAGCCGGTCACCAACGATTGATTCATACTCCATTTGTTCCTTCAGGGTACTGAAGCCCATGTGCACTATTGGTTTGTAATCAGGGTTTGCCAACTCTCTTAGGTAGACTCTCCATGTCCACTGACTCAGTTGAAGCGCCGGACATTCGCTTTCCGTCCTCTCAATTTCGTAAACAACACCCCCGCCACGAGAAGGCAATGAATAGGACTTCCGTGGCAGAGGCTGTATACGAGTGGCCATGTGAGGGCATTTCGAGAGGGAGGGTGGGCCCACCCCATTCTCGTTCAGCACTACAGGATAAGACGAATATGACATTGATATAGCTTAGTGATCAACTCATTTTAAATCTTTCCTTTGGAAAAAATCAAACCTATACTACCTTATGTGTATATATGATTGTATTGTTCATAAGGACAGATCAATGCTTTTTCACTAGTCATACAACACATTCAGCTTTCAATTATAAATTTCCAGTTTAAAGACTCAACTATAATGAGTTAATTTTAGTCTGCTTTTTAATCACCTTTCATACCTAATTTTAACTCAAATATTGGTTTATACTATTAAAGACGTTTTATTATTTTAGTCTAACTACACCAAATATATTGCCTCACATGAAATGTTATGTAAGTACTACTAATATCTTCAATTAGTGTTAATTTATTGTCATGTTTTTACGTTCGATCACTTAATTACATTTTTTAAAAATCTTTCTCTCTCCTGTTTCTTTTTATTTACTTCTTTTCAGACCAATTGTTTTACTACATCTGTTACATAATGAAATGCTTTCACAATTATTACCAAATATATTCTATTCATATCAATTTATCAATTCATTATTACACTGTTTACATATTGTTAGTTCAGATAAAAAATTATCAATGTGTACACGTCAATTAATACAAATGGTTGCATGTCATAATCAAATTTTTGAAATGATCAGTCATATATATAATTTTACCAGTGATTGTTCATCTGATAATGAATATAAGATATTACAGAATGAATGGTTTTATTCACCTATCGGTTATATTAATGAAGTTGATATGTTTTGGAAATTATGTCCTTCATCAGCTGTATTGTGTGAACGTATTTTACTTGGATTATTGGTTAATACAGATAATGGTAGTAGAAATAGTCTTGCTAATTATATATTAACCAAATTACTAAATGGTAATAACGACGATGACTTAACAATAAACTGTGAAGATGTATCATTCACAAGTGTGTCGAAATCAAATCAGGGTTAGTTTGCATTTTTTTCAGTTACACAAATAGGTATTGCTCTACTGTTATACCAGGACAATACGTTGATCTTTTATGGTGTTGTACAGGTGACGTCATTTCTAATTTTCTTAACAGCTTCGAATTAATCTGTTTCATGATCATAGACACATGGCATTTAGCTTTACCATCTAGATTTCATACCAATCAATACTCATTGACATGAGATACCTGTAAGCTTGTAGGGATGAATGTTTCTTGTAGGGTTTATTTCCATGTCACGGTCAGAAATATAACACTGGATAATTCATACCGCTACTAATTTCCTGTTTGACTGAGATGTTTATACTAGTCAGCCATTTAATACTAACCAATATTATATCATCAGCTGCTTTTTGTCGATCGAATTTCATTTGAACTCAATTGTATTTACTTTCTCAAAATTATAGACATAACCGTGGTAATGAATACCAGCTACCAAGAAATTTAAAACTCAAAACTTCCTTTTAATCGTCTTTCGCTAACTAAGACCAGAGTAAATTTTGCAACGATATCAAGTCATAGTCCATGGATTGGGTTGCATTTAGATTAGCACTTTGGATCAAACAGCATAGCATTGTCTCGTACTTTGTGATGGATCAGTGTCAGCAGTAACATTTATCTTGTTATTTACAAATTAATTTCGTTATATTTAGTAATAAAATCATAAGCAGTGTATATTTCAAACATTTAAGTACATTACTTTTTTCACTGGAACTTCGTATTTATATTGCTACTTTTAAATAAATTAGCGGTTGCTTACATGTGATCACTAATCAATATCTACTCTTGTGTTACTAACATCTTCCAGGTTTACACATTTAGATTAAATTCTACCTTAACTGATCACGGGATAGTGACCAATATCATGTTTGCTTAGTTCGTTGTATTAATCGAATTCTGTCGATCAGTTTGCCATAGGCCGACTAGTCGGAGCGACTCAAAATCACGTGTACTATATTGAAATGTTAGATGGTTGAAGGTGTAATCGGAAAGAAATCCTGGTATTGTGCTAGTTGTCGCTCGTCAGTAAGCCATTTCTACACTAATGCTTCTTGGTGTTTTCGAACTCTGCTTCACAGTCTGCGATACCACCACTAGGTTATTCTATGTTTGTTGTTGTTGTTGTTGTTGTTGTTGGATCTTGTATTTAATTGGATATAAGTTACCGTAAATATGTTATTTTCTATTACCTTTCATTTAGTAGAATTACTGTCTGTTCCAGGTATTCAATTTTAATTTAGTATTATGTAAAATTAATCAGGACCTATATGCTTTCAGTAGAGATAATTACTTCATTAGTTATCTGGTATTAATAGCTTTCACTCTTCGAAATACTACTCATAAGTAATTGTGCTTAAATAACAACAAATGAATTTACATTATGCATTATTTTTGAAAATAAATTAGAAATTATATCTACATTCCTATACATTTTTTTATCAGCAATCACTCCTATTAACACTGTCTACTTTCTGTAAATTCCGCCACAACCAGATATTTTAAAAAAACGTGTCATACAAATAGAATGATAATGTTTTGAAGAAACAAATAACGGATTGGTAGTACAATCAATAGAGAATTGGATAGAAATAGTATTTATTTAGAGTAACAGTTTTTCTAAATATACAACTAAGATTTCTCCCTGTTATAAGGTTCAATATTACCTCTTGACAGCTGAATCGTCACTGGTTTTCATCCTGAGTCACTGAATTGCACTATCTCTATGATTCTCGATGAGAAATTTTAGTGAACTGACGGATTTCAGTCCTGTACACTTACCTTTCATATCATGTCTCCTCCAGCCCTAGCATCTGGAAATAATATACAATGTACATGTTTAAGCCATTGAAGTCAGTGTTTTGAGATGATGATACTAATTGAATTATCGACACTCCGCTCCCCCCATATAATCTTATCTAATGTCAGACTTACTAACGCTCTGTTGCCACCGGATGTCAGGTATTCTTCGGAGACGACAATGATTAAATGTAAAGAGTCGTCCAACATTATTAACTCGAAGAGGCCAGGTTTTGTAGGCATAGAGGAGATCTATTTTCATCCACTCATTATAAACCCAATCTTTTGAAGTCAGACTAATCTCACGACAGTTTCTTAGTTGGCTTTTATTGATATATCTCATCATGTTCATCTAAATAACTACTATTAATCAACATTTCAAACTATATACTACTTAATGATGTATTAATTCTTTTCTTTTGTGTGCATGTGTATGTGCTTAAATTATGACTATACAGATATAGATAATGAATTCAATTCATCTTATTGGTATGGTCCATTAGCTTCATTAACATCTACACCAAATCAACGTTTATTTGCATGGTTATGTTTACATCAAGATGCTGGACAATCTACACGTATTGAACGAATCATTAATTGGTTAAGTCACTTCAATGAATCTATGATAAAACAAGATATTCTTTCTCATAATCGTCAATTATTGAATCATTGGTCTCAATTAATATTGATTTTTTCAAGTGTTTTATGGAGTTTAAGTAGTGTTACTACCACTACTACTACTACTACTACTACTACAGCAATAGAAATGAATCAATGTTCAAATTTATGGCAAAAATATGTGACAATTGATTTTATTAGGTATGATTTATTACAATTAAAATATAGATGAAAAAAGATTTCTTTGGACTAGTTTTTTTGTTTAAAAGTTTCAAGTGTTCTTCTTCAATTTTTAAATAAAACCCTTTGAGTACTTCATTGAATGTATTTGGTAAAGCGTGGAAGTTTTGCTTCTTTTTTTGGTTATTTCTTGTTGTTAATTCTAGGAATCATCAGTAAATATGATAAACTGATTAAACCACATAGTATATAAGGCAAACTCATATAATATGTCAAAATTGGTTTGGTAAGTCAGATGACAGTAATGACTCGAACTCATTACTCTTTGCTTCAAATTTCATTATCTTATTAATTAGTGTTTAAATCATCCCGTTGTTCATATGAGTATCATACCTGTTGCAAAAGCTCAGTAGATGATGTGTGGGTACTGGGTTCTAGTTTCACTGTTAAACATCAACACTGAGATATAGGTACATCCAGTTGAAAAGTTTCAAACAGAATGAAATGCGCTTCCTAAATTCCTCTGCTAATCATAATTCATTGATTAAAATGATCTATTGAACCTGTTAGCTTTTAATCTGTATAACATCTTAGAAAAATTGAGACACTAAAGTTTAGTAAAGCCAATTCTTGGTGTTTCAAACCTCACTGTACTGAGGATTTCGATAGTTTTGCTAATCTTTTCATGCAAACGCTCCGGCTTAAAACCCCAGTAATACTAATCTGTGGTTAGTAAATGAGTTATAGTAATTCTTTTAAATTTATAAACTTTAAATCCACATATATTATAATGCGACATTATTCAATTCTCTCTCTACTTTTTGTTTTTATTCTTTCAAAATACCTTTTTCAGTTCTATTTATGATTTATACATCTCAATTATAAAACATTATCAAATTGATTTATCTATGAATGATATTGATGATGATAATCCTAAGAACTCAATCGTTGAAATTAAACAATTTACCAAAGTACTAATCAATTTAATGTGCTCTTTGTGTACAATCCAACCAAATGTCATTTCTATACTTTTATCAAAACTTTTAATAATTCCTACAACACATTCATTATTTAATCAATATGATAAATTGTTATTCAATAGTCAATTGAAAGTATTCAGTTCAATTCTATCATCAGATCATATTGTTTATTCTATTTTCTCAATTAATAAATCGATAAATACAACAGATCCATTTATATCAGATAACTTCTTTTATAATTGTTGTATATGGTTATCAAATTATTTCTCAATCATGAATAATTCTGAATCTTCTTCTTTATATTCTTCCACTAGATCAATTCTTACCATTGATTTAGCTCTAAGATATTTATATATATTAAATTATTTCATGCAATCAAATCAATCTACAATATTACGAATTATTCTTGGACAATTAATCTGTGAACATTTATTTCCAAGTGTATTTTCTTATTTTACTATGATATTATCATCATCTTTAATTCAATCTATATCATTGAATAATTTGTATAATAATCATTTTGGTTCAAGTATTTATGAGATTCATCAACTTCAACAAGCTATTATTACTTTGTATCAAACAGTTAAATTATCAATGCCATTTTCAAAATTATCTAAACAATTCAATTCATATCAGTTGAATTTAGAAAGTTCAAAGTTGAAAATGAATTGTTTAACTGATCGTTTGATTGAAACATTTAAAGAATCATTTATGAAGCAAAGTGAGTATGATTAAATCATGGTCAATATCACATTGATAATCTGTTTATTCTTTTTTCATTCAGTTTAAGTATACATTTAAAATGCATGGTTTAGTAGACGATATAAGGTATTGCATGGATTATATTCAAACCTTCGAAGCCTAATTTTTTCCCTAGTGATTTACACTAATTATATGGTTAGTTCTGTCAAAAATATTGTTCCCTTCTCTGTTATTTCCATGACTGTGACTCCACAATATATCTCACTGGCAATGGTTGACATTCCCCCGGATACACTAAGTGCTGATTGATAAGTTGGTTATATTTGTGGTCTCTCAATCTTCTCCCACGTTCTTCTGTTTATAAATGTTGTGTCGGAAGCCGTATCTAGATGTAAGTGACCATTACATCCATTGATCTTCAGAGAAACATGTTTTCTACGGTTTTAAGAGCTGGTCCTGTTAAGAGCTATCGTTACCTTGGCTATTTGCGTCTTGAACCTTTTAGAATATACTTTCGGTTATTGGAAACGTTTTCAGGTTTTACAATGACTTGTAGTGGAACGATAATTCTTAAACGGACAAAAGTTTTTGAAATGTCAACCGCCATGTAACCAGCATAGACGATGATGGCTTGCCTCTGTCATTACAATAATTTTGCGTGTTACGACCTTGCAAAACTTTTCTCTCGACTGTGTTCATGTAATGAGGCCGGCTACCTTTCTCTACCGTCGAAATGTCGTGTTTCAAATTCACTAATCTTCGGCATTCGGTAGTTACCTCCTGTTGGATAATCGTGGGACAATGTTCGAGTTTGCTTAGGATTCTCGTTCGTATATCAGCATCCTCGGTTGAGTGAGGCCTACAGACATATATGATGCATTTAATCTGGTCTTCTGTCATGGAAGACAGCTTGAACCCCTAATATTCTCGGATCATAATTTCTGAATGTTTCACTCGGTCAGCTTTGGATCCTTTCGTTTTCTTCAAGCATTGGTAACGGATGTTAATAAGAGATTACTTTTCTCCAAAGATCTGAAACAGGGTTTTAATTGCTTCATTAATACTTAAGTCTCATGAGTTCTTTGAAAGAATGAAGATAATCTAGCGTTCATGTTCCGTCATTCTAAGTTTTCTTAAAAGTATTGTGACTTTTGAAGATTCGTCCAGTATGGAACAGATCTTCATATTTCTTGAACCATGAGTCGAAAGTAACACCTGCTACATCATCAAAATTAAATTCATAAGTGGCATTAATAACTGAGTCCGTTAGTGTAACTTGTTGATAACCGATATGATGTGTCTTCTAAACACCTCAAGTGAAATTTTTATTTCTACTACTTATTTCGGTAAGGCTTGATTGTGACAAAGTAAAAATAAGCATTCTCACATTTATCTTCTCTTCTCAATCTAAATTCTTCTTCTTGTCCATACTATTGGTTCTTTTTTTCATTATTATTAATTATTTTCATTTCCTACGGTGGTATATGACAGCACAAACTGATCCGCCCCCAAATGCCCTGGTACGGGCGAGAGTGGAAAGAGTCCGCCCCCCCTCTCCAAATGCTCTCACATGGTCAGGCGTATATAGCCTCTGCCACGGAAGTCCTACTCACTGCCTTCTCGTGGTGGGCGTGATGTATACGAGATTGAGAGGACGAAAAGCAAATGTCCGTCGCTTTAACCGAGTTGGTGGACATGGAGAGTCCACCTAAGGGAGTTGGCAAACCCTGATTCCAAACCAATGATGCACATGGGCCTCAGTATCCTGAAGGAACAAATGGCGTATGAACCAATCGTTGGTGACCGGCTATCATGGGACTGCATCTCCTCACGATGCTCCACTACCTTGTAGGTCAGACCTTCAGGTCAAAGGCTTCGGGTGTGGTCCCCTAAGAACACTACCTGCTTCGGTCTGGGCACCCAGACAGTATCACGGCCCCCACACATATCGAATGAGATTTATGTGGCGCATATCTATTTGGTGCCTCCTTGTACCAATATCTATGTGTTCAAATAATAATAATATTGATATATTTTTCTCTTTGAAATATGAAAACTCCCTTTATGTTACTTTACTTGGAGTGGTGGTTTAATGCTTGAGGTATTCGACTGTTGGCCATTAATCCTTAGGTTCGAACGCCACTCCACACACTACTCTTTTGAAAGTCAGTTTCTGTCATTACCCCTCACATTTTGGGTGTGTCTAATACTTTGTTACCTGGTGAATGAGTTGATTTGATTTTTTTAAAATCTATTTTAATTGTAGATTTCAAACTATCCAATTTTATATCTGAACTATTATTGGCACAACCTTTATCATTAACACCTGTACCATTTAAACAAACAATTGCAGTATTCGCAGTCACTTCAAATCATCCACACGCATCGACTGATTTGCCATGGCCTATAACTGGTCCACCAGTTGCATTCAATATTCAGTCATCTGAACTACCTAAATCTGGATTAGTTACATTTTTATGCAGAGAAATCCATCAGTCTGTTTCAAATAACAACCTAGACTATTCCATTCATCCTAGTCTTTCAACAGCTTTATTATTGATCAATATTTATCATCCACCAGAATACACTGGAACTAATCATTATGAATTTGAAAGAAGAATTTTAGTGAAACATTTGAGATTAATAATTTATCATTTATTGCATCCGTTCACAATGAATCGCACTAGTAGTACTACTAATAATAGTAGTATCAATAGAAATGTATCAAGTTCAACTGAAATAAATACAATCAATGATTTTGAATTATGTCTTATTCAACATACACCAAATATTGGTCACATTATATCACCTATTGATTGGGATAATGGTATATTTTTACCAGAAGGTTATACAGATAATTGGACTATGGAACAATTGAATAAATTCACTGATGATCATCCACTTGTGATTAATCAGTCTCGTCTACTTTGTTTATTAATTCGACCATGTGAACATGCTAAATTTGCATTTCATCCACCAAAAGCAGTAACTGAACCATCATCATCAATAATAAAAGAATTCCAAGAGACTAATTCCACACCTTCTTGCTATTATTTATTAAAAACATTTCAATCATCATTTATATGTGAATTTTTAAAATCTGGTCTATTACATTTTATAGCGAATTCTATTGTTCATTGGCGTATTCCATGTTTATTAAATAATGTACAACGAAAAAGAGAAAATTCTATTTTATCATCATTAGAAACTCATCCTCCTCCTCCTCCTCCTCCTCCTCCTCCTCCTACTACTACTACTACTACTACTACTACTACTACTAATAATAATAATAATAATAATAATAATAATAATAATAATAATAATAATAATTGGAATCAATCTATAAAACAATTTCATTCTTATATTACTTTCTATTTTAATAAATTTTCAATAAATATTCCCAATAAATTCTATACTTATAAATTAGACCACTTAATAATTAATAATTATCAATCCATTCCAATAAATAATAATCTTGATAATATTGAAACAATGAACATGATTCTGCCAATACATTGTATCATTACTTATATATTATTATTAAGAATAACAGATTATGATTATAATTTATTAAACTTAATTCAATCATCCACGAAAATTATGGAATTAATAATTAAATATCAGTTAAATTTAGTTTATGTGCCAAGTTATTTAATTCAATTAGCTAATAAATATTCTAATTTATCATTATGCACAGATGATAATCAACATTTTCATATAAATAATTATCCTACTTATAATTTACAAAGTAGTAATTTAATTCATTCAAATATTTTACCATTTCAATGTTTATGTTATTTATACGATAATAATAATAATAATGATAATAATAATAGTAATGTTCGTGGTAATGGTCATCAATCTCTATGGGAACTACGTTGGATACATTTAAATTCTGGTGTATTACAGCTTATCTTAAGTTTCATGTATGTTTTATCTCATGGTTCATGTGTAAATCTACCGCAAAGATTTGATGTGAATGAAGTGAAAACATTTATTCATTCAATTCAGTTAGATTGTAATAATAATAATATATATAATAATAATAATATTGATGAAGATGATTCATTATCGCTGACTATTCAATCAATCAATGAACTTTATATACATTTTATCAAACCAGCTTGTATAGATTTCGAACGTGAATTATTTCCTTCAATAACAGTATCTAATCAAGATAATAATAAAAAGTGTAAACAAAACACAAATTATCAATCATCTCATACTAATTTCAATTCAATACCTTCATCATCTGGATTAATATCTGATAAAATAAATTCTAATTTATGGGCAAAAGGTACAGGTTTTGCTACAACTCCTACAATAAATGAAACATCAATTATAAATGATCATTCAATTAATAATAATCATAATAATAATTTTCAATCTAAATGGATCCGATCAAAACTTCAACGTGAAGATCAATATGCAATTATATTATGTAATACATTGAGTGGATATTTGTCTACATTTATGCAAAATTTAATCAATACTGATCAATTATTCGAATTAATTATTATTTATTTTATTCATAAATTTAATTTAATTAATTTTATCGTTAATTATTTACGTAATGATTCTATCACAGAAATAATTAATCGTCATTTATTATATCAATCAATATTTCAATTAATTCGTAGTATTATTTTATGTCCTCGATTACATTGGTTATTAACAATGATTCAAAGTGATTTAAACAATGATAATCTTGTTCATTATAATGATAATTTATATCAATGTTTCATTTTACAATCATTTCATTCATTTCAATTATATTGGCAAAATATTAATTTGAATGATAATAATGATGTTGATGATGATGATGGTAACGATGATAGTTTAGTGGAGAATTTAAATTCATCATGTATTATTGTCTTAGTGAAACATATACTATTCTATTTGTCAAAATATAAGGAACAGTTAAAGTAAGTTGAATGGGGTTTTTTTCTTAAAAAAATATTGTATTTAAGTATGAATCAGTTAGCAACAATATAAAACTTCATACGTACGTACGTGCATCAGTTCAAGTTGCCATACCACATTAGCACAGGGATACAATTGTCTATTCAAATCCCATAGTGGTAGGAGTAGGTAATTTTTTCTGGTTAGCGGTTTTTTAGCGAGTTGGTTTTCTACGTGATGGGGTCGTTAACCCCATGCCCAACCCTCCTCCTTTATCCGGGTTACGGATTGGCAGTAACCCCCTGAGGGACTCCAGGCGGAGGTCTCAACATACACAAAGGAAAAATCAAGATTCTTTGATGCAACACAACATGCACCAATCGAATCTCACTTGACAGAGAAGCTTTGCATATCATCATTGATGAACATGGATGGATCTGATGCAGATGTGAAGGAGCGGATCGGTAAATCAAGAGCAGCATATTTACAACTGAAGGACATCTGGAACTCAAAGCAACTGTCAACCAACACCAAGGTCAGGATTTTCAATACAAATGTCAAGACAGTTCTACTGTATGGGGCGGAAACCTGGAGAACTACGAAAGCCATCATCCAGAAGATACAGGTGTTTATTAACAATTGTCTACGCAAAATACTTCGGATCCGTCGGCGGCCTATGCTCCATTAGGAGTAACAGGCGTAAGTAAGAGGTAGGTAATAAAAGTATAATTAGTAATCGGAAAGATTAGTGTTTGAAGTATCACTTCCTAGTTTTTAGAAATCTTCAACTTGCTATATCAAGCCGACAGACCAATTTATTCATTATGCTTCAGGCATATTTTTGACTTTGTTAATTATTCTCTTATCAACCTTGATTGTTTTTATGTAAACGTATGTGTGCATTTTTTTAATCTTACTCGTCACATGTTCGTAACTTATTTTTGTTCGACTATAAATTTCGATTCACACTTGGTTAAATGGAATTGGCTCATTCGTCTTCTTCATTGCGTGTTATTTCGTTTAGTTTCGCTTTACGATCAACGATTGTACGAAATATATGTACTCAGAAATCTATTGTCGTATTTGAGTTATTTAATTCCGTTATTTACTAACTCAATGATTATATATGAGGGTTAGTGACACATATGATTCAATAACAATCATTCGAACGATCTAACTGGAATCAGATCTCGTGCCACTAAAACCTTCGATCAATAAACAAGAAGAAAAAAAATACTAGGCGGATAATATACAAGTTATATTTCGAAGATTAAACTTTATTCAGAAGAAATAGAAGTGTTTATCAGATTCTAAGAGCTTCTTGAAAAAATGTACTGAAATCCGCAATGAATGTAATAGTTTCAAAGTATTACAGATTCTAATTGTACAAGTTAAAACAAGATATATAATTGGACGTTATTGTTCTTAGTTAGATTTTCACTAGACTTTAATACACAGTAATATTGGTACACTTATAGGCGAAACATAAACCAGCCAAAGGTAATCTAATTCAATCAATGGTAGTAATGACACAAAATACGCATTATCCATAATAAGTTATGATTATAAGCAGTAAAAAACAGATACGTAATGGTGTGAGTAATTAGTCAAATCACCCATCAAATCGTATCAATTCAAGGAAGTGATAGAGGTAAAATACAGATTATGTATGACAAGAGGCTAAACCCTGTTACGGAGGTGTGGTAGTATATATTTATCATTTGTAAGGATTTGTTTTTCTCTGCCATGTGATTATCACAGTCAATTGTGTGATAAAACAGAGCTTTGTGTCTTTCTGAACTACTCATTCACTTTTTGACTTAATTGCTTTGTAGTATACTTGACGCAAGAGCAGCTGAATCGATAACTTCAAAATAAACTGGCAAAAATGTAGCTCCATATTTGAGTGAAACTTCATGACAGTCTAATTGAAAACAATCTTATTCTCCTGTTTTTCTTTTCCCGATTCGGCAGTTAACCACTTTTCAAACCTTCCTTGTAATTTTCCGAAAAAGTGTTCACAGCATTCTTCCTGCATTCTGGGGAGCTTTTGAATAATTATTGTGGTCCCCTACAACCAACTTTTTTCAAAAATGATAAATCCAATAGTTATTAAAGGTCACAGATACTGAAACTGAGTGGTGATCAATGTTACATTTCTCTAGTTCTTTAGTTCTGATTGGATTCTGCCAAGCAACTTGTAACGTGGCTACTAGTTAACCGACGTCTCCTAAACAATGTGGAATGATTGAACTTGATCTACAGAAAACCCTGTTCACTCTAGGTTTCGTGTTGGTCGACACTCTAGAAATCTGTACCTGGAATCCTAAGGTACTTCATGTTACCTTTGCGAATTCGGACTCGCTTCACAGTCTGATCTATTTCCAGAGTTACCTGTCGACTGCCTTCAACAACTAACGGCTTTCCACGATGACTGTCCACTTCAAATATCAAGTTTACGTTAATTACATTTTATTTGTAATAACTGTTTCATCATATCGTTATTGAGTATTCCTTTCTTTCTAAATTTGCAATCGAAGTGAGACTAAATCATCTTGCTGTTTTTATCTCTCTCCATCCACCTACGTCTTATTTAAATAGCAAATTAGGATTAATAATTGAGCCCTCTGAATCGGAGCAACCGTCGAAACAAATTACCTCTAAGTTTAACATTGAATTACACCCAACTAGTCCTACCAATACACATATTAGTAGTGGTGGTCTTATTCGCCGTTCATCAATACGATATCGTAATTTTCGTAAACAGCACATTAATGAAAATTTACTAAAAAATATACATTTTAAAAGTCAAAACGTGTATAAATCATCCCAAACATTCAACACTGCTGATATTATTAATTCTCATTGTTCAACTTCTAAAACCTATGGTTTATTACAACTGAAATCTGGTTTCTATGATCAGTTCGATGTTAGTGACAGTAATACTAATCAAATGAGTAGTGAAGACAGAGATCAACTTTATACGGTAATAGAAAGTAATGCTGAGATCAACTGTGGTGGTAACGATGATAATCTTAACACTGCTTCTGAAAATGTTCATGATATTCATTCCGAGGTAGAAAGAGAACAGGACGAAAACGGAAATGTTCATTGTGAGATTATTAAAGATTTAACCGAAAATGCTAATCATTCTCAATCGATTAGTAAAGAGAATAATCTTGTAAATGGTGAATTTCATAGTCATTTTCAAAATGATATATTGGATGATAATCCTGAAAGTACTAACCATGAATTCAACAGTGATAGCAGTTCAACATATGTAAATCAAGAGATCCTAATCATTTTTAATGAACTAGAAACCACATATAAACTGCTTAAATTAATTTTGAAATATCAACAGTGCTCTGGAAATAAATCATTGATAATGATGAATAAATGTCATCATAATGAGGAAGATAAATTTACTAATAATGATCACAAAACTACTTTACATGAAATACGATCAACTGAATATGGTAACGGCAGTGATAGGAATGGTACACTACAGATTCAAACTTCATCAATTAATTCAAAAATGCTTTCAACCAATAATGCTTATTGTACAGCTTTAAAATCTATACATTTTCGTAAGTTCAGTAGTCAATGACACTTTGTTTTAATTAAATAAATCAATGCTTATTAAATGTTTTTTTTTGTAATTTAAACACTGAATTAATTATCAGTACTCTGTAAGTTGGCGACTACAAACAAGATTATGTCTTTATAGTTTTTGTATGAAGTCTAATGCCATTACCCTGATGAGTAGGTATCTGACGAAATATCAGTATTAGTTCAGAAAGCTGGGTTGGCTTTTGATAACGAGTATACTGCGCTACAGTCCTTTCCGTTCTACTTTATTGCTGTGAAGCATGACATTTCAAAAATAGAAAATATTCATAAGTTACTGGTAATCAACTTTGTCTTTGAAGCATTACTCGTATATCCTTTGACTATCAATTTAGCGGTTTTGAGGTTAGACGTAAGGTACTAGATAAGAATGGAAAGTCGGTTGATGAAGTAGCTAATCTTTGCCGATTAAGATGATCAGGACGTGTGTTGCGTATGACTAACCACTGATGACGTCGATGGGCAATGTTGTCTGGTATAGAAGTAGGTTAGAAAAAAGCTAGAAGCAGCTGAATCAAGACATGACACTGGTTCTTTAAGTCACTGACTATTGAACTGAACCATATAGGTAGGTGCCGATTACCGAATAGCAGTTCGCACGATTGTTGTAGCCAATTTTCAGACATTTTGGACGATGTGGCTACAATAATCCAGAGGCATTTGTTATATCCGGTGAAGATTAAACTACAGGTAAATTCCAAGGACTATTCATGGACTAATATTCTATAAATATTCTTATTGTATAACTACTCAACAATTACACTATGGATATTTATATTCATTTTATGATAAGCTTTGTTTTGACCTATAATTTATTATTGTACGATTTACTGTTCTTAAACTAGGTTCAGTTTATTAACTACTGCCTCCCACATTCACAGCCACTTTTTGGGCTTATTTGTGTACAAATATTATTTCCTATTTTATGGTACGTTGCGGTCTGTATGATTGATATATAAACCAAGTATGCATGAAATAAACGATTCGATTCATATTCGGAAGCTGGTGTTGTGTTCTGTACTCAAGTGGAAGGGCTCGTAGGACATAGGACCAATAAGGACGCTAAACTGCCCACACCGGTTGAACGTCATTGGTTGGCCTAGTGTGAAGATTCGTATAAGTCGTACTCGGATTGGTAGATAAATCGTGTGATAGAAAAATCAGACATCCAAGGACATAACAGCATTCACTCGTAGTTCTACTTCAGATTTCGAATTTCCTAATTACCTTATAAATTTTCTAATTCTACGGATCCATATTTTCTTCTTAAATTATATCTTCTAAATTCAATCTTTTCTGTTACTGCTAATGCTGTTATTACCTAATACTCTGGGATTTGCCTTGATAATTTCATCTCGCTATGCTTATGGAATGTGACAACCTGAACGAATGTAGACATGTACCAAACTCTACGTTACGTATGAATGACTGACTAGAGTACTTACCAAGCTTCTACTCTGGCACTTAAATGTCAAACATTCTAGCCACTCAATCAACGCTTCACTATCCTATAAAACCAAACAGTTAGCTTGATTGGACTATTTTACGTGATATTTCAACAAAATACTTGGTATCAATTAAATACAAGTAATGTAACTTTTTGAACACATTTTACGTTATAAACAACACAGTCGAACGGCGGCTTAGTTTGGCTCAAAGGTTTAAATCACTACTTCACTTATTTCCTTTCATGTTTTTGTTTAATAGTAGTATCACTTACCCTCACACATAAAAGAGTATTACTCCAAGGGAAAGTACATAATTCTACTCCTATTTAAGAGATTATATTAAAATAGTGGTTATAATTTCCATATCTCTTTGATGTTACCATAACTTTGTTAGTCATTACAATTGTCTAGATGAAAGAATGAAATGTGGATAAACATCATCAACAAGACTTTATCGGTATAATTGTTTCGAAATGATTTATCTACTCTTAATTGTAAGCTTATTCTTTCAGCTCATTTATTTTTTGTTGACTAAAAACAAATTACTAATATACTAGTTTTGATCTTAGGGAAGAACTATCCTAATAGCTTGACTAGTAATCTATTATCCATACGGTTATTATCTGAACAAATAACTATTTCACTGGTTGAAATCATGAGTCAATTGAAGCTAGACCACCATGGAAAACCTGGAAACACTGGACGGCCGTTTTGTCCTATTGTGGGACTCCTCAGCAGCGCGCATCCACGGGCCCACACCCCGCGAGTTTCCAACTCAGGACCTAACAGCCTCGCGCCAGTGCTCCCAGGTTTTCCATGATGGTCCAGCTTCAATTGACTCTTGATTTCAACCAGTGAAATTTCTAAAATCTCCAGAAAACCCCTTCTGAAAATAACTATTCTCCAAAAAACAATAAGCAGAGACCATATGATGATAGTAGTACAATTATCTGCATCGGAACGTGTCTCCAGCTCAAAAACGTATATGCTTAAGTGTGTGAACATTTAGACTACAATCCAGTATCATTAAGAAAATGCAGTATGTCAAAAATAGAGTATTCATGATAAAAATTGAGAACAAAACCTTACCCTGATGAGGCTACGTTTTACGAAATAAAACTAATCATATAACTGCTCGTGTATTTCCGAGTGAAATTCACTCATCTGTATATCTACTAAACATTTTTAAATTATAGCTGATGCCAGTTCGTGATAAAAACCCGAACCCTAAATACCTAACCTTTACTATGAACAATATGTAAATTCTTAAAAAATGTGTTTGGGCTATTCTAAGAATTCAAATAGAGGGATAGTCTATATGTTGCTTTTTTCGATTTTCAGGCAAATTAACCTGTAGAAGACACTGAACAAACTTATTAAGTATATAAAATCTGTTTATACTTTGTAATATTATTGTTTACTTTTTTACAAACTGTCTATTTATTAAACCAATTTTCCGATTGACTAGAAACTAGCTGAAAATTTGTCGAGGTCATTTTAAGCTTAGCCCTGTATTATACCATACCTTTACCGAAGATTCTTATGTAGATCATATTCAACCTCCAGAGTTTTTATTCATGTATCTTCGTTGTTCAGGTTTGTTAGAATGTATTCTGTTCTCTTCCAGTTCTTGTTTTGACTTGAAAAGAGTTAAGTATTGTTTTCAATGTATACCACACGGTAGAAGTATACAATGGTTAGTGATGTATATGATATAACTATATACCTAAATCATGCAAACTATATATGTAAAAGGTTTTATTTTCTTTGCTAAATCTAATGGAAATTTACACATCATTTTTGTTTGTTTAGGTACGATCAAATTTTTTTCACCTTCCGTGAATAATACTGTTTCTTCAATAGTCCCACATGGATATGCGAATTTATGTGCCCAACATGAAGGTTTCATCTTAATTAACAGTTTTAATACAAAGAAATTATTCATTTATTCCGCGTCCACCTCTACCTCTGGACTAAATCCTGATCAATCTCATAAACTGTCAACGGTTACTTCTACCACTACTAGTTCTCAATTGAAAATAACCCCCAAAAATCGATCATTTCATCGGTTGCAACGTCTCGCTCAAGAAATTGTAACATTGAATACTAGTTTACCATTGTCCGAAAATGCTAGTGTGTTTATTTGCTGTGAAGAAAATCATTTGTGTTTATTAAAGGTAAATTTTTCCTAACAATGAATCTGAATGGCGTTTCGTTTTTTTAGACTACTAATATAAAATTTGACTGATTGTTGATCAATGAAGGTTATGCATTTATATGTTTTTTTTTGCACATCATCTATCGATATTATTTCTCAATTAATCAATCACAGACATTATAGAATCTGGCATAAATATGTTATGGCTTGAAGGTTAGCTTACTAGATTTTCAACTAATAAGTCTGAGATTTGAACCTCTTTCCACTAACTTCGATCTTGGTAGCTGAACGGTATCATTAAATTTACTATCTTGACTTAGTGGTCGCATCTGCATTTCGTGATAACCCAGTTGAGCTATACTAACTGGAAAACATGTTCCTATTTGGTTCTATCTTGCTAAGTAGGTTGGTTAGAGAATGGCAATACTAGAAGCAACATATTCATGGTCGGAGGGCTATGTTGTGCTGCTGATTATACAGGGGTATAGTGTCAGACAGGTATTTTCCTCATGCAATCAACATTCCTATCGATGCTGTCTTAAGAAAGTTTTTAGAAAATGTCGACCGTAGCAATAACACACCTTATCTTGCCCCAAGGACTTCCCCCGGCAGCAGTAAAAATTTTACAGTACGGAGCTACTCGCAATAGGACCGTGTATGAACGATCCCAAGCAGTTGTCCCTCAAATTATGTGGTCACCAACACCATACTAATCCAGTATCCTTCTCAGGTTCTTCAGGAAGAAATATCCTTTCACAGTACGAGAAATCGGGAAGTGACAACTGTTCACACACCTCTGACGGCACTAGAAATAACTAACTCGTGATACCGATCAGCGATCTCAAGCCATAACACAATTACTTATGTTCACTTTGTTTTATTTTTATTTTTAACCAACTAACAACAAAAAACTAGGCACTAATTACTGGACCTCCTGATACTCCATATGCAAATGGATGTTTTGAATTTGACATATACACACCGCCAGATTATCCAAATCAGCCGCCTTTGGTTGAATTTTGTACAACAGCAAAAAATACATTCCGTTTTAATCCAAACCTGTATGAAGATGGCAAAGTATGCTTGTCAGTGCTGAATACATGGCATGGATCAAGCGAAGAACGATGGAACCCTCAAACATCAAGTTTATTACAAGTAATTAAATCTTTTCCATACATGTATATTTATGTATTTACTCTTTTAAATAATATTTCTTGTAGTTGCATTGGATATGAGTCATATTCTGATTAATGACGTAAACACACTCATGTAAAATAGATGGAATGTGGTCAACAATGGAATTCAGGACGCGCGTTTTATTTATACCTACATCCCAGAGTTGATATTTACTCCGGGACTCTGGTATTCAGTCACATCTAGCTGACAAGTCCTAAGTAGGATGAAACGCGCGAGCTGGATCCCACTGGCACCCACCATTCGTCACTACTTATAAATGCTTATGAAATAATAGTGATATTAAGGGAATCCACACAGGATACATAGATGCTAACAAAGCAGACTAATAAAGCACAGTCTTAAATATCAATGAAAAGCTTCAAATAATCAATAAAAATGAATTAAATTCCACTGGTTATTATTTGTTTTTTCAATTTTTTAAACTTCTAGATGTAACCCTCCATCTCCTGTTATCATTGTCATTACTGTTGAAACTGTCACTAAATTCGTTCATTTAATGTAGAGTACTTCTTTTTAATAAGTCATTTCATTATCTGATAGTAGACAACATCGTACAAATAATGTATAATTAGCATCGTTGTCTAGAAAATTGTTCTAATCTTGGAGACATTTATATCTTTCTATCAAAGATCATTCGTTTACCTCTATATCATATTTATTGTTGAGTGTTGTTGACGAACTATGTTATGCTTTTATTTTCAGTTCTCAATCTAATAAATATATATTCATCATAATTTCATTATTACACTATAGTATTACAAGAATGCACCATATAAAATGGGAAAATTGAAAGAAACCTCTTGTAACATGACCAACACTTGGTTATACTCTGGATTTTATCTAATAACGTTTTAAAGCTTCTGAAACAATCACATTATTTGATTATTCCCAAACTAAAATTTATGATAACCTGATCTTTACCAGTTTTATACAGCATTTCAACTGACCTTCAGTCACATCTCAGTTACCTACCATATCTAAATAACGTGAGTGGTAAATTGATGTAAGTCATCCTACTCTTAGTGGGGTTGAAAAGGCTACAATCACTCTAAAGTGAAGAAGGGCAACAGGGCCTGATGAACTAACCCCTGAAATTCGTAACAATGGTGGTTCAGTTTTAGCAGTTAGGTTAAGAAAATTTTAGCTAACATCTAGGAACTGGACATATTCCCAACTAATTGAGCTCAATCTCTGATCATCACAGTTTATAAGAGAGGATAAAAATCCTCTTGTGGCAATCACAGAGGAATCAGTTTAACTAATATTTTGTCTAAAATATTAACCTGAATAATACTTAAATGAGTTCATGAAGAGCAAACCTGAGAAAACCAGGCTGGTTTCAGACGTGAACATGGATTTATAGATCAAATATCCACCCTTCGGCGGACTCTTAAACGTTTAAGTACTTTTCGACGTCCGACTATAGTTGTATTCTTTGACCTTAAGGCGGCATTCGACTCTGTTGGTTGAGTTTCTGCGCCAGTTTCTCATTGAAAGGCGTCCGAAAGAAGTACATTAACCTTATGCAGGTTCTGTACTCAAATACTATTGGTTGAGTTAAAGCCTTTAGAAAACTGTCATCGGAACTGGTTACTTCAATTAGTGTTCGTCAGGGTTGTCCGTTTTATTCACTTTTATTTAAATTTTTGTAGGGATGCTTGTAGAGATAAAACTTTTATCATCGTTTGACTTTTCAGATATGGATCTTCTACCAGGAGATTTACTCGTTAACTCAGAATAAGCAGTAGACATACCTCTATTTAGTGAAGACGCTGACAAAATCCCGAGTTTCCTGACCACTTTAAGTAATAACGGAAGCATGTTTGTGATGGGGTTCTCTTCCTCCAAGTGTAAAATGCTACTTGAGGATTGGTCTGGGATATAACCTTTCACCTTGATTGATTTTAAACTATTGATTTAGATTTATTTGGTATGACTACTGTGAATTTCGTTCTCATTATATTCCATTATTTGACTATTATAATTACTATTATCAGGTATTAGTATCAATTCAATCGTTAATTTTCGTACGTGAACCTTATTTTAATGAACCGGGTTTCGAGTGTACCATGGGAACGCCTAAAGGCATAATTGTCAGTTACAAATATAATGCTCGTATTCGTGTTGCAACTGTTCGTTGGGCTATGATTAATCAATTAAAGCATTTACCAATTGGTTTTGAAGAGGTGAGTAGAATCTTATCATTTTTTGTTTAATCCTATGTATTAAGATTTCTAAAACAATTAAAAATTCGATGGTTGTATGTGGTTGAATAGTTGATGCACAGATCAAGCTTAAATTTTATTAGTTGTTTTTCGTCACAAACTCGGTTGAAATCCATGCGATTGTCGAAAACTATATATTGAGAATATTCACCGATGTGACTTACAATCTATGTGATGATGCAGATATATTCACTTACTGTCTTCTATAAGATATTGAGTTTTCAAATTAATTTATTCTTTCTTGAATCTTATCGTATAGTCGTAAATCTTTTCCGCTACCAACAATTCTGTATTTATTTGTTATAATACCTCCTATCTGGCACCTTCTTAGTCTGATGGCTCGTAAAAATACACCAACCACAACCTGAATTTGTTCATCACTAATATACCAATCCGCTTACAAGAAAGCTACTTTACTTGGCCAATGAGATGCCTAGGCTAGTGTGGTTAACCTAGAGGATTGACAAGATAATTTAACACCTGTTGGTCCGCCGATCTCCATACCTTCTTCTATCCTCAGTCTTGAGTTCGAACAAGAGAACGTAGCTGGGAAGCTTCCATTATTATAATCCAAGCACACATGTGTTCATATACATGTTTACTGAACATCATACCATAAAATAAAAATCATAATTTATACATAAAAAAACCAAAGGTGAGAGTGAATAGAGCAAATGAATGCCTACAAATTCCCTGGTACATTTGAGAATGGGGAGAGTCCGCTGTCCCTCTCCAAATGCTCTCACACGACCACGCGTATATAGCCTCTGCCAGGGAATTCCTATTCATTGCCTTCTCGTGGCGGGGGTGTTGTTTACGAAATTGAGAGGACGGAAAGCGAATGTCCGTCGCTTTAACCGGGTTGGTGGACATGGAGAGTCCACCTAGAGGAGTTGGAAAACCCTGATTACAAACCAATGATGCACATGGGCTCCAGTATCCTGAAGGAACAAATGGCGTATGAACCAATCGTTGGTGACCGGCTATCATGGGACTGCATCTCCTTACGATGCTCCACTGCCTTGTGGATCAAACCTTCAAGTTTAGGTTAGAGGCTCCCGGAGTTACCCCCTAAGAAAACCACGTGGTTCGGTTCGGGCACCCGAACAGTATCACAGCCCTCACACATATCAAATGAGATTTGTGTGGCGCATATGTATTTGGTGCCTCCTTGTACCAATATCTATGTATTGAAATAAATAAATGATAAATAACCGGTTAACAATAATTTAAGAGTAATAAAATGTATAACAATAGTTATCAGATCAAATAACAACTCACAATAAAGTTGAATATCGAAATATAATATTCCAGTTATTTAATAATTATGGAATTACTTCATAAAATAGTCTCGAATGTCACCAGCTTTTTTAGTATTCTTTCTGTTACTGAAACTTCTACCATTCTGTAATTCGTTTCGATAATTTCTATCTTTCTATATTAATATGGTGTAACAACATATATGTTTTAGGTTTTATATTACTTATAACTAGTTGTGTTAAGAACTGTAGTCAACCAGAAAATAGTCGATTTTATATGAAGATAGTAAGTACTTACTGTTAAAGAATTCTCAATTCAAATAAAACAGATGTTCATTTCACTTTCTTTTCAATGAAGTTCCCTACAACTATCAGTTAGTCTCTTGATGATAAATGTTATCTTTAAGTTGTATTTTGGGTTGTTTTTTTTCTTAAAAATGGATAAATAAATAATATATTTGTAATATCCCAGTGAGTAGAAAAACGAGGTTTTTTGACGTTTCGTGACTTAGTGTAAGCCACTTCTTCAGAGAATAAATAACCAAACTGAAATTAATCCAAGGTTAAATAGTACAACGGAACAACAAGAATATTATGTGCTCAATCAAAAAACAGGTCTGAACAAATCAATGTCATGTCATTTCGGTCAATGTGATTCATAAGCGACACGTATGTAAATTTTTGTGTATGTATGTGTGCACTGTTAAGGATGAAAAATGTTTGACCTTTATGTTGAGAAATGATAGAGTTTAATTTGTAAGACCATAGTATGAATTGTAAATAATATCAGACTAGATGGCTAGGATAGATAGTCCATGTAGGATGTATGGTAAGGCCTTCTTTTCTATTGAGAGCTGTAGGATTAAGCATTATATGGAACGTTTCAGCTACTCACCTTTCTTTGTAATTGAAAAAACCCTTTTGTAATATTTTGGCATTTTTGAAATCGATTTGGTGGTCGTTGAAAATGGTATGAACTGCTATTGGCGATTTAATTGGAAGTCGGTGCAGTTCTACTGGATCATTTGGATGTTTCTTTGTGTACCTAATATGTTCTTTGACACGAGTCAAGATTTTGTGAGATGACTCTCCAATATAGACGGCATTACAATCGAAACAACCTAATTTGTGGACGCAGTTCTGTAGTGACGTGAACGGATAGTTTAATGGTTCAGTTTTGAAAACTTGAAAATGATGTAAATTTTTTAACGATAACAATTTTTAGCCTTTTTCCTCTACTTGACCCTCTTATTCGACGGTTTTGGGGAATTTTACGGTGTTAAATACTTTTTTGTTTACTTAATTGTTAATGTTTCACTTTCAATAGATAATATAACTATATATTCAATAATGGTAAACTTGATCGATTTAAAAAATTTCATGTTTATCAGGTATCTTGTATTTGTTTTCTATGATTAACTGGCAGTCATGCTTAGGGAATATTTATTCATGAAATTTGTAAAGTTGTATTACAATTGTTTTTCAGTTCAAATCGCCATAATAAATAGACTTAACATTAGGGCAATATATTGAAAAAGTTTGTTATCAAAACATTTTGTGTTGTCTGCTTACACCTCGTCGAGGAGCCATTGGTCACCCACTAACATTCTTCATCCAACTCTATCCTGCACAATCCTTTCCACTTGTTTCCAGTTGCTATTCATCCTTTTGATTTTGTTTGCTTCGAATTATTGACGCGGTGTGTTCTTTGGTCTTCCTCTTTTCTATTTCGCTTCAGAATTTCAAGTTGATTTTTGATTCGTAATTCAGGTTGATGATTTCCGTAATGTATGTTCTATGCACTTCCATCGTCTTTTCTTAATCTCCTTTTCAGATAGAAGTTGGCTTGTTCTCTCCCACAGTAGGTTGTTGCTGATGGTATTCGGCCAACGGACATTTAGTATCTTGTGTAGACAATTGTTTGTAAATACTTGTATATTTTTGATGATGGTTGTGGTAGTTCTCGAAGCTTGAGCTCTGTACAGTAGAACTGTCTTGACGTTTGTATTGAAGATTCTGACTTTGATGTTGACTGATAGTTGTTTTGAGTTCCTTGCTTTGCCAATCCTAGCATTCACGCCTGAATCAGATCCTCCTTGTTAATCGATAATGCTTCCCAGGTACCTGAAGGTTTGAACCTCGTCCAGAGCTTCTCCGTCAACTGTTTTCTACTAGTAATGATCAATTGCTTTAGCCATCATCAGGGAAATCACCTACATAGTTTAATTTCTGTACACTCATTGTAATATAACATTAATTTTTACTGAATGTACGTCTTTTTCCATCCTGTAGGTAGTTTTAAAACATTTTCTAAATCGACGTTCATTTATTATTTCTCAAGTTGAACAATGGATATTTGAAATGCGTAATCATGTACAATTTAAGAGCGTAGAAATCTATGTCAAAGAGCTTGAAGTGAGTTAATAACTTGATCATTATTTGTCTTAAATTAGAATGAATACTTCATCACTTACATTTTTTATTGTTTTGGTGTGTTTTCTTTTCTTGAAAAAAAAGTGAAATTCATTATATATGGTCAATAAATTTGATCTATAGGAAGTTATTTCGGTGTTGCATTAGTCCATCACTATTAGGAAAAGGAATATTGAACTTAGATAACTGTTCTTTCGTCAAATTTTAGTGAATCTTTTTCGAACAGTTATTTTAGGTTACTTTTCTGGCTAACTACTAGATTCAGGACACACGTTTATTCCTATTTGTAACTCGTCAACTGGATGGACCTGGTCTCTGAACTCAGTAGCTAAATGAATAATGTGTTAGAGGTTTGAAGTAAAATGCACTAGGTTCGATTCCTGGCTCGAAGGTCAGTACTGGTATTCAGGTACATCCATCTGATGAGCCTCAAATAGGACAAAGCGCCCGTCTTGAATTCCATTGCTAACCACTGTCAAAACTTAGCTTAAAAATGCCTATACCTTAATAGTTATATTGAAACAATCCGCTGAGGATGCGAATTCGCCAAAAGATATTGGTGATAATTCAGTCCTTAACATCAAAGACTGTAAAATTCGAACCCTTAAAAATGAATGAATGCAAAATCTGTATAAACAAAAGTATTCCGCAACAGAAATAAAGAAACCTATTAAGCTTTGGTGGTTTCAAGAAATTTATTGGTTTTCCATATCTTACTACCAGTCCTGTGCTTCCACAAGGGGGAAACAGGCATAAGTAATAATTTATTAATGTTGGTAAATTATCACGACTAGATATGTCAGTCAGCCAGTAACAACGTAGAACTTCGTACGTACGTACATCAGTTCGAGTTGCCATACCACATTAGGACAGAGATGCAGTTGTCGATTCAAATCCCGTAGTGGTAGAGGTAGTATGAGTATAAGCAGTAATCGGGAAGATTAGGGTTTGGAGATTTTATTTAAGGAGTATAATACAGTGAAATAAATTTGGGAAGAGAAAAAAAGAGACCAGATGACTAGATATGTGATTTATCAGGAATATTTTGCAATTGTTTCAAAAAACTAAGCAGAGTGTTCCCCTCACTGCTGATACTGTGGTGTGTGCTATTTATCTTGACATAAGTAGTATATAACGCTAGTCAGGAATAAAATGTCTAGCAGCAGAGGATCGAGAAGGAAAGAACGGGAACAGTAAGCAATTTGTATGGAAATGATGGAACAGTGAAATTCGAGACGATTGATTGACATTTTGCAAATGAAGTATCTACTGTATGATTCTTAGATTTTACTAAGATGTTCTATAATTCTGTGTTCAAATACATTCGATTGTCGTCATTTATGTTCTCGTTCACTACAATATCATAACTCGTTCAGTAATAATAAACAGTTATTTTATTTAATATAACTATATAGCGCTTAATGTGCAATATTTAACGATTATTATTATTTTTTATTCATACAAAGGATTCTTTACCCATCTTGAAAACGGAACTTAATCGTCTAGAAGGACGTCTTACTGATTGGAATGAAAAACATAGTCAAATGTAATTTATCTCAATGAAAAGGTAATACCAGAGTATATATGTATGTATAAATTATATATATTTGAAATACAATAATTATGATTACTAACTTGTTTATTATTTCTTACTTTCCAATCTTCATTGTACACATTGATTCTTGTAAATTAGCTTACACTTTCTCTTTTCTTTTCTTTTAATGTATGTAAATCATGCACATAAAGATGGGTAACTATAAGCAAACAATTGTCTTTCAATGTTTAACATTATTATTATTGGTGGTAGTCGTAGTAGTATTGTGAAGATATCTATTTTCTAAACGGCTTTTTTTAAAACTTTGATTCATTTATTAATTTTGCCTAATATTCAATCCTGTTAGTGAAATGTATATCTAGTGTGATGTTTTGTCTTTAAATTTTGTGCATCTTTAATTTCTTCTCAATTTATTTATATTCTCATTTGATTCTTTTATGAAAATGACAAATTTACTGTTTATCCGGGTATGTTTACGATTGTATAACAGTTATGTATTTGCTTTTACTCTTATACTTTATTTTCTTGAAAGGATTCTACGATCAGTAGCTGAGATAAATTAAATGTTTTTTTCATTGGTGTAAGCTTTTATCTATGGGATCAGTGTTATTTAAGTAGGTGGTGGGGAGAATCCTCTTTCCCTCTAGAAATGTTCTTACATAGCTACGCGTATACAGTCACTGCCTTCTCGTGATGGGGGTGGTGTTTACGAAATTTAGAGGTTGAAAAGCCAATCTCAGGTGCTTTAACCGGATCGGTGGATACGGAGGATCCATCTAGAGGAGTTGGAAAACCCTGATTCCAGACGAATGGTGCACATGGGCTCCAGGGTCCTAAAGTAACCAATCGCTACAAACCGGCTATAAGTTACGGTTATTTCACTTTCTACTTCTGTAGGGCAGCATTTTTGAATAGAAATATTGAACAATTTAGTGTGATTAATTTGAAAGGTATCAGATGTGTTATAGAGATCATGGATATATTGGTCATATATTAGTAATACATCGTTAAAGTGTCAGGGTTCCAATCCACATCCTTAATTTGTGGTAGCTGAAATACTATTGGGACCCGATTTTATGCTATGCCTTGTTAAAGATACCGTCAAGTACGAAATTCCAGTCGATTATCTTCAATAAGTTGTGTAGACCATAGCCTCGAAAGAAATTTAAAAGTTGTTTACTTTGTGAGCCTATGTGGTCCCATCAGCATATTTTCGAGCTTTTTCAAGGTGGGGTGTATGGCCATCCTTGAGCCTTAGTGTTCCTTGTGACCTACCATTGGAGCCTTTGGGATGAAACGAGTCTTAATGTTATCCTGAATTCTCAGTCTGAGTGGTTCCAAACATTTTATGAAAAGGTTTACCTGCAGTCCGATGAGTTTTGCTAGTGTTCTGCAACCAGGTAACTAAATTAGACCACCTATGTGATCATATCACAAACATTTCAAACATAGTTTTCAGGGATTTATTGTCCACTGCCTCAGTTCCAAAATGCTCGATTTGGAATTCGCGAAACTGAATAGATCTTTTAGACGTTATCCTTAGAATGTTTCATTATGTTGTTTATGTGACTTTAGATACATGTCTAAATAAAGAGATTTACTGAAGGCTTACCTATCTTCAAACGCTTCCGACTTTATGTGAAAACTGTGAACCAGGTTTCTTTGTTTTTATTTATTGTGTTAAGTTTTTTCCAAGTATAAAATGGGACTGATGGTGGCTTACTGATAGTACAAAAGGGAAGAATAATTTGAAGAAATCTACCATTGACAATAAGAAATAAACAAGATCGATCAAACTATCATATTCCTTTGTAAAAAAAAATATGCAACTGCGAAGGTATGGCAATTAGGAGTATTTGAATTATTGTACGAACTGAGAATTCCCGAAATACCGCAATTTATAGCAAATAGAACTAGATGAGCATGTATTTGGAATTCGAAATCAGGTATAAAAGAATCATCAGTTTATACAAACACCAAAACTTAAATTAGAATGCAGGTTTCTGTAATTGACTGAATGTTTTCTCAGTAGGTTCTATGCATGTCTGTCAGACCGTGTATTGAATGAGGACTCTGTATGATCTAGGGTTTACGCATTGGAATTCACAAGTAAGATTGGGACATACTCATCTGGCTCCTGGAATTCTCTATGAACGCATGTGGTTTTTGTACTGTAATCACTGATATCTAGAATTTGAACCGTAGATTTTCCAGCACTATCCTCCTCTACGAAATAAGGTAGGGTCCTTATGTCGCAATTTGCATTATCTTCTCATATCATACACTTTGATAATTGTATGTGGGTATTTGGAGATACACATCAACATATAGTGTGGAGCATTCCATCATGTGACTTTGACCTGCACAGCAAATATGATACATATTTCCTTTGCTTTTCACGATAGGCTACACTGTTCCAGTTATTGGATAAGTTTGTATTGATATGTGTAGTCAACGTAGGTGATTCATATAGGCTTAACCCACCTACAACACTCAAATGGAAAATATGTATCTGTCTCATGCCTATTAATATAATCTCGATTTGGATTTTCTCCCTGTTCAAACTTCATATCTGGGAAAACTGGTTCTCTGACAGCTTCGGGAAAGCTTGCTACCCCCTCTGATTCATCATACTACTGACTTAGAATCCTACTCGACATAGATTGGTTGTGATAATATCCGACATCTGGTACAATAACATCAGAAATTTGACTAGAATTAGACTCATTCAGAACACATTTGTCACATTCATAAGGAACATCGCTAGGGATAAGTCCATTGTGAAGGCGAATAACATCTGTTGCAACACCATAGGGACTGTAATCAGATCTCAACTCATTTAGAACTTATTCCTCACATTTAATTGAGATTTCACTAGAAATAAATGGATCATTAGGACAAACGGCATCTGATAAAATAACGTCAGAGTTCTGATTTGGTGCACTCTGTTTATGTTCGTCATATAATTTCATTAGGAATACATCAACAATGAGAACAACGCATATATAGTAAAATAATATGATTCATTTGAAGCACTCAACTTTATAGAATTGGAATTACAAAGTTTAGCTGTGCTTGCATTGAAATAAATAGTAGTATTACAAACTTATTGAATGTGTTCACATTTAGCATTACGAAATACACATGAATTGCATGAGTGAACGGCTTTTATGGCGAGCCGTTCAACATGCTCTATCAAAATATTCAATGTAACCATTATATCAAGGTTCATCATCTAGCTGACATGGCTAAGAGCAGATGTATTTTATGAAAGAAAATGTGATAGGAAGCTTCGTCAGTCAATAGTTAATGTGAATCGGCGAGACTGTAATTTAGGGACGACCTTCGAACGAATCTTAAATGACCTTGACAATTATTAGCCAATCAGAAGGCAGTTACGGCAAAGTGAAAAGATATTATAAGTAAGTCATGAATTACAGTGGATATTCTTCTTTTACATGATTTTAAAACTTGTTAAGGTTTGATAAAGGTTCAGAGGTTCTGAATTCATAATGCATATGGTATAGAAACTCGTCCATAGGGTTTAGGGTTAGGTTAGGGTTAGGTCAGGGTTTAGGGTTAAGGTTAGGGTGCTAACATGAGATCAGTTTACAACGGATTTTAGAGGTTAGGGTTAGGGTTGTAGTCTCTCAATAAACACCTCTTCTCTAAAATCTGATATAAACCGATCTCATGTTAGCACCCTAACCCTAAACCCTAACCCTATGGACGAGTTTCTATACCATATGCATTATGAATTCAGAACCTCTGAACCTTTATCAAACCTTAACAAGTTTTAAAATCATGTAAAAGAAGAATATCCACTGTAATTCATGACTTACTTATAATATCTTTTCACTTTGCCGTAACTGCCTTCTGATTGGCTAATAATTGTCAAGGTCATTTAAGATTCGTTCAAAGGTCGTCCCTGATAGGCTAATAATTGAAATTGCTCAAACGCTTCTCACTGGCTCGTCCCTAAATTAGAGTCTCGCTGTCCTATATGTTGTAACCTCTCATTAATCACCTCTTCTCTAAAATCCGCTGTGAACCGATCGTATGTTAGCATCGCGTTTTGAAATTGGCTCCGTGACCTTGAAATTGGTCAAACGCCTCTGATTGGCTCGTCTCTAAATTAGAGTCTTGCCGCTTTTATTTTTTGATTGTACGTGCATGATATTTGTGTTCCAAGTTCTACATGTTTAGAAGTATCATTTATTAGGAACGAAGCAAAGTTGTGTGCTAAAATGTGTGCAGTGTGATTTTTAAATTAGCGTGATGTGGCTTAATTAGATTTCTCTGTTTGAAGGTCCATGTAACGTAACCAAAAAATTTATGGTCAGCATACGCTTGTCATACTGAGTTTGATATATCATTACTCGTGTCCGAGTCTCTTCTTGTGAAATAAATTAGAAGCTAATGAAATCAAACGACGATGGCTGAATAATTGAAGCCAGATCAACATGGAAAACTTGAAGTTCTAGTGAGATACCGTGACCAGTGGAGTTCAACCGGGTCTGATGTGAGATAGTAGCTCATTGAAGACAGTGGCGCGATTCCGAGGATTGGTTGAAGCTAGACATTGATACTGCTGGATGCCGGTCCAAGGGTTTTGAAGTCAGGCGTTCATTCGCGAAAACGACAGTATCCCGTTCGAGTCCCATATGCGGGTTCGTGGCCGTGCACTACGGAGGACTCTAATATCAAGATGAATGAGCCGTCCAGTGCCTCCAGGTTTTCAACGGTGGTCTAGCTTTACTCGATCCATGGAGTCAACTAATAAAATTACTACAACCTCTGGAAAAGCTCTTTCTGAAAATAATTTAGTAGAAAGTTCTATTTAGGCATTAAATAGCGCTATCACGGAGTATAAACTTTGAGCTCAGAAGTTGTTAAACAAAAAGTGTTCCATTTACCTATCAACTCGCAACACATTGCAGGTACTTAAAACCTTCAGAAAGTAGTATTTCTTGTAAAATTTCATAGCTGGCATCGATGAGTAATACGTACGATGATATTTCAGCATCTCATGAGAACTGTGAAAAATTCCCAAATAGCAGTTTGAAGCCAAGTGATTTTATTTAGAAGCACTCATCAAATACGGCATCTTTTTATCTCTAATAAGCCAGATTGAACAAATGAAAAATACATACATTAGAAAGTTTTGCGTTCCTGTTGGCATCAGTGGGCAAACCATGCAAAACATAAATGTTCATCTGAGTATACATGACGTTCTGTATGAAACATTTTAATCTTAAAGAAGTTTTTCCAACTAAAAACTTTTCCGTAAAAATAAGGCATGAATGCTACCAAAGTGTCGTAGCATTAGAGATGAAAAATGCAAAGGGAAAAAGCACGTTTTACACATAATGGCTGTTTATATCATCTGAGAACCTTGCATTTCTTCATGACGTGATGATTATTAACGGTTGTCAAACTGTGTCAAACTCTACAGTCAGTCGTTGGGTTTCGGTTATTGCTGTGGAATGGAAAATCCAGCGGCGAGAAACCTGTCTGGATGCCTTCCTTCATCCTGTTTATATCGTTATTGTACTTCGCTTCGTTCTTTTCGAAAATAAGTACTTTCATGTATATCTTAAAACCATACAACAGTGTGAACGAATAATGTAGTCGATAATGAATTATGCCAAATTAACTGCGTCGTTTCTGTTAGCCAGATCACAAATGATTGTCAATCTTTATTTCATGGGCTGAAAAATACACGAATTCTCCGTAGGTTCTGAGTCTTGACGTAAACGAAGTCAACTGCCGTCTGTTCATGATCTGGTTTGCCGAAACAATAAAACCAAGTAAGACGAGTGGAAACTCGTGAGTAATTGAATTCTAAAGGACCTCGATAAAATATGTGAACCAAATTACATTCGGGTGTGTCATGAGACGCATCACTTAAGACAACTCGTCTGTTTAGAATACATAAGTTTCGGGATGGATCGTTCAGTAAAAAATAGTCGAGTCGTCAGGATATCTTTATGAGATACCGAAAAAGTGTTGAAATCGTACAGTAGTGCCAAGAAACGTATGCAAGAAATCATTCATTTTGGACTTATTCTTCATAATAAATTAGACATTGGATAGTTCTTTGCCGTCAAGTTGAATTTCGACCTTGGGGACGGTACTAATGTGTATGACATTGTTATGCAGTCTACTTCCCAAATGTGTGGTTCGTTGATCAGAAAAAAATATTTCTGGTGACCTATATTTTAGTCACTCATTATTTTTTTAATAAATTTACCTGAAAATCAGATGAAACTCAAATATTTATTAGTTTAGTACTAACAGTAGTTTATACGTATAAACTATTTAGGAGTATAGTACTATACTGCTAAACATCGTAATTAGTATATATCCCAATTATAATTTTGACACCCTTTGTGGTTTCGGAGCAGCTACCAATTTTCAACGCATCAGGGAAGAAGCATTTGGCTATGCATTTTAACGAGGCATAAGGACTTTATTGTTTTGGAGCCTTGGCTATGTTTTCTGATAGGCATTTGAAAGCGTAATTAGTACAGAGTTGTTTACACCCTTATATTTTGTGCGCTGTGAATCAAGTACATAATTTGGGCTACTTTCAATCGTTGATTTAGCTAGGCAATGAGAGAAGTGGACTAAATGTTGGCATTTGAGTCGGCTCAGATACTCATTTATTAAAATATGGTCCAAAATTATTGTTTCTCGACTTTTAGAGCCCTATAAGACGTTAAAAGTAGTATATCGCAAACCTTTTTCTGGTACAGTTGGTTGGTTTGTAATAGAAGTGAGACTATAATTTATGGATGAACCAATCAGATATAAAATAACGAGTCTTGGATTTTGGTGCGAAATTCATTCATCCATTCGGCTAAATAGAGTTTTGGCATTATGGCTGATGTCCGTTTGTGATGAAAACCCTAAATTTATTTCTTAACCCTAGCTATCAACTGCAAATCATAATCCTAATTCCTGACACTGTTTTATAATCCTTATTTAGTCCTAGTTAGTAGATAGACACTTTCAAGGTCACTTTAGCGTCGCTCAATAGTCTTCCATAAATTATAGTCTCACCATAATGGGACCTCGAAAAATTGTCTATAACGAGGGACTAACTATTGGGGTGTAGGTCAACTGGTAGTTATCTAGTCACTGTCAAACCTCTTACTTAATAAGACATCAACTTTCTAGCTGTAATAAAATTCACTAGACCTGGAAAGCATCGGATGCGTTTGTCCACTTTGTAAGGGTGAATGGAAGAATTATGTTCGCTAAAAGTCAGAAAATGTTTCCTACTGATTCAGTCCATCAAATATATCTTTACCTCGTTTCAGCATTCAAATGTATACATTACTTTAACTTTCCCCTAGACCTTTGTTGGGAAAAAAATTCGATTTGGTCGACAGGGAGAGTATTTTGGTTGTATCTTCTCTCAAGAAAAGTCTTGAAAATACATAAGATTTCAAGTTTTCTGTTTTGGCTCATAAATGCTTAGTGAGAAGCAAATTTTAGGCATTATAGATAATTGATTTCTGCCGTAAATACCCGTTTTGTTTTCAACTAAATTTTTCGTACACCTGATAAAGGTAGCTGATCGTTTACCTAAAGAGTTTAGAGCACATAAATAGTACGCTCCTGTTTGAAATTTTTTGAACATTTGACGGTTGACGTATCATAACAAGTCTTGGCGTGATGCGAATCCTACCCTTGGTGATTGCACGTTAGATAAAGTTAATTTTGCTCAGGTAGTTTTTGTAAGACCCAGTTTGTTAACGATCAAATCAGTCAGACCGGGCGCACATATGCATCTGTTTAAGTGTCGCACTAATGTAGCTAGATAGAACCAACAAACTGAATAGTAAAAAAGTTTAAGTAATAGAATTAATAAAGATAATAAAAAAGTCCTAATGTGAAAAACATGGTTCGGAAAAGGGATAAAGTAGTTAAGTATAAAGGTAAAAAGTAATGCCAAAACTTATGATTTGGAGAGCGGTGAAGAATAAACCAATTCACGCCACTAAAAATTATTTTGAGCCATGTTACTTTGGGTCTTGAACATTATGTGGTTAAATAAATTTCTGCATAGGTTTAATAATGTGTTTTGTGCTTATCGATTTGCAATGCATAGCACCTGCTATAGATGAAGCATATTATTTAAGGAGTTACTATTTAGCTTAGAAGTAAAGAAGATAAACAGATGTAAAAAGTAATTTAATATTTGAAATCATTAGTTAATTAAAGCTAGACCACCATGGAAAACCTGTAGGCACTGGACGGCCTTTTCATTCTAGTATGGGACTCCTCAGCAGTGCGCATCCAGAATCGATAACCTGTCAAAGGTCTCATCAAAGCGTTACTGGCTAAAGGGGAAACCAGCAAGCGAGTTTTATTGAGTATGGCATGGAATTTTTTGTAAGCAAGGCAAGTCAATGATGTTAACTTGAATTAAATGAGGTGATTACTTCATACATTACACATAACGAGTCTCCATGTTAGTCAGAAAAAACATCAGTACGATGAACCCAAGACAGGGTGTAAAGTAACTTACCAGCAGTCTGGTTTGTCTGTGAAAGTGTAGTTTTCTTCACTGGAGTCTGAAAGTAGAAAACGTGAGTGACCCAAGACTTGTCGGGTTGATACACGAAGATTAGCTTTTACCGACTCGGTTTGTTGTGACCATTTGGTATATTCTGGATTAATCTTTTACTGATTCATTCCAATACTTTTTTCTATCAACTTAGTTCTCGTGAAAAACTGGCTGATGACTCATTAACTGCGGTGGTTGGGAAATATGTTACACATGCTTATCCACCATATGCCTTAATGATAAGTTAGAAGAAAACTATGGATGACCGCATGATCACATAATCACCAATTCATAGAGTTACTGACTTTTAAACTGAGTAAAGTCAGCAGGCATAAACTTCCGGGTTGATCTGCAGTCAATGATTCCCTTCTATCTATGGAGATGTTGAGCAATTGTCCAAAAACGATCACAATTGTGGGAATTTGAATTTATTTCTTATCTTCCCCTGTGTAATGAGTTTAGTATTACTTCATATTTCTATCTTACTTGCTGCCTTTGAACTAAGTCTAGTATATTAAGTCTCACTGAAGTGATAATACTCCCTCTTCTCTGCTTCGTCTTGTTGATTTCTCTTGATGTAATGTCACAAGCGTTAAGTACTTAAACCTATACATACTCGTACTAGGCTTCTGGGTTGTATGTTACTGACTGATTAGTTACTCAATAACAGTAATACGAGTTATCTAGAATAAAATTAGCGAACAATTAAGTCACAGTTGATGTAAATATTAGATTTTACTAAAACAGACGAAGCGAAACAAGGAAATGCTAAGGAAATAATCTTTAACTGTATATAAATTCACGTGCATTCAAATACCCCTTTTTTACATATTTTTTATTGTTCATAGAACACTTATCTCATTACAGACGATTTCATAAAAGTCATCAAAAGTATTACTTCTTATCCGGACACTTTATGTTATGCCGAATAAAACTACTTGTGGTTTAGTTAATAAACAAGCATGTCGTTAACAAGTTTCGTCAAGTTTAGAAATCAAGACTATTCTACTTTAAAGAAGGAGCAATTAACCAGAGGAGTTAAGTTTGTCGACGATGAATTCCCACCAGAATCAATGAATTTGCAATGTCTTAATATACCTGCTGGTCCTTTAAGTTACTTGCGACCTTCTGAAATTGTCTCTGATCCATGTTTCAGTCGAAATGAATCATATTTTAGTTTAAAAAGAGGCTTTGTAAAAAATTTCAATGTTCTCCTCGCATTCACCGGTCTGAAATATAAGGCGAAGTACTGGGCAAAAGTAAGTTGAATTGGTAATTAATGTGTGAAATTTTATAATGTAGGTACTTGTTGATATAAAATCTCAAGAATGGGATGTACAACATATCAATGAACATCCAGGTATCTTTCGCTTTCGATTTTGGCAAGAAGGCATGTATTTTGAAGTAACAATTGATGATCTATTACCATGTTATGAAGGAAAGTGTATATCTTTATCATCTTCTAGTACCAAAGAGTTTTGGCCAGCCTTATTAGAAAAAGCCTATGCTAAGTAAGTGTTCACAATACATCTTATCGCCTTTAAAAATCGTTATTGTTTTAATCAGAAGCTAATCGGGTTGGAATATTGTTGTTTTCTACGATTGGTTTAACGTTAAAACTTTATTGCTAGCTTATAATCATTAAGCCAGTAATAGTTTGATTAAAGGACTCGGCCTTCAGGCAGCAGGTCGTAAGTTCGAGCCACAGTTCAACCATTTCGGTCTAGGCGGCTAGATAGTGTCATTAACATATCCACTGGTTATGTAATGCAATTAAATGAGTTTAATTTCACTATAATAGTCTCACGGAGCACTTTTTAATTTCAGGTTTTTCATGGTTAGTCATTTTATTCTTCTATTTACTGTTTCATTCCCACCTAAAAAGTCGCTGTTCGACTTTGAGTACTAAAACTAAGGATTTGAATTCCAACTCGTTTATTTACGTCCACTAATTTATGCTTCTGATCTTTTTCTATGATAAAACACATACCATATCATTGGAATGGTTTGGGTTCCATGGAATTAAATGGTGCATAGTAGATTCACATCACAAAATGATGTCAGTCGGACAGCCATTGAAGTCCATTTTCTCTTATCACGTGACTCATAAATAAACCTCAACGTAAATATATACAATATGGAGAAGCAGTTAGATACAAAAAGTACTGATTACTAGTTTCCAGAATGACAGCTCATGAGCGAAATCTCCGTATCATCAAGTCCTTACCACTCGTCAAAGCGGTTTATCATAATATCAATATTTTGACCGATGTGCTACTACTTTCCAACCAATTGTTTTATAATAAAGAAAGAAATCCTCTGTTTGCAACCTTTTATCTTTATTGAATAGATGTATTATGACTGATAATGAAATCCAAAGAGCGCGTTTATCCCTATTTGGGTCATCTACCCCAGTTTTATGTTTACATTGAGATTCGAACCTAGTACCTTCCTTTTCAAATACCCGGCGCATTACCCGGATAGCTAATAACTTAATCAACGGGTATGAGGTTTACATAATTATTAGTAAGAGTTCTGAATTTTCTCGTTGATATTAGGGACTGAATCGAACCAGTGTTAGTTGGTATAGGTGCATTCTGTGCAAGTTCCCTTAATATAACTATTAAGTCTTTATTGTAGTATGGTTGATCAATTCACCTACTCAAACGACTAACAAAAAGCCTTTCTATTAGGATCGCAGTTACTGTTTTTACCGACCAAGATTTTTACTAGTTTTCAGATCACCAGAATTAGTTGTTTGTGGTAATTATCTTCATTCAGTTTATACAAATTACCGTATAAGAAAATTGTCCGTTAATCAGTAAGCCTTGCACTCAAAGTCATGTGGTTAATAATTCCCTTTTACATTTTGCGAACTTATCGATTTGTGTCACGGTTATATATATATATATATATATATATATATATATATATCGATTAGTGGTTTGTATACTCTGTATATACATGAATTGAATAAGCTCTAATGCCTATATTTAAGTATTATTCTTTATTTTTTTCTATCTCCTCTTCGTTGGGAATGTTCAATTTATTTTAGATTATTAGGTGGCTATGATAAATTGGAGTATGTTCGACTAGAAGAAGCCATGATGGATTTGACTGGCGGTGTGACTGAATCAATTAGTTTACAAAATTTATATTCTGCACCAGCTATGAAACAAGTTTTATTCTTTGAACAAATGGAGAAAGATTTAATTGATGAGTGTATTGTAATATTTTGTACAAAAGTTAGTTACATAATGGAATGTTTTATAATCATTTCATTGAATACTTGTTTAGTTTATTCTACCATTTTGTGTGTAGAAGGACGGACGGGGTGCATCAACAAATTTCTCCTTAAAAGTTTGGTCGAATGATAATGAAACATTCGTATTTTTCATAGAATAGATGAATTGTGGTTGGTGGAGTATTCCAAGTCGTCTATCCAGACTCATTAGATCAGCGAATATCGCGTTGTGTGTTTGTAACGAAAGGCGTTGGATTCGAGTTCTGATGTGAACATCAACAGTAGGATGCAGATACATCCAGCTGATAAGTTCAAGTTGGAGTTTTAAATTCCAATGCTAGCTAAGATCCATCTTTTCTATAAAGCATGTGACGAAATGGCTGTATAGCGGCATTCCAAACGGGATTCACATATGCCTAGACTGATCAAAATTAGTAATTGAGTTTATCAAAATATCATCAAATATAGAATTAAGTGGTTGTCTACATTGAATTAACTCAGTAATTTGTTGCTTCTTGTCATTTTACAATCAATGATATTTTGTGTAGTGGGTATTAAGTCAGTCTGTCAGTAACAACGTAGAACTTCGTATATACGTACGTACATCAGTTCGAGTTGCCATACCACCACATTAGCACAGAGATGCAGTTGTCGATTCAAATCCCGTAGTGGTAGAGGTAATAAGAGTATAAGCAGTAGTCGGAAAGATTAGGGTTTGGAGATGTTATTTAAAGAGTATAATCCAGTGAGATAAATTTGGGAAGAGAAAAAAGAGACAAGAAGGAATCAGGAGACTTAAAATTTGGGGGAACACAAAGAGTATATGCACCTGCGCCATTGCAAACAATTTTGAGCCATGTCATTCAGGGTCTCTAACCATCGGTTGCTATTATCTCGCGATCCCCAACCAGGTAGTCTACACCTGCCAACATGACTCAGTCCACTTGTCAGTGACTTCATGGACTTGTGCCATGTTTTGGTCTGGCCGCTCCTAGCTTTCTTCCAACCTACTCCTATGCCACTGAACATCGCACGTCGAGGCAATCGGTCGTTGGGCATACGTAATACGTGTCCCAGCCACCTCAACTGATGGAGTTTCACTACTTCCTCAATCGATTTGCCATCCTTACCTAGTACCCGTTTCCTAACAACTGCGTTACTTACTCAATAGTCCCATGATATACGAGCAATGTTTCGAAGACACCTATGATCAAATACTATTAACCTACGAATATCCTCTACTCTTGCCGGCCATATTTCACTGCCATAAAGTAGGACGGAACGAACTGCTGCGCAGTAAACCCGTCCTTTGGTTGATAGACGGATATCTCGCCTACGCCATAGATGACGCAAGTTGGCAAAAGCTAGTCGAGCCTTCTATATCCGTGCTCAGATTTCGTCACACACCAGACCACAAGCGCTGATGAGACTTCCAAGATAAGTGAAGCGGTCGACACGCTCAACTACTTCACTACTTATCATTAGTTCGGGTGTCGATGTAACCCAATCCTGAAGCAACATTTCAAGGGGGAGAATCGCATTCCGAACATGCTTGCATTGTTGCTTAGAGTGGTCAGAAGACTGCATTTTATCAGCGTCTTCATCAGATAGGACGTCGACGATAAAGTTAAACAAGAATGGAGAGAGTGGACAGCTCTGACGAACACCACTTGAGGTAATCAATTCTGATGACAGTTCGCCATAAGCTCTCACTCGACCAGTTGTGTTCGAGTAGAGAGCCTTTTTAAGGTTAATGTACTTCTTTGGTACTCCTTTCAGTGACAAACACTGCCATAGAACCTCACGATCAACAGAATGTGTGTCTGTGTTCTAGAACCTGACGTAGTGTGAATATCTGGTCTATACAACCACGTCCAGGTCGAAAAGCAGCCTGGTTTTCTCTAGTCTGCTCTTCGCGAGCTTTAGTTAGGCGTCGAAGTATTATTGAAGCTAGGATTTTAGATACTATATTAGTCAAACGGATTCCTATGTGATTGTCACAAGAGGACTGTTGTCCTTTCTTATAGACTGGTACAATCAGTGATTGAGACCAGTCAGATGGGATTGCGTCCAGTTCCCAGACTCTACCTAAGACCTCGGTTAATCTCACTGCTAATACTGGACCACCATTCTCAAAAATCTCAGGAGTAAACCTGTCAGGGCCTGCTGCTCTCCCTCACTTCAGATTTCCGATAACTTTTTCAACTTCATAAAGAGTCGGAGGACCTAAATTAACTTGCCATTCATGTTGACTGAAGATCGTGGGAAGCCGAAGTGTGGCTGAAGGGCAGTTGAACTGATCCCTAAAGTGTTCTGCCCATCGATCCAATCTCCTGGATTAAGAATGAATAATATGTCCATCTTTCTCTAAGATTGTTTCGCTAACGGTCGGGTTCCTAATACCGGTTTCCTTAACGAGTTTGGACAATTGTCTGCTATTACCTATTGCCGCTGCCTTTTCCACCACTCTTGCTTTCGCTACCCACCACTGTTCGCGATCATTGCGTAGGCTTCTTGTCAGCTTGCGCTTAAGATGACTCCACTCTTCGTTATGTCCAGATCCAGGTGGAATGAGTTTTCGAGCATCTATCAGTGCGGTAGATGCTGCTGAGACCCAGTGTTGCTCCCTAACCTTCTGGTTTACCGTACTAGCAGATATCACTGCTGTTTCCATAGCTTTTCGGATATCATTCCATGTTGCCTCGGGTTGGGCATCACCTACATGGCTGCCTAACTGTTTTCCTAGTTGTTCTTGAAATATACTCTTAGTTTGACTATCATTAAACAGGACCCTAAGAGGTTTCCTTGCAGCGTCTTTCTTACGTCCAGTAAGACGCAAGCAAATACGCGCTCGCACTAGAGCATGATCTGAATCTAAGCATGTACTCCAGAATGAGCGACAGTCTTCTATCGAGCCCCTCCATCGGTGGCTGATAGCGATGTGATCTATTTGGGTCCAACGTTAGGACGAATTAGGGGGTCTCCATGTTAAAAGATGTTTTTCCTTATGCTTAAAGTTAGTATTTGCAAGGAACAGGCGGTTATGTGAACAAAGCTGCAACAGACGGTCGCCATAATCTGTTTTTTGAGCCACGACACCATACGATCCACCTAGGTGTCTTTCCCTTTCGCTTAGTTTACCTACTTAAGCATTAAAGTCACCAGCCACTATTACTACATCAGACCGCCTAGCTTTTTGGAGAACGTCGGAAAGCTTTCTGTAAAACTCATCTTTTACATCATCTGAGCTGCAGTCAGTAGGAGAATAGGCAGAGACAACGACGAGTGTCCCTATCTTTCCGGATCCTTATTCTTCCGTTTAGTCGGACAGCGCACAAACGACTGTCTACTGGGATCCACTCTAAGAGAGCTAGTTCTGCCCTAGGACTCAGTGCTATACCTACGCCGGCGAGGCCACGAGAAGCAGCATCTGGACTTCCAGATACACGAAGTGTGAATCGAGTCGGTTCTTTGTTTTGACATGGTGATGTCGAATGAATGACGCTACTCGGATCCTGTATGCGCGTTTCAGAGACGCAGCACACATCGATGGCGCGGGATTCTAAAGTCCTAGCTAGGGAAGCCTGTTGTCCTATTTTGCACAGTGTTCGTACGTTAAAAGCTCCTACATGTAGTTTAGAGCGTGATTTCAGGAGACCAGGAATAACGTTCCACGTACTCGAATCGTTTGCCCTAGCGGTGTGAGGTGAAAAAAGGACGTGAGAAGGGTTAGTCGAGGAGATAAGAGTGGTATCAAGAGGTGTAGGATGTATTTAAATGTGACCAATTTGGTCTCTTATGCTGTTACGGGTATGAGGGCTGGTGTCACTTCTCGGCTGCTCAAACCATGGAAGGGTATTTCTTGAGGAACCTGGAAAGGAATTCGGATTAATTTCGGCCTTAACGGCCTGGGAGCGTGACCGCAGAGCCCAGGGGACAACTACTTGAGGCCGGTCGCGCACGGCTTTTTTGTGGGAGGTTTTTGACCTGTTAGCTCCGTTCTTCAAAGGGCCTTACCGCCGGAGTCGGAAATCCGTGAGGTAAGGTGAGGTGTGACATTTTTAGGGTCGAACTTTTCTAACCCCTTCCTTCCTTGTGGAAAGGCAGCATCGCTGTAGATGCTGATTGTCCGAGGGAAACACCTTACTGCTGTCACACTTCTGTACAGTCAGCAGTACGACTTCGCCCTCAGACCTTGAGTTGCTGCTTTTAGTCTTACCGTTCTCCAATCGGTCTACCTGGCATGGTAGAACCTACAGTAACATATGTTCCAGCCAATGTAGCTCGGTTGGGTCATCACGATAGGCAATCCCGACCATCGCGTCAAGGTAGCAGCTACGGTCGGGAGTGGGTATTAATGGAATTTGGGATTAAATCTAGACTGAAATAATTACTCTCGTTTGATAAATGGTCTCTTTAAGCACGAATATCACAATATTGCCTAATTCTACAAGTTGAATGTAGTTCCAATCATGGAACTTGACAGCTGGTTATACAAACACCCCAATATTACTATAATGACAACTAGTAATATATGTATTTTACATGCTAAACAGATATTGTCTATCGTGACTTTTTAGCTCTGTGGATAACGCTTTTTAACGTTTGAAGCGATGGGTATTGGGCTAGACTTAATATATGAACACTGAACGAGGATGCACGTACAGATAAATAATGAGATGTAATATGAATTCCATATTATGCTGCCACACGTAATATTAAGGTATTTGTTTAAGAATTCCACATAACAGGAATTGAATAGTTCAGTCTATAGCATTAACATTGTGAATAGTAACGGTTACTATTCACTGCTGTAGTTCATACTGTTAATAGCTCGGCCTAAGTTATAAAATGATCGATTTACTGTCGCAATTTTCTTCATATGAAGACTGTGATACTGTTCAAGGTGAAATAATTGTTTTCCGCAGATCACCACTCCTTAGTCTTTGGCTTAATTATCTAATTTGCAAAGTAGTAGGATAAATTCAGCTGAAAATTCTATTTTTCCGCCTACCAAAGTGAATTCATTTGCCACTCATTTTCACCATTTATTTTGAATCGAGATCGTTTGGACGCTTAAACTCACTTTAGGTACAGAAAGTCCTTTTTTCCATTGGTCCCTTTACAGAAACATCCTTTTTATGTAAAGGAAATGAACAAAGTCCATGTAAAAGACCATATGCACTCAAACACTATCTAGGAGAATGAACCCACCCCTCTCAACTGCACTTGGATATTTAAAGCAACATAATTGAGTAAACAAGTACATTTATAAGCCACACCTTTTTGTATATGAATTTGTGATGCCTTCCGACTCTCGAAACTGAAGTTGCTGGGGGTGCTTTGAATTTGAAACCTAATCGTATGGTATGAAGTGGTTTAAACGCAGAACCACAGTTGTTGGTTTTATATAATCTTCAGCGATCAAAAATAGAGCGACAACAACTATGTTTTTTGGTTTTGCATCACTAATTAATATGCAGAAACACATCTTTCTGGGGGATTCGATGATAATTTTAGCTGAAGTGTCCATTCAGATGTTAATAGTGATGAGATTTATTTCAAGAAAATCACCTTTATAGAAACTGTTATAAATCACTGAAAAATTTAACCTTTTCAATTTCCTTTGTGGCAATTTAGTTTTTTTTTAGAAACATCAATAAAATCCTATTTAAATAGAGAGTTTTTAATGTTAGAAAATACATTGAGCATAATCTGGAAATCGTTTATTAATTGATGGAAATCATCAGTATCAGTCTGTCATTTCTTCTTTGATTCTAAGATTGATTGTTTACACAAGCTATATAGCTTGTTGAAATTCTCTACCAAGTAAATTCCTGTCCAGCATTTCCGCTTTCCGAGCACCTTCCAGCTAGTTTAATCATTTTCGGTATGGGTTGAGGAAATTGTTGGATTTCATTGAACTGATGAACCGATCTAAGTTAGACTATCTATGAAAACGTGGAAACACTGGACTGCCGTTTCGTCCTAGTACGGGACTCCTTAGTAGTGTGCATCAATAATCCCGCACTACTGTGGACTCCCATACTAGGACGAAACGGCCGTCCAGTGCTTTTACCAACTTGCGTCATCTATGGCGTAGGCGAGATATCCGTCTATCAACCAAAGGACGGGTTTACTGCGCAGCAGTTCGTTCCGTCCTACTTTATGGCAGTGAAATATGGCCGGCAAGAGTAGAGGATATTCGTAGGTTAATAGTATTTGATCATAGGTGTCTTCGAAACATTGCTCGTATATCATGGGACTATTGAGTAAGTAACGCAGTTGTTAGGAAACGGGTACTAGGTAAGGATGGCAAATCGATTGAGGAAGTAGTGAAACTCCATCAGTTGAGGTGGCTGGGACACGTATTACGTATGCCCAACGACCGATTGCCTCGACGTGCGATGTTCAGTGGCATAGGAGTAGGTTGGAAGAAAGCTAGGAGCGGCCAGACCAAAACATGGCACAAGTCCATGAAGTCACTGACAAGTGGACTGAGTCATGTTGGCAGGTGTAGACTACCTGGTTGGGGATCGCGAGATAATAGCAACCGATGGTTAGAGACCCTGAATGACATGGCTCAAAATTGTTTGCAATGGCGCAGGTGCATATACTCTTTGTGTTCCCCCAAATTTTAAGTCTCCTGATTCCTTCTTGTCTCTTTTTTCTCTTCCCAAATTTATCTCACTGGATTATACTCTTTAAATAACATCTCCAAACCCTAATCTTTCCGACTACTGCTTATACTCTTATTACCTCTACCACTACGGGATTTGAATCGACAACTGCATCTCTGTGCTAATGTGGTGGTATGGCAACTCGAACTGATGTACGTACGTATATACGAAGTTCTACGTTGTTACTGACTGACTGACCACTGCTTCCAGGTTTTCAATGGTGGTCTAGCTTAAATCGGTTCATGATTTCAATGTGGTTTAAGCATGTTTGAATTATTTTCGAACGTTGTTTTTTTCTATAGGAAGACAGTGAACAACAGGATGGTGATTCTGAAACATCGCCTCATATCTTCGGAGCTCCTAATCTTCATGATCATATGCTTAATAAAGAATCTGGACTTTATCTAAATTATGGCTATTTATTAACAAGAGTTTGTGGAGTTCCGAAAGATCTTAGCGTTTTTGGTGCATTTAAAGATATGTTTAGACGTGCCGGTGATTGTCCTATACAAGCTCGTTTAATGCGTTTACGTTGTCCTTTGAGTGTAATCGATAGTGGTTCTGGTCAAGGTGAATGGAAAGGAGCTTACAGTTCATCATCTAGTGTACGTTCACTTATTTTATTCTGATCGTTCATTAATTTTGATCAGTTTTTTCGGTATAACGATTGGCTGTGTGTGATGTAAAGTTAATTTTTTCGTAACTTATCTTCTGAACCTTGGACTTATTTCAATAAAGCTTTTCACTGAGTTGCTATTTGTTAGTTTCTTCTCCTAACAACAAATACAGAATGCTTTAGCCAAATAACAGATGTATACAAACATAAATTATAAGTGATCTGCATAAAATAGTCTAATTGACTAAACAATGAAATACAAATGGACAGTCACCGCAATTGTATATTTTAATGCCTTCCATGCACCTTTTACTGATGTGTGTTGTGAACACTTTCCCTTAGCAAACTTCTAATTTGATAAGTTTAGTCATATTTACAAACCTTTTAGGTATATATGTTGATTGGTATATTTTTATGTAACCAATTTACCAGTTAAAAACTAATAGTCATACGCCAATTTTCTATAAATAAATGCTTGTGCAAACCTAGGTTTTTGGAGTGGGGTTCGAACCTGTAACTGAGTGGCTAAAAGCCAAACGCTTTAACTACTAAACCACCACCACTGCAAGCTAAATCGAACAAAGAATGCATCATAGCTAGAAAGTTAATAAATATCTGAGTATTTCGTTTCACTTCATTGATTTGGATTGAAGCGATTAACCTAAAGTCCTTCTGTTACTTTAAGAAGGTTCCTACTCTCCGATTCAATTCACTATGTTGATTTTCATGTCCAAAGCAGGGTCATTCTGTTTTTGAATTCCACCTATAAATGTTGTACTGAAGTTTTAATAGTACCATCAGACCTAACCTCCAGTGGTTCTGGCGGTTTGGCTTTCAGTATGGAACCTAACGGTTCTAGGTCTGACCCCCTGTGGGGCCAGGGGTGTTCACTTCTGAAGACCCCATGCCAGGACGAAATAGCTATTCAGTATTTCCTGGTTTCCAATGATACCCCAAAACAGATCTGTGTGTGCTGGATGCAACCCACAAATCCTGTTTGTATTGATAAATTCCTGCATAATATAGGACCAGAATTGTTTGTGATTAATCAATGTTTTGTTTCAGTTTGTACTTACTTCAATTATACGTTTGTTTCTCATAAAGTGTTTACTAGATAATATCGTCGTAAAACTTTTTACTAGTTAGAGCATTTCTATTGTTGCACATTCTAGATTCCTTACGAGATCCTAACTGATGAACAGTTCGGTCTTCTAAGACTAGAATATTCCTGTTGAGTCATTTCAAGTTACATATATCTTGATTTAGTAGAAATTTAATGTTACTTGACGATCATGCTCGTAAAATAAGCTATTAAAGAAAAATTAGATTGTTATGCAATTTAATTATTTAACACAATTAGTTGAATAATATCTTTAGTCAACGAAGAAGATAGAAATATCTATCATTATTATTGAATGAAATGAATTCCCAATGAAATATTGGTTGTGTTACGATTGTGATATATAATTTGAGCACAGTTTAACTATTAAGATCTAATCGATTGTTGATACAAAATCGTTTATGATGTGTTAGTAATAGTTTATTAGCAGAGATTTGCACACAGCAGTTAGTGAGTCAGTCAGTTACAACGTAGGAATAGGCACATATTTGCATCGGTCCAAGTTACCATACCTCATTAGCACAAGATGAACACCGGATTCATAGAAGCAGTTTATTCAATGGTAGCAAAAAAGATTTTATATTAGAATATGATACAGAGATAAAGAATTAGTTAACAGAAAGAAAGATATGAAGCGATTTTAATCTCATAGTTTAAGGGAAAACAAAGAGTGTATAACAACGACTTCATTGTGATCGATTCTGAGCCATTTCATTCAGTCTCCAACCACTGATTACGATAGTGGTGCAAAACCCAGCAAAGTAGTCTCCACCTGACAACATGGCTCAGACCAGAAGTTAGTGACTTCAAGGACTGGTGCCACGTTTTGCTTTCGTTGCCCCTAGCATTGCGCGTCGTGTTAATCGGTGTTCAGGCATACGTAACACGTGGCCCTACCATCTCAGTCGATGAAGATTGACAACCTCATCAACTGATTTACCATCATTCTCTAATACCTTGCATCTAACCTTATTATTACTTACCCGGTGATCCCAGCAGATGCCAGCAATATCTCTAAGGCATCTGTGGTCAAATACTAGTAGCTTACGAGCATCTTCTACTGTTAATGGCCACGTTTCGCAGCCGTAAAGTAGAACAAAACGAACTTTCGCGCAGTATACTCGTCCCTTAATTGATAGACGGATATCTCGCCTTTGCCATAGGTGACATAAGTTGGCAAAAGCCAAACGAGCTTTCTGAATTCGTGCTGAGATTTCGTCATACACCAACCCATTGGGGCTGGTCAGACATCCAAGATGAGTGAAGTTGTCAACGCGTTCCACTACTTCACTTCCTATCCAGACAGGAGTTAGTTCGGAGCTCATTTCATCCAGTTTTCTCTAGATAGAGTCAATTTCTTTAGGTCATATATATATAGGGTTGTTTGGGGTCACAACTGTCATTATTGAGCTGGATATTAATGATTACTTCTTTTTTAGGTATCGACCTAAATAATAAGTTTATTTTAAAACTTCATATAAAAGTTTACATAACTAGTATAAAATTGATGGTAAATTATAGTTTGCTTTTTTTAAGACCACTTCAAAATAACAACACATATTGTAGTATCGTCTTAATTTAACACTAGTTAAATGTTCAGTTGTGTTATATGTTGACACAAGTTTTCTATCTTTGTAATAATGGTGGCTTATTGATTAAAACACTGAATTGTTGTACCATTCATTAGCAAATCTAAACTCCACCCATACGTACTTTAATTTTGAAGATTTAAGTAGTACCATTAACTCATACACCAAAATATGTGCATCTCCAGTACTAATCAATAATATGAGTCCGGTATTCAATTACGTAATTTTATTTACCATAAATACATTAATTTTTTCAATTTTTATTTGTGTATAATTTTTTTTCTTTTAGGAATGGGAAGAAATAAATTTAGAGGCACGAAAACGACTAGGTTTAACTTTTGATTCAGAAACTGAATTTTGGATACCACTTGAATATATACTACAACATATGTCTGGTGTGTTAATATGTCGTTTTCCCGATACTAGTTTTGTTAGTTTACCTGGACATATAACATGGCGTTTATGTGAACATCATGGTGCTTGGTGTGGTCATCAAACTGGTGGCAATTTACAATATCGTAATACATTTCTACATAATCCTCAAGTGTGTTGATTGAAAAAGAACATTTTATTTATTATTTAAGAAATATTTCACTTACCTGAACTAAATACCATTTATTAATTGTTTAAAGTTGATAATTCACTCTCTCAATTGATTGCATCATTAATTCAATAATAAGTTTATACTTGCAGATTTATCCATTCATGAATTTGTTAACTGTTGAAGTGAACTATGTTGGTAGATGCAAACTACATGGTTCGGACTCGCACAATTATCGTAACCATTGGTTGTAAACTGATTATACTAACTAGTTAGATATTTAGAGAGATTTATCTCGAAACTAGTTGATGTGCTTGATATGCTAGGCTACTTGATACATAACCTTGAGACTGTAATATGTGAGTTTGGTTGTTGATAATTTGACTTTGTAGACAGAACTATCCTACTTGTTGACTAGCAATTGACTACATAGACACTGTCTAAATGACCAGTTACTTCCTTATCCCGATGTCCACGGGGAGAGGGATGAGAAAGACTGTAGTAGAAAACTCTATATCCGGATTTGAACTTACTCAAAAAGTACACGATTAGATGTATGACTCACTGCACTTCAGTACACTAAAAGATACTATGTAAAACGAAATGGACAGTATTAAGTTAGCATAAAAATATTTAGTTTTTAGAAGTGTTTTGTTCTCTGAACTTATCGGTTTATTCTTGAAGCTTTGATTATCATTCGAGATAACGTCATCAGCGCACACTTCAATAATAAGTGAGCCATAATCAACTGACGGTGTTTCCCTTCTCTTCTCGTTTTAACTAACCTTTGACCTTGCATTGATTTACCCCTTTTCTGACTGGTTGATAGGTTGGATCGATTTTAACATGAACAAAAGCCATTCATATTCCATATCGACAGAACAATCTGTTAATTGGATTATGTTTTGAATGTAGTGTTGCCTAGAAAGACAATGGAAGCTTCACTAGTAAGCCATCTAGTTCAGAGAACAAAATACCTCCAACATCGTCATCCTGAGCCACAAATATTTTCCGTTATTACATGTATTGATACTTTACGTCCATTGGATAATAATCGACTAACTGATAGACTTTCTTTTCTCGTTAATTCATACTGTAAGGAGATTGTGTAAAACATGTATCGTAAATGTATCATACGTATTTATAGTCATTGTGGAAGTAATACTGTTGTATTACTCTATTTTATGTAATTTGTTTTCGAAGTACACATATACATCTTTTGTGTATAAAAGTTAATGATACTAGCCCAATTAGAGAAACAAAAATCAGTGGAGCAGGATTTGAACCTTCTAAATCCAGTACTGAGACTGCATTTTACTCTACAATTAAAACAAAAAGCATTGACTTAATGAGTTTACATTTTTGTACTATATTGACTTGCTGTAGTAACATTGATCAGTTATTTCGACATTTGACGCAGGGTATTAGGGAATGATGGTAAATCAGTTGATGAGGTCGTCAATCTTCATCGACTGAGACGGTTGAGCCGCGTGTTACGTATACCTGAAAACCGATTACCACGACGCGCAATGCTGACTAGTGTTGGAGATGGTCGGAGGAAAGCCAGAGCGGCTTATGCGAATCTGGGCCACCTTTGGCGCCTTCATGATGTTAGTCTGGCTGTGAAAGGTCGGATCTACAACGCGTCGGTGAGAGCAGTTTTGCTCTATGCTTGTGAAACGTGGTCTCCGAGTTGAGGACGTTAGACGACTCTCTGTGTTCGATCATCTCTGTCTCCGAAGGATTGCTGACATTCAGTGGCAACACCATGTCAGTAATGAAGAGGTTCGGCATCGTGTGTTCGGGCACAGAGATGATAATTCAATTGGTGTCACCATCTTGAAACACCGACTTCGGTGGCTTGGACATGTTCTACGAATGTCGTTCCAGAGAATTCCGCGTCGTGCATTATTTGCCGACTCTGGGACTGGTTGGAAGAAGCGGAGAGGTGGTCAGTGCATGACATGGTGTCGTGGTATGAAAGAAAGCGGGAAAGGACTGGCTTGTGTTGGTCCTTCACGACTCCCTGATTGGGGTCCGAGAGATGATGCAACACAGTGGCTAGAGATGTTATCAGATATGGCTCAGAATAGAAGCCAGTGGCGATCCTGCTGTAACCTTTTACTTTCATAAAAAGTGGTAGTGTCTCCCTTACCTGAAAGATTTCTTCTGATTGTACCTTTTCGTTCCCTCGTTACTACCACACTACCTTACACCAATCTCTTCGTTATTGTTCTCTTTTTTGCGCTCCTTAGCTTTTTTTTTCTATTTCTCTTCGAATTCTCATTGTTTTGTGTGGCGCATTGTTGTAATGGGTGTGACTGCAGGTTATGATAAGCAGCGTATTTATCGATCGCTTCTGTGACAGTGGACACGCAAACACGTAAGGACGACCTAATGCCCTGATTGGCCCTGCTTCGCTGTCTGTCCTAGCCAGTTGAGCCAAGAACACAAGTCACAGCCTCTGAGTTATGAATCATTATATTTCAAACATACTTTGTTTATATACCAGTCAAGCAGACCACAACGTACCATAAAATAGAAAATAACATTGTACAATAATGGCCAGTAGGAAAATGACACGTTAAATAAATATTGACCAATAAGATGATACCATTCCATGTTCAAGGATAGCATTAGCCTTAACAGGATAATTTTTGGGATATTTTCCTGAATATCCCAACACGCATATATATTGGCGCTCTCTTGTACCAATATTCATGTGTTCAAATAAATAAATAAATATAAAATAAAATGGTCGGAGGAAAGTTATGGGCAACCAAAGCGAAACGTGACATCAGTCCTTGAAGTCACTAACTTCTGGTCCGAGCCATGCTGGTAGATGCAGACTACTTTGCTGGGTTCCGCGCCACTATCGTAATCAATGGTTGGAGACTCTTGGCGACATGGCTCAGAATCGATCACAATGGCGTCGTTATTATACACTCTTTGTTTTCCCTTAAACTATGAGATTAAACTTACTTTATACCTTTCTACCAACCAATTCTTTCTTCCTGTACTATATCCTTCTATGCAATCTCTTTTTTATATATCACCACCATTGAATAAACTGCTTCTATGAATCCGATGTTCATCTTGTGCTAATGAGGTATGGCAATTTGGACCGGTGCATATATGTGCCTGGTCCTATGTTGTAACTGACTGACTCAAAGTTTGCTTACTGACTACTTATACCACTTGCTTCATTTGATAAATTCTAGTTTAAATTTTCTTAGAGTTGAAACAGTTTAATATGTGGATATTCTTAATCTCATGGAAACTCTTCTACAGTAATATATCATGTCTATCATTTTAACAGTTAATAGGAACCCTTGTTTCATAGTTTCATAATTTAAAACAGTTCACTAGTGGTTGCCTCAACCTTCAAGGAACATCTTTCGTTTCTTTTTTTTCATGAGATTTCTGCTAGATTTGTTAAGTTGTTACTTAAGAACTATTCTATCTGTAACTGCCCGACTCTTTGTTCACAGATAATTTAATATGAGCTCTAATAAGGTCATATCCTACTTTTCTTAACAATTGTCACTAGATATTCAACTATGAAGTCACTAGTACAATACTTCGAATCTTGAATAAGTTGTTTTAAAGATTTTCTTCAAGTTAATCATACCTTTAAATACCAATTTTCAAATTATTTTCAGTATTATTTCGATATAATGAATGATTCTGATGAAGTTCTACTATCTCTTGTACGTAAATATAATCGTGATCCACTAACTATGGTCATAGAACCTGATTTAAGTCCATTGTCTATTGGTTTAGGTCTATTCAAGGTAAGAAATCTTTGTTCAAAATCAGTATGATTTTTTTAATTTTGATTGTTAATTCATTTCAGTACTATGTAATGTTTATATGTTTAGTAAATTACCATTGTATTTAACATTCAACATTATTTATCAGGTCCTAACCTGGGAAATCATTCAAAGGTAAAGGGGGCTGGAAAATTATTTTATCTTGAGAATGCTCAGTGGTGTTTACCCATGATCACTCACCAAGGCTTGAACTCAGAGCCTTCAGGTTTCATAGTGAAAATTTTATTTTCTTATGGACGGGTTTATGTGCTAAGCTTTGAGTCACATATTTTTGTACGAAGTTTAAAGATACTACTCAATTACTCAAGTAGAATGAAATGGAGTGGAGTTTAATGTGAGACCTATTGGTCCCTATTTCCACTTCTAGTCATATATTATTGAATAACCAAACTTTTAGGTATAACTGAGATTATTTATGATGTATGTGTGAACTAGATTTGTGTCAAACGATCCTACCTTATGGTTTCATAACTGAAATTCATTTCATAGTTTATAATTTCAATCTCCTTATATTTTTACATTAGTTTATTGATTTACACAATACCTTTCTTCTGTTCATTGGGAAACAACTATGTTTTTTTTTCGTTTGATCCTCACAAACCATTCGTATTGCTTACTAAGTTTAGAGTTTTGAATAAATAAATCCCAGTCTAGTGATCTAAAAATCAAGCGTTCATCACAAAGCTTGAAATTATTTTATTATTTTATTTGAACACATATATATTGGTACAGGAGTGCGCCAAATATATATGCGCCACACAATTTCAGTTCATTAATTGCGTGTGGGCTGCGATACTGCCTGGGTGCCAAGACCGAAGCAGGTGGTTATCTTAGGGGGCCACACCCCGAGCCTTTGACCTAAAGGTCTAACCCACAAGGCAGTGGAGCATCGTAAGGAGATGCAGTCCCATGGTAGCCGGTGACCAACGATTGGTTCATACGCCATTTGTTCCCGCAGGATACTGGTGCCCATGTGCACCATAGATTTGGAATCCGGTTAAAGCGCCGGACATTCGCTTTTCGTCCTCTCATTTTCGTAAGCAACACCCGTGGTGCGAGAAGGCAGTGAGTAGGACTTCCCTGGCAGAGGCTGTATACGCGCGGCCGTGTGAGAGTATTTCGAGGGGGAGGGCGAACCCACCCCGCTCTCGGCCATACCAGGGCGTTTGGGGGCAAGCTTGAAATTAATAAATTGGATCCTTGGCCGGGTCATCAATGCACACTTCTAACCGAGTTCTACACCAGAGAGGACGAAACAAATATCCTATCAAGCACTTTAATCTTTTGTTTTGTCATCTTATACAAAGTACTCCTTTTTCATGTCTTAATCTCTGTATTTCAGTTCATTTGTTCTTTTTTCTCAATAACCACTAGTATATTTAGCGAAAACCTATATGTTAGATACACGAAAATAGTTCACCTAAGGTCGACTAAAGTCAAAAGATTACCTTGACTTCTTGATATATATATATATATATGGTTCCGCAATAAATAACAAATAGCTTAGGTTAATAGCACACATTCAAGGTAATTAACTTAGCAACAATAGTCAACTCTCAAAATAAACAGGTAGAACAATGACCATTTCAATGTAGCATGATGGATACATTATGGATTAACCAATATGCGAACAGTTAGTTTACATTTAACCAATGAAAAATAAGAAAGAAATCATACAGTGATTAAGCTTATTACTTATAATTTCAATGGTTGAGATCATGAGTCAATTGAAGCTAGATCACCATGGAAACCCTTGAAGCACTGGACGGCCGTTTTGTCCTATTGTGGGACTCCTCAGTAGTGTGCATTCATAATAAATAATATTGTTTTAATAAACAAGTTTCAGATTACTGATGTAGTGTTAATATGTATGAACTGTGTAGATTAAAATAAGTGTAGTGTAATGTAACACAGTTTCTGATAATTGCTTACTTGAGAGAACTGTTTTTAATTTATTGACTAAGATCCACAAAACATCGAAAATATTTAACTGACTTGATAATCTTGAATAATTATTCTTTTTCTTTAGTTGTTCATATAAATCTTCAAATTATATCCACACTTATCATGTTCATAATTTTGTATACTGATTAATGTATCTATTAACTTTATATTCTTTCTAGATTGAAAATAATCGTCCTGTAAAATCGCATACTTTAGCATTCTGTCAAGTAATTCACGTGGAACCATCTAGACCATATCGAGTTTGTCTTATTCGTGCACGTTTAACTGTTGGTCGATATTTAGTAGTTCCATTCTTGGAACAACCATTATCTACAGCTGCTTATTTATTAAGATTATATTTACCAAAACGTTCAGAAAGCAGGTGATTTCTTTTTCCCATTTTCACTGCGTGTTTTGTTTTTGTTAATTCTGTATATAGTCCTCTAAGTTTTATTATATCTGTTTGGTGAAGCTTTTTCTATTCAAATGTCCAGTTCACATGAAAAGAGGTACAATTTTGAGTGGCTCTTTTATAGGGTAGAGATATTTAAAATTGTGATTATGTACTGTTTTTACGTGTTTGTAATTATCGAAGTTAATTTTAATTGATGCTGGTCATTCTACGTTGGTATTTGCTCATTTTGAATGATACATTTGGCTGGTGTATATTTTCGTTTCAAGTGCTGCACTATCATTAACTAACGAACTGAATACAATTAGAAAGGGTTGATGAGTCAGTTAAAGCTTAACCACCATAGAAAACCTGGAAGCACTGGATAACCATTTCGTCCTAGTATGGAACTCCTCAGCAGTGTACATCCACGATCCCACTCGCGGAATTCGGACCCAGGACCTATCGGTCTCGCGTGTGAGCACTTAATCTCTAAACCACTGAGCCGTAATACAACGGTGTTAATGTCCAACTTCAACCAATCCACGAAATTGAGCCACCGTCCACCATTGTTTTCAGTGAGTTACTATCTCACAACAGACGCGGTTGGACTCCATTGGTCACTGCTTCACACTATGTTCTATGCAATCCACTTGTAGTAATCTATTAAATAGCATTTGACTTTCAACCAGTAAGTTGTAGGTTCAAATCTCCTACTTCTCACTATCTTGTACATGATATGATTCGAAATTGTGTATACAATCTTTCACTTGGGATATCGATTATTTATTGTGCTTAATATTGGCTAAGTTTTGTAATGTTAGAGTAAATTAATATTCTCCAGTTAGTTAAAGTCTCCTTTTACTTTTCGTTAAGCTCACACCGCTGAATTATAAAAATAGTCTTTCTCATAATCAGTTTGTCATATTTTCCTAGTATCTTACATCTAACCTCAATAGCACTCACTCGATGGTTTTGACACACGTTTACTTCGAAGATGTCTATGATCAGCTGTCAGTAACCTGCGAATATCGTCCATCTTTAAAGATCTTAAATAACTACAATACTTTTCTTGAGTTGGTAGGAAAGATTTGTAGCTCAGGTGGATGATTTGGTTGGAGTTTTGTTCTATGAGCTAGATGATTTGGTCGTGGAGCATTCATTGTTCTTCTACCTGAAGTTTGTGCTGATGGTATTGTTCAGAAGAACAGTGAAAGCTTCACGACCAAACCATCCAGCTCAGAGAACAAAACTTTACCTGAATACTTTTCTTGTTATTAAATGTATCATGTTCATATATGTATGATACTCTATGTATATATCTTTTTTATTATTATTATTTTACTACAGGGAATTTACTTTAGATATTCCACAGAATGGTTTTTTAAATTTTTTCACTGGTAAACCAAAAGGAGCTGTACGTTTACATGTTCATAGTGCATCGAATCTTCTATGGCCTGATGGTAAAAATCCTCCATCACCATATTGTATTATTAAATGTGAATATGATACTGTACAAACTACCATTTCACAAAGTAATAATAATCCTGTCTGGAATGAATATTTTATATTTTATCGTCGTAAATTAAATAAACCAATTGAAATACAAGTAAGAATAATTGTAATAATGATAATAATAACCATTAGATTTAAACCCATTAGCTGGTGGTCTAATTAAGTATTGGCAATCTAAGTGATACTTGAAAATTCTGGACTTAATTACGCGTAGTTATATGTATGTATGCACATTGATGAAGGTCTTGTAAATTGAATGAAATACGTGTTCTATTCTCGTCTGGTTTTCAGTGGCTCTTCAACTTATATCAGTTCGTATATCTATCTTATTATTATTATTTATTTATTTATTTATTTATTTAAACACATAAACATTAGTACAAAGAGTCACCATAATATATATGCTCCACACGAATCATTCAATTTGTGTGTGGACTGATATACTACCCGAATGTCTAAGCTGCAGTAGGTGGTTTTCTTAAGGAACCACTCCCCGAGCTTTTGACCTATAGATTTAATCTACAAGGCAGTGGAGTAACGTCAAGAGATGCGGTCCAATGGTAGCCGATGACCAACAATAGGTTCATGCGTTATTTATTCCCTCAGAATCCTGGACCTCATGTTCACCATTGATATTAGTTTGTGGTCAAGTTAGATACTAAGTACTCATCAACCCTGTTTAAGCGCTGGATATTCGCTTTTTGTCCTTTCAATTTCATAAATAACACCGAGTAAGTAGGACTTCCTTGACAGTGGGTATATACATGTATCCATCGGAGTACATTTCAAGAGGGAGAGAGAACTCTCTCACCCTCGTCCATACCAGGGCGTTTTGGATCTATCTATGTAATATATATATATATACTTGTAACCGTCACATGCAGTGTTTTCCAGCTAACCTAACGAGTTCTCTTTTAATTAGTTCAATATATTTAATTTGACATCAGTAAAATGAATAGAAGTTTGAGAAACTAGTTTAACGAGTAGTAGTAATAGTTGTAGTAGTTATTGTTGTTATAGTACTTTTACAAAAGTGCATATTTATGCACATATATACTTGTCAGTGGAAGTATACTTTTAGAACTAATCTAATGATTTCTTTTTAATGGTTATTTGTTTAAACTCATGATAAAACTTTCAATTTTTAATTTAATAGTTTAAGGTACAGTTTAATATTCAGCATTTTATTAAATCGACAATGAATGAATACCTATTCCCATTTTAAAATTATGAGTTAGTGAATGTTTACTATTGTATTGTTAGTAATATTATTGTAATAAGAGTTTTAACCTTTGTCGATGACGTTCTTCCCATCATTTTTCATAATATTATTTTTTAACTTGAAAAGTGAAGGGTTAGAAAAGTTTAATCTTGAATGCTTTCTTCTTTGCTTTAAAGTTTTCTTTTTCTTTTTAATTGGTCAGTCAGTGGGTCAGTGAACAACGTAAAACTTCGTACGTACGTACGTACGTGCATCAGTTCGAGTTGCTATACCACATTAGCACAGAGATACAATCGTCGATTCAAATCCCATAGTGGTAGAAGTAGTAAGAGTATAAGTAGTAATCGGAAACATTAAGGTTTGAAGATGTTATGCAAGGAGTATACTCTAGTAAAATAAATTTGGAAAGAGAAAAAGAAAAGGGACATAAAAAATTCAGATTAGAATTTGGGAGAACACAAAGAGTGGATGCACCTGTGCCATCGCAAACGATTTTGAGCCATGTTATTCAACGTCTCATTTGTTAACTTCACTCTGAATAATATGAATGTATAAGTGAATTTATTAAATCTGGTACTTTGATTATATATTTAGAAGGTCAATTCAAAAATTTATTCATTCATTCATTAAATACAAATTATTCTACTTAACTTTAAACTTACTTTTAATGTGAAGAGTACTTGTACTAATTGAACATCCAAAACTCAATGTGTGTTAGATGAGTTTAAACCTGTAACTGAATGACTGAAAATTGAATGCTAAGGCATAAACCGAAATAATAAATTTTATTGATATCTTTCTAAATTATACCTCAACAAATCGATAAACGGTTATTGTCATGTTCATAGTTACTGTTAAGTTTAAACATAATGCTAAATTTCATTGATTGAAATCATGAGTCAATTGTTGCTAGACCACCATGGAAAACCTGGAAGTACTGGACGGCCGTTTCGCCATAGTATGGAACTCCAGCAGTGCGCATCCACGATCCCGCACTCCGCAAGGTCCGAACCCAGGACCTATCAATCTCGCGCCAGGCGCCTAACCAACTAGACCATTGAGCCGGCCGGCATCCAACAGTGTTAATGGTCAACTTCAACCAATCCACGAAATTGCGCCACCGTACACCATTGTCATCAGTGAGTTGATATCTCACAACAAACCTGGTTGAACTCCACTGGTAACGGCTTCTCACTAGAACTCCAGGAGTATCTCTTGAAGTCAGTCACTAGTGAGCAGATGATGCGCACTGCTGAGGAGTCCCATACTAAGACGAAACGGTCGTCCAGTGCTTCCAGGTTTTCCATGGTGGTCTAACAACAATTGACTCATGATTTCAATCAGTGAAATTTCTAAAATCTCCACAAAATCCCTTCTAATAATAATGCGAAATATCATCTTACTTGTAAACTGAATGAGAAACACTGATAAGTTATTTTACTACTAACCATTATAAGAGGAGTCAACAGAAAAATCATAAATTAACCTGATAAGACATGATTGTAGATCAATTTCAAAAAGAAATTATTGGAATTCCTCAATTTCACCTTAGAGGAAAAGTAACTTTGAAAAGAATAAAATTTGTAAATTTCACCCCTTCTCGCCTATTTTGTTTTTATTAATTTTACTAACACAGTTCCCTTAATCCTATAGTTTATATCCATTCAATATCTAAGTAAAGCTTTTTAAGATATTACAAATCCCAGTAAAATTAGGCATGTTTCTTTAATCTTATATTGGGTGTCTTGTTGTGAATTATTTGTCAATCACAAGTTTGTGTGGTGTACTTTGACCAAAATAGTTTGTGTATACTACCTGGTGATACCACTAACTGGCTGCCCAAACTAGTTAGATGAAGCAATAGAGTTTGGACCGGTGGTTTAACTAATAAGTTGACTTGTTCATTGCCTCTATTATTATTTATGGTTACTAGCTAAGTGGCTATTGTATTTCTTTCATTTTCCAATTTATATATTCTGTTAAATTTGATTAATGCTTCTCACCAAACGATTGAGCAACGGGTAAAAATCAACACACGAAGTGTTAAGTTTGTCTTACATTGTTCCTACTCGCTCCCTTTCCACTCCTTCGTATTTTGTCTTATACTACTTATTTACATTCAGTAAGCAGTTGTATTCCCAACAATTTTTACACTTATGTTGTAACTCAAGTTGAAGTGTAATATTCTGAAATGTTCACATATACTTGTAACGTTTATTGTATTTATCATTATAATTACTGTACCCTAATCACTGTAGCGGTTATCCACAGTTTCGTGCATTTGTTTAAATGCAACAATTTCCATATTGTTTTGCTCTTGATTCGGGTTTTGGTTGTTCATAAACTTATAAAATTTGGACACAGCTATCAGCTGTCCTTTGTCCTATCGTATGTTGTAATTATTCTTCATGTTACTGTTACAGGAAGCCTTTTTATTTCATACTTGAAGGACGCGTTTAAACGCCTCAGAGATCTCACAAGTTGAGGTTTTTAACTAAATTTTGTGTATTATTCAATAAAGAACCGCTATTGTAGACAAATCGTTGTTTCGGAAACTCCGGTTTTGCGCGTATCTCAATTGGGTGACTTGGACGCTTCGATAGATCTAACACGAAGTTTGTCTACAGTTGCAGCACCATTATAAATAGTGCATTTTACAAACTTCAGTTCGTGAGGTATCTACACTCATCAATGTACTATCAAAGAATAAATATTTTCTTCATTTGTTACACAATGGTTATTTTCATGAACACATGGTAAGCTAGACAACAGCCAGTAGAAATGTTGAAAAGTAAGAACACAAAATTTGGAAAGTGTTGAGAATGAACAAATGTTCAAACATTATGGTATATCTTCGCTTATACCAATACATGTAGACAAACAAACATTGAACTGGAAGAATGTTCAAATCCTGAATAGAGAAAATGCTAAGGACTCTAGAGAACTTTTTAGAAACTTAGGTCTCAGGTCAATCAGAAATTAACAAATACATCCAATTCGATCCAATCTATCAACTAATCAGAAAAATTATGGATAGATATAGGACCAAGAATCAAATTGATGGGAATCATAATCATAATAAAGAAGTAAACAATGACAAGTTAAAGGTCAACACCGACTGATGTCGACAGAACAAACTGTTAGTCATATATAGAGAAATTCGCATACTTCACTTCTATCCGAAGTTTGTGCTGATGATGTTGTTCAAAAGAACGATCGTATCACCATGACCAAACCATCCAGCTCAGAGAACAAAATTATTATTGTTATTAATGGCTTTATTTCAATCTTATATTTCTGTTACAATATAGAATTTTCAGCACAAAGTATTTCAACAAATTTCCTTTTCTTATTTTGTGATCGATCCTGAAGATAAATATTGAGTGGTTGCGAGTTAAGACTTCAGGAATCGACATCTGAATAATGTTCATTCTTTTCATTGCATATTACCAGCCACTAATTTGTACACTGAGAAGTCGTAAACTTTTCATAAACGCGCTTGGATGGTTTATACGATTAATAGACATAATGGTGTGTTAAGACAAACAAAATGTTAAATAAACACATAAGGAACAAAAAAATTTTGCTAAAAGCGCATAATTACTATCACAAGTGGAATAAATGTCACAGATTCATAGATACTAAGAAAGATCACTATTTAGCGTGTTGTTTCCTCATAAGTTATCTAGAATGACATTAATTACTGAATATTAGTTAGTAGTATGATAGAGTACACAAAAAGACACTGAATGAGACGGAAATCAAGGGGGAAAATAAAAGCATAATTAACACTTTTTTCCACTTGTTCATCTCATACCTTTATATTATCAGCATAACTACTATTATTGTTATTATTATTATAGATAATGGATAAACATGCATTAGGATTTGATGTATTTCTTGGACGGCATAGTTTTACAGAAGCGGAAATTTCCAATCGTTGTCAACAAGAAGTAGCACTCTATGGAAGAGATACAAAAGCTGAACGATTTCAAAAAATGAAAGGTTCATTATTCATTGAATTTTACAGTGTTGGTCAAGAAGACTTTATGAATATTTAATATGAGAAAAGAAGATCAATATTGTTTTTTGACAATGTCTATGCTGTAATCCCATGATCATCGCCCTGTTTGAGAGGATGGAGAATACAAGTACAACTTATTTTGATCAGTTAATTACCACTGTTTGTTTTATACTTGTGATATAATGCATTATCTGTGATAAATCTCCTTCTTTATCTGTCTCCCTCTGTCTTATTCTTTTGTGATATACATATATATTTCTGTTTGTATAATCCCTTTTCTCCTATATAATTTGAAATACTGGTTTGACTTATTTAAAACTATTTAGTAATAATGCTTCAGGTGATATGGTTTTGAGATTATGTAATTAATAATGGTGTCAGTATTTTATTGTCTTTTTATATGTGGTAAATGGGTAGTGTCAATCGATAGGGAACTCAAGGCTTCAGCTTCGTTTTAACATTTACCAACTAGGCCCTTATAAAATCTTGAAGGAACTAGTTTTCTCCTTGGAACTGTAGTTTCTATCATTCTATTTTACAGTGATAAACTATCAACAAGCTATTTGATTTACAATTGATCTCTTATAGGATCAAGATATTGGCTAATTGAATAAATAGGCATGACATTCATTACTGTTCACTGATCAATTAGTGCTCTTTTTTAAACGCATAATGATCTGTCTACTTAATAGAAAGATAAATATGAATATTGATAGTTTGTTAAACAAATGAAAGAAGGCTAAATTAAATAATAAAAAACTTTCATCATGAGGCGTCATAACTCTTCTAAGTGAAGACCTGACTCCCAGGTCAGAGTTTAAAAGGGTTGAATAATTTTTCCTGGTTAGCGTTTTTCTAGTGAGTTATTTTTTTACGGGGTGGGGTTGCTAACCCCATGCCCAACCCCCCTCCTTTATCCGGGCTTGGGACCGGCAGTAGCCCTTGGAGGGACTCCAGGCGGAGTTGGACAATTAATTGTTCAGACGATTTATTTATCTGGTTTTCTGAGGTATGACAATATTATATCATACTCTACTAGTATTAGCGGTTTGATTATTTTAGAACCTGACTGTTGATACTGTATAACTGTGAAATCATTTATTACATGACCTCCCTAGTAAACACATCCTGCCAAACGATTGATATAGAGGAAAAAGACAAACTCCGTCTACCAAATAATAATACAACGAATCTATATTTATAAGTAGTCAGGATGAATTAGATGTGTTGTATTTACTTCAAATTATTGAACGATAATAGGACTATTTTGAATTACGAAATAGATACTTTTATCCTAATCTCCGATTTTGTCAAACACTAAATTATTAGTTAATTGTGATTAACCGAAAATCTTATGTAATTCAGAGATTTTAATCGCTGAAAAATTACCATTATATTAAAATCTTGTGATCAGACCATTTCAGATATTGTTTATTGGGAATCTATGGCTAATTTAAATTGTTTATAAATGATACTTCCTCCAAATGCCCTGGTACGGCCGAGGGTGGGGAGAGTCAGCTCTTCCTATTGAAATGATCTCACATGGCCACGTGTATACAACCACTGACACGAAAGTCTTACTCACTGCCTTCTAGCGGAGGAGGTATTGTTTACGAAATTGAGAGGACGGAAAGCGAATGTCCGGCATTTCAACCGGGTTGGTGGATACGGAGGATCTACCTAGGGGAGTCGTAAAACCCTGATTCCAAACCAATGATGCGCATGGGCTCCAGTATCCTGAAGGAACAAATGGCGTATGAACCGATTGTTGGTGACCAGCTATCATGGGACTGCATCTCCTGACGTTGCTCAACTACCTTGTTGATTAGACCTTTAGGTTGCAGGCTTCGGTTGTGGCTCCCTAAGAAAACCACCTGCTTCGGTTTGGGGATCCAGGCAGTACCTTAGCTCTCACACAAATCAAGTGACTTGTTTGGCGCATATGCATTTGTCGCCCCTCTGTACCAATATTTATGTGTTCAAATAAATAAATACTCTTAGGACTTAAAATTGCTGTGATTTGTGTAAATTCACTTGAATGCTACTTATAATTGAAGATTAGTAATAATTTATACTCATTAGATTTCTATTCGTTTATAAATGAACATTTAACAGTTCCGTTTTCTGGGAGGAAATATAGGTTACGGATTGATTTCGATTAACGTACCATTAAAATTAGAGAGCATCTGAGGGCTGTTTCGTCCTATTGTGGGTTTTTTCAACATTGACCCACGCATAACAAATACCACCTACTAGTTAAACTGATGTCAAAAAAACATCTCCTTCAAAAGTATAATCGTGTACTTATTAGTGACTTACTTCAAGATAAATTCCTGAATTTTTAGCGGAAAGCCGTAACCGGTGGAGAGAATCAAATAGTGGTCAGCATCAATATTGGATCATGGGCATAAACTGATTTAAGTTGTTAGTGCGTATCTGTGGTTTAATGGTAAGCGCTCGCTGTGAAACCTGAAAGTCCTTGGTATAATCTCTTGCAATTTATTCGCGGTTTACAACTTAAGCGTCTTACACTACTATAAAATAGCTGTACTGTTCCCTGATTTTTAATGGTACTCCAACTGAGGTCAGTCCATGACGGATAATACCTATTGATTAAACTAATCTTAGCAAACTCCCTCTATTACGGCTATAATAGTTAAACGTTTAGTTCAGTAATTTTACTAAATTGCAGTAACTTTATTAACTTCCACGCAGGTATCCACCTATAAAATATTTACTTGAAAAGATATATTACTACTTTTCGACATGTTATTTCATGTACAATGAAGAAATCATTTAGTTAATGATAGCGAGAAATATATGTTTATTAGCACTTTTCAGTACATAAAAGATAGCCGACCAATTTTATTTAGCTATTAATGTCAGTTGTAGGACTGGTGAAAATCATTTAACATTAAATGGCTGTTTTATATAAGTCTATAAACCAGTATTACTCACCATCGAATCCATGGAGGTCTGAGCCTAGAACAACCAGATATTGTAGTTTATACGCTGCGAATACTATACTAGGTTGAAACTTTCTGTCAGTTCGCAATATAGCTCATCACATTCAAATGTTATTAACCTGTATCGGTTTCAGTGATCTTGCACTCCTATTAGATTTTCTACAAGTATGTTTCATGATTTAAGATTGATTGGTTCCTATGATACCGAATGATCTCTTTATACCATAAATTTATTGAGATCGCAACACTCCTACCATATAATGGGATAATAAAGTACTACAAATCGTTTATATATTTTGCACACAGGTCCTTTTCAAAATATTTCCTATGAAACTCCCTGATCACCTTAATTTGAAAAACACCTAACCGGGAAGTTTATTGAAGGTGAATTATATTTTTTTAAATATTTTATTGCGATAAAACGTAAATATAAACCAAAAATTTTCATAGGCAAAGATGTATAGTGGCTAGCAGTGGAAGCCAGGACACGCGTTTCGTCCTATTTGGAACACGTCAGCTATATGTACCTGCATCTCAGAGTTGATGTTCACTCTGGGAGTCGAACCCAGTGCCGTTCGCTTCAAACTCTATCGAGTCCCAGAGTGAACATCAACTTTGAGATGCAGGCACATCCAGCTGACGAGTCCCGAATGGACGAAACGCGCATCCTGGATTCCACTGCTAGCCACCACCCATCTTTGCTTATAAAGCTCATGACTCAAGGCAATATCGAGGAAATGTGCACAGTATGCATATATGCCAATAAGAGACCGATCAATTGCAGTGCTAAACATCAGTGAGAAGATTCTAGTAAACAATACCACATGAATTTTAAAATATTTTATTCATTTGTTTTTTCTAATGATTTATTCACACATTTTCATTTCCCATGAGACCAACAATAAACCTGAATAAAAGACAACGTTTTTTTTTTCAATAAGATCTAATAATATGATAAGTTTTTAACTATATTACTCTCTATATATAAATATATTTTGTACAAGGAAATGGTTAAGAATTCACTTGGTATTGTTTGCTTGTATCTTCACATTGTTGTTAAGAACTGCGATTGATCAATTACAAACGGTACTGGGTCCGAGTACCAGAATAAAAGTAATCCCTGGCATACAGGTGCATCCAGCTGACGAGTCCAGAATGAACGAGACGCGCGTCCTGGATTCCGCAGCTAATCACCATCCATATTTGCTTATAATGGCTAAGGATGCTTAAAATATTCTACTTCCTTTATTTGGAAAGTAATTACTAACCAAATAGCGACAAAAGTTTCCACATGTCAATTAATATATTAAATAAATGTTTAGAATCATTAAATATTTTATTTACTATGGTGATTAAAATAGATAACTTAATCCAAGAACTATAAAACTACGTTCAGAAGTAATTTTGGTGTTTACTTAACTCAATGAATTTAACAATTTTCGACTAAGAAGTTTACATCATAAACTGATCCTAGTTACGTAACCATTGAAAATCAGAATGCTCTAGACAGCCTTTCAATCCTAGTGTGCAACTTCTTAGAAGTCTGTATCCACGATATTACCTAGGATCGGACCCACCATCAGAACGTAACCTTTAAACCACCGGGTCAGCATTTGCTAGTTCACATATTGGACATGAATATGAAGGGGTTATTTATGCCCACTGCTGAAAACCGAAATGGCTACGCACTAATTTTTCAATAGTTATCTGACTGAAGTCAACCCACGGCGTAAACTGCAAATATCACTAATATCCACACACTCCTAATATGTTTTCTTAAACTGTTTGCATATTGCAGTAATCCTTTTATATTTCCAGTTTATCTGATATTGTCTATTAACCGTATTAAGCACCTAAGCAGTTTCGCCAAACACTAACAACTTCTTATCATACTGTATATTACAAGACACAAGTAAATATATCCCAAATATTGGTGTATTTTGTCTCTGTTTTATTCTCTAGCAGAAAAACATCCAGAAATTTAGAATTCCGACACTTATAGTGAATTAAAAGTAGTCTACTGTAACTCATCTGTGAAGTGTAATATATAGTAAAACAATCAATATGTTATTAACTTTTATTTTAATGACGTATTTTAATACATTTCAAAATGATTATTTTATTCCTAGAAGTCTTTCCAGTTATGTATACATATAATGTCGAATTATCATGTGGTGTGTGCTACTGATTTCGATAGATATAAGTAGTATGTATTATCAATCAAAAGTGAAATGCCTGAAGGCAGAAGGTTAAGCAGATCAAAGAAAAGAGAATGAGAACAAAGAATGATTAGTATAGAAATGAAAGAACAATGAAGTCCGAGACGACTATCTGATATTTACAAAAATAACAGTCAAGTTTGAGACAATTGATTGACATTTTGCAACTTAAGTATTTGCTATGTAGTTCTCAGATTTTACT